CCGGACTGCCACCACCTGTTGGGATGTTTTTTCGAGGGAAAATATTTCGTGGACTTGTGCCTCCCTATGGGCTGTTCTATTTCATGCTCCTATTTCGAGAAATTTAGTACTTTTCTCGAATGGGTGGTGCGGGTCGAGGCGGGGAACCGTTCGGTGGTGCACTACCTGGACGATTTCTTTTGCGTGGGGCCGGCTGCCTCCTCGGCATGCCAGCAACTGCTTAGGACCGTGGAATGGGTGGCGGGCCACTTTGGGGTGCCGCTGGCAGCGGATAAGACGGAGGGCCCGACGACGTGCCTTAGTTTCTTGGGGTTAGAAATAGATTCTATCTTGGGTGAATGCCGACTGCCTCGGGACAAGTTGGAGGGGCTCAAGGGGGCGGTAGCTGCGGTGACCGTTGCGCGCAAAGTTACGCTGCGGCAACTGCAGTCGCTAATAGGGATGCTGAACTTTGCATGCCGTGTAATTCCTATGGGGAGGGTTTTCAGCCGCAGCCTGGCGGCTGCTACGGCAGGAGTTCGATCCCCGCATCATTTCATACGGGTGTCAGCAACCATGAGGGCTGATTTGGGCGTGTGGGATGCCTTCCTGCAGGATTTCAACGGGACGGTGTTTTTCAGGCGGGCGGGTAAGTCGGCGGCGGAGTTGGAGCTCTTCACGGATGCTTCGGGTAGTGTGGGCTTCGGGGCCTACTTTGGCGGGAGATGGTGCGCGGAGCGGTGGCCGGAGGCATGGGGGTCTAGCCCAGTCATGCGCAACCTGGCTTTTCTGGAATTATTCCCGTTGGTCGTTGCAATGGCACTATGGGGCGAGGGGCTCCGGGACCAGAAAGTGGTCTTTTTCTCGGACAACATGGCGGTGGTGCATGCGGTGAATAATCAATCGGCTGCCTCTAAGCCGGTGGTTAGGTTGCTGCGGCGCTTTGTGTTGATGTGTATGTCACGGAATGTTGTGTTTCGCGCGCGTCATGTCCCTGGGTACCTGAATGAGGTGGCTGACGCTCTGTCTCGTTTTCAGTGGTCCCGATTTTGGTCGATGGCGCCAGGAGCATTGAAGGAAGGGGAGGCTTGCCCGGACGAGATATGGCAGCTGGGAGCGTCCTGCTTGGGGGACTTGTGAAGGCTTCACTGGCACCGGCCACATGGGCCTCCTACAGTAAGGTCTGGGACTCTTGGGAACGATCATTAGACGGGTTGGAGCATGGCTTACGTGGGGATGCGCTGCGGGACGCTTTTCTATGGTACACCTGCCAATTGCTGGCAAAGGGGGCGTCCCCGGCAGTGGTCGACAGGTCCATGGCGGCAATGGCGTTCTGGTTCCGATGGCGCGGGTCGGAGGATCTGACTAAGACCTTCCTAGTACGGCAGGCGCTGAAGGGTTATCGAAAGGGCCGCAGGACCTGTGACTCTAGGCGCCCGGTGTCGGTACGGGTATTGGGGGATCTGGTGGGTCGGTTGCCGGAAATTTGTTTCAACGGGTTTGAGGTCTCTCTGTTCAGAGCGGCTTTTCTCTTGGCATTTTTCGGGGCGTTCCGCGTGGGGGAGCTGGTGAGTGCCAGTAGGGTGGTGCCCGGGGGTCTGCAGGCCTCAGGGGTTCGTGTTTTGGAGGGTAAGGTGGTTGTGCATCTGGGTAGTTCTAAGACGGACGTCCGTGGCGTGGGTAGGGACGTTACGCTATGGGCTCTGCCGGGCGCAGCATTGTGCCCGGTGGCTGCAGTGGCGGAGTACATGGCTCGGAGGCCGGCGGTGGGGGGTTCCTTCTTGGTACATGCGGATGGTTCTTCCCTGTCCCGGTTTCAGTTTACAAAGGTTTTTCGGGCCGGGCTAGGTAAGTTGGGGCTTCCGGCCGGACGTTTTGGTACTCACTCCTTTCGCATTGGGGCGGCCACGGAGGCCGCACGGTTGGGATTAGGAGATGAGGTCGTGAAGCGCATAGGGAGATGGGAGTCGGTGCGGTTCCGCTCATATGTGCGGTTGGGCTTATTGGAATAAAAAAAAAAAAAATAAAAAAAAGGTACATGTCAGGTATATGTTTATATATGTGTATGTATAGATATGGTGCGGGGGCGGACATGGACGGAGGAGTCCTCTTTTGCCTTTCCCTCATGCTTGTTTTCTTCTTCTCCCCAGGACGGGTTGCTTGGATTGTGGGACATTCTTTTGTCTTCTGGGCCGAGAGGAGGGCCGCAGCTCGAATGCAGGGCCAGCAGCTGGGCTTTCCGAAGGACCAGTTGACAGTCCGATGGTTTGGGTACAGGGGATTTTGCTGGGGGGAGGTTTGTGGGGCAATGTTTAGGATGGTGGTGGGCGGGAGGACACCGGACATGGTGGTCCTTCATGCTGGGGGTAACGACTTGGGCCTCACGCCACAACGTCGGTTGGTAAAGTGGATGAAGCAGGACATCAACAAATTGAGGGACCTGCTTCCGGGGGTTATGTTAGTGTGGTCGGAGATTGTCCCAAGGCGTCGATGGCGGCACGCGCGGGATCCGGTGGCGATTGATCACTGCAGGAAAAAGGTGAACAGCTTAATGGTGAGCTTCGTTAGGAAGATGGGAGGTGTGGTGGTACGGCACAGCGAGTTGGAGGAGGGGTTGCCGGGGTACTACCGCTCGGACGGGGTTCACCTTTCGGAGGTGGGTTGGGATCTGCTCAACTTGGGTTGGCAGGTTGGTATGCAGCGGGCGCTGTTTCTTCGGGGTGGCGGAGCTCAGACGGCTTAAGGGGTCAAGGTCTGAGCTTATGGCGGGACGGGGAGCTGAAGGAGAGGAAATAGGCTCCCCAGGATGAACGTAATGGAAGACAAACAAGTGGTGGTCATTGGTGGTTGATAGGTTTCGAGTCCTGTCGGTGGCTCAGAACCTGGTGGGGTAGGGGTATCCGGGTATACCCCTGCCGTGGTTAATGGATGGTTGGCACTTTACATCGATTGGAATAATGTTGATGTATGTTATATATATATGTTTATTTATATGGGGGTCATTGCCCTTTATATGTTAATGGAAGGAATAGGATGCGAGGGCGGAGTATGGGGGGCAATGACCCATGTTTACTTGTTAAGTTATTATTATGATTATTATTGTTATTATTATTGTTTGCTAAATAAAGCTGTGGACATATTTCCCCATATCCTCTAGTATGTGCGTTATTGGGTTGGGTTATGGGGTGGTTGTCCTGGATTCCGACTGCCCAAAATGGCGACTATACACCTGTCATGTAGCCCCATGTAGCCAAGCGCAGCTAAGCGGAAAAAGGCCTTGACAGGGGTTAGGAGGCGGGCCTAGGAGGAAGTAAGCAAGGGAGTGGAGTTATGGGTAAGTGGGTTTGGTTATTTAAATGGGCAGCCATTTTAGTTAATTCATTTTAACTTCCTACCTGGTTAAGTTTGTCCCACCCACCCTCCCTGTTTTGTTATGTGTGGTTTTGTCCCGTTTTTTCACAGCGGCGGGACGGGGAGCTGAAGGAGAGGAAATAGGCTCCCCAGGATGAACGTAATGGAAGACAAACAAGTGGTGGTCATTGGTGGTTGATAGGTTTCGAGTCCTGTCGGTGGCTCAGAACCTGGTGGGGTAGGGGTATCCGGGTATACCCCTGCCGTGGTTAATGGATGGTTGGCACTTTACATCGATTGGAATAATGTTGATGTATGTTATATATATATGTTTATTTATATGGGGGTCATTGCCCTTTATATGTTAATGGAAGGAATAGGATGCGAGGGCGGAGTATGGGGGGCAATGACCCATGTTTACTTGTTAAGTTATTATTATGATTATTATTGTTATTATTATTGTTTGCTAAATAAAGCTGTGGACATATTTCCCCATATCCTCTAGTATGTGCGTTATTGGGTTGGGTTATGGGGTGGTTGTCCTGGATTCCGACTGCCCAAAATGGCGACTATACACCTGTCATGCTTTCCCATAGGATTGGCTGAGAGGAGGCAGATCAGGGGCAGAGCCAAACACAGCCCTGGCCAATCAGCATCTCCTCATAGAGATACATTGAATCACTGCATCTCTATGAGGAAAGTTTAGTGTCTCCATGCAGAGGGTGGAGACACTGAATGTCAGTCACACTGTGCAGCACTGCCACAGGAAGCACCTCTAGCAGCCATCTGAGGAGTTGCCAGTGGAGGTATCCCTAGGCTGTAATGCAAGCATGTCAAACTCAAAGACTAAGGGTCAAATAGACAAGGTTTAAGTTTATGTGGGCGGCAAAAAACCTACCACAACACAAACTAAAATTAGTTGTATCATTCTCATGCAAACATATGTAATCCTGGGTACATAATTTACTCAAAAGTTTCACTCCCCCCACTCTCATCTAATACACTGCCTGCTCCCTCCCCCCACTTTAATACACTGCCTCCCCTCCCTCCCCCAATTTAATACACTGCCCGTCCTCCCCAATTTAATACACTGCCCTCCCCCAGTTTAATACACTCTCCTCCCTCCCCCAATTTAATACACTGCCCGTCCTCCCCAATTTAATACACTGCCCTCCCCAATTTAATACACTCCCTCCCCCAATTTAATACACTGCCCTCCCTCACACAATGTAATACACTCCCCACCCTCCTCCAATTTAATACACTGCCCTCCTCCCCCAATTTAATACACTGCCCTCCCTCCCCCAATTTAATACACTGCCCTCCCTCACACAATGTAATACACTCCCCTCCCTCCTCCAATTTAATACACTGTCCTCCCTCCAATTTAATACATGCAGCCAGTCATTCTAGCACTGCCGCTGTATATGACGCCATACGATGGAGCACGCGATCTGCTGCAGCCCATGGGAGGGCCCAGGGCAGGGGACCTACCATAAAATTCCCAGTTACCCGGAAGGCCAATCTAGCCCTAGGACGCAAAGATACCCATTGTGGGCCGCATGTTTGACATTCTTGCTGTAAAGGCCCAGAGGAGGCGGGCTGAAGGTTAGCCGAATAGGAGGCATGTGTGGGTGTGGTGGGTGTGGTAGTAAAATGGGGGTGTCTAGGTAAGGAGTAGGGTGGGGTTATATAAATAGCTGACATTTTGTCTCTTTACCTCAGCCATTTTAATTTTAACGGCAAGGTAACAATTCCTTCCTGTGCTTGCAGCCTACTGTTACTTTTGCTTACCCCACGGCCAGGAGCATGGATATAGACAGGATCCTTAGAAGGGCGGCCGCGAGATCACGTGCCAGCACTTCATCGCGGTCGGCGCACCGAGCACCTGACATGCGCTCTGCCCTCGGCGGATCTCGGGCAGAGCGCACACAGGTTAGGTCTGAAGCCGGCCCTCCTCCTGGAGCTGTAAGTAGGCCGCAGGTCGGCAGGGTTACTAATAAGGGATTGGGGGGTTCGGGGGGCCGGGGCCTAGAGCCAGGACCGGCTACTATTACTCACAGCCCCCCCTTCTCCTCCTCCCCTCTCTGTCTCCCCTGGGCCGGCCACTACCACACTCCCATCAACCTCATCTGCCCATCTTACCCCCCTGCATCCCTCTGCACCGGCCCCACTTTTACCTAGGGCCTATGCTGCCCCCTCTGGGGCTATTTCTGCCATGGCAGACCCACATTCTGGCTTCTCTGTTAGTTCTAATAATCCTGCAGGGTTGCTCCCCTCTACTGCACGTTCCCCAGCACCTGGGGTGGGTGGGCAGGGTTCTTTCTCACCTGTCCTGTCTCCGCAGATTATTCCTGGTCAGCTTGCGAGTCGGTTCCCTGACGCTGTGACTGGTGCAGTGCTTCCTGCGGTCGCAGTTCCCTTGGGGCCGTCGCAGGCTGGTGCGCAAGTTGCGGTTCCGCTGCTACCTTCAAATTCGGCTCCTGCCAGTGAGTATTCTGGTTTAACTGGGTTGGATTCGGGGGGCGCTAGCGCTGGGGAGGCGCAAGAGTGGGGCTCAGTGCTCCAAGCTATAAAAAATGTTTTGCAAACTCTTGAGCGGGGATCTCGCCCTGGGGCCCCTTCCCCAGTGGTTTTGGATACCCAACTTCGGGCGGGATGGTCTAGTTCCACAGGGTGTGATCCTGCGGTGGTCGCGACAGCAATCCCTGCCGATCCGATACAGGCCCCCACCCCCCTGGCCTCAGCCCCACCGACAGTGGCGTCTGAGTCCTCCGGGGGTGCTACTGGGGACGCCGCTGTTGTTTCGAGTTCAGGGGTAGCACCCGCTGCACACGGGGCGGCGTACATGTGCTGGTCAGGCCCCCTGGGCCTCCATCTAACGCCTGAATTGAGGGCAAAAATAGAAAAAGGGGAATTTGTAGAAATTTTTTCTCTCGTCCCTTTGGAAGATCTTCCTCGGGCGGATACGGATGCAAAAGAGTCTGAAAAAGACAAAGAAAAGTTTCGGTATCGAAAGATTCCGAAAACTTTTGGGAACTGGATTAGAGCGTTTTCTATCCTGGCTAGCGTGATAGGTGAAAAGACTCCCAGCAAATGCTCATCCCTATTTTGCTACCAGGACATGATATGGAATGCTTGTCGGGTTTATGGCGGGTTAGGGTGGTGGCGGTATGATGAACAGTTCCGCCAATGATTAGCGGTTCGGCCTTCCATGGGTTGGGATCAAATGGACATCGGCTTGTGGTTGGCTATCATGACCCGCCCAGCCTCATATCAGGGGGGCCTTTCGTCCTTTCTTGGGGGGGCCGGCGCTGGGTCCTCATCTGCAGCGTCGGCCGGTCAGCGGAAGACTGGATGCTGTTGGCAATATAATGATGGCCAATGCAAGTTCGGATCGGGCTGTCGCTTCAAGCATGAATGTTCGGGATGCGGCGGGTCCCACCCCGCATCTAAATGCTTTCAACGTGGCAAAGCTGGCGACAAAGGGGATTCCGTGGGCGCTAAGGGCGAGGACGCCAGTGGACGTCGACACGATGCGCCCATGGCTAAAGCGTTACAACAATAAGAAGGCGTCTGCCTTGTTATTGGAGGGTTTTGGGCAGGGGTTTTGGATCCCTCACCAGGCTCGGCAGGTCTCCGGTTTCTGCCGAAACCTGAGATCGGTTGCTGATCACCCGGGGATGGTCAGGGAAAAATTGGCAAAGGAGGTGGCGCTGGGTCGCATGGCGGGCCCCTTTCGGGAATTGCCACTCCCCGATCTGAGGGTTTCACCACTAGGTGTCATACCAAAAAGGGAACCAGGAAAGTTTCGGCTGATTCACCATCTATCGCACCCTCATGGGGGCTCGGTAAATGATGATATCGCCTCTGAATTGTGCCGCGTTTCCTACGCGTCGTTCGACACGGCGGTGGGTATTGTCAGGGCCGCTGGCCCAGGGGCACTCATGGCAAAAACCGACATTGAGTCTGCTTTTCGCCTCCTTCCGGTTCACCCGGAGTGTCACCACCTCTTGGGTTGTGCATTTGAGGGTCATTATTACGTGGATATGTGCCTCCCAATGGGTTGTGCGATATCCTGTTTTTATTTTGAATGTTTCAGTTCCTTCATGGAGTGGGTAGTGAGAGCTGAGTCCGGTTACGATTCCTTGCTTCACTACCTAGACGACTTTTTATGTGTGGGCCCCGCGCACTCCCCGATATGCGCACAGATTTTGCAAGCAGTGGCGGATGTGGCCTGTGAGTTCGGGGTGCCGCTGGCACCGGAAAAAACGATTGGCCCTTCCACTTGCCTGTGCTTTCTCGGGATCGAGATTGATTCCGTTATCGGGGAATGTCGGCTTCCTTTGGACAAGTTGTCTGATCTTCGGGGGGTGGTGCATGAGGCGAGGGCCTTGCGGAAGATTACGTTGCAACGACTTCAATCCCTGTTGGGCAAGTTGAACTTTGCCTGTCGGATTATGCCCATGGGCAGAGTGTTCAACCGGCGCCTGGCAGCTGCCACGGCTGGGATACTGAGGCCGTTCCACTTCGTCCGCTTGACCAAGGCGCTCAGGGAGGACTTGGCAGTGTGGGCGGTTTTTCTGGATGGGTACAATGGCAGGTCCTACTGGCAACAGCCTGAGGTAACAAACTCGGTGCTGCACCTGTTTACGGATGCCGCGGGTTCATCGGGTTTTGGGGCTATTATGGGAAAGCAATGGTGTGCGGAACCTTGGCCAACATCGTGGTTCGACTCGGGCCTGACCAAGAACATGGCATTCTTGGAGCTCTTCCCCATTGTGGTGGCTATCCATCTTTGGGGGTCAGAGATCAAGAACAGGCGTGTCGTGTTCCACTGTGACAACCTGGGTGTTGTCCAGGCCATTAATAGGTTAACGGCCTCATCCCCTCCAGTGGTCAGGCTCCTGCGGCGATTGGTTTTACGATGCCTGTCTTTGAACGTAACGTGCCGCGCTGTGCATATCCCTGGTGTTGAGAATACCACGGCTGACGCTCTTTCTCATTTCCAATGGCAGGTGTTTCGATTGGCCACGCCGGACGCAGATATGGAAGGCCTCCCCTGTCCCAGAGAGCTATGGTCCCTTGGCCTGAGCGAATAAGGGAATGGATCCGGTCTTCGGTGTCAGAGGCAACTTGGGTTCGGTACGGTAAGGCATGGGGAGACTGGGTCGCTCTAGAACAGGACCAAGGTGGGTACACCTCGACTGCTGAAAGGGTTCAAGGTATCTTACGGTTGCTCTGGTTCTCCGGCTACGGTTTCGGGAAAACTATCGGGTCTTAGCTTCTGGTTCAACTTGATTCAGGTGCCGGATGTTACCAAGGACTGCATGGTTCGGCTTGCAATGCGCGGCTGGCGGAGAGGCCCGCAACTGCGGGATTCTCGGAGGCCGGTTTCAGGTGCGCTGCTCCTAGGTATCGCGTCGGTTCTACCCAGGGTCTGCTTTTCTGATCTGGAAGCGCGTTTGTTTCGGGTGGCTTTCACTTTCGTCTTCTTTGGCACTTTCCGGATTGGTGAGCTTGTGAGCCCTAGCAAACGGACCCCAGGGGGCTTGTTGTTCAACGATTTGTCTGTCGTGAATGATACGGTGCACTTTTTGGTGCGGAGGTCCAAAACTGACACCTTCGGCAGGGGGGCATGGGTTACCCTCCGCGCCATTCCCGGTTCGGCCGTTTGCCCTGTCGCTTCCTTTCAGTCGTACTGTCTTGGTCGCCCGGGTGTTGCGGGCCCGCTGTTAATTCATGGGGATGGTTCCTTCCTTTCTCGCTTCCAATTTCTCTGGGTCTTTCGGTTGGCGCTCGAACGACTGGGTATTCCGAGCGCAGACTTTGGGGGTCATTCTTTCCGGATTGGGGCCGCAACTGAAGCCTCCAGTTTAGGTTTTTCGGATCAGGCCATCCAAAGGATTGGTAGATGGGAATCGGGGAGGTTTCGGTCCTATGTACGGCCCACACGTCTGATCGGTATCCCCCTTGTGTTTTCTCTACAGGGCCCGGCCGACGGATCTGGCTGATCGGTCATTCTTACATCTACTGGGCCCACCTGCGGGCAGGGGTACGCCCGGGTGGGACACGGCTTGGAATACCTCGGGAGCTGGCGGAGGTCCGGTGGTTCGGGTTCCGGGGCATGAGATGGGGTCAGCTGTTGCCAGAGGTTGTGCAGTTGTCTACCTTAGGAGCCCCGGATGTCTTGGTGGTGCATCTGGGGGGAAACGATCTGGGGTCGTGGGGGAATTGATCAGGTGAGATTTGGCGCGTTTGCGAGTGCTTTTTCCACAACTTTGCCTAGTGTGGTCGGGTATAGTTTCCAGGAATTATTGGCAGTGCGCACGCAATCAGGGTGCTATTGAGCGCTGTAGGGTAAAAATTAATAAGCGGGTTTCCAAATTTGTCCTAGGCGTCGGGGGCTTAACAGTGAGACCCCGTATTTTCGAGCGTGAGGCAGCGATCTATTTTCGCCCGGACGGGGTCCATCTAACTGATGTAGGTTTGGACTTATTTAACTTAACGCTGCAGGATGCGTTGGAACAGGCCATGGCGTTGCTTGGGGGTCGCGCCCGCTGATTTAGGCGTAAATGCAGCAGGGGCTAGTGGCGGGTATGGTCCTTGCCGAACCTATTGGGAAGAGGAGTTCAGGAAAAGAAAGATGCTGGGTTGGGTCCCTCCCCTGACCTCGGAAAATGTTTGGGTAGTTGGGCGTGCCCTCCGTGCCAGGAAAGGCGGCCAGGGGTTGGCATGTGGAATTGGAAGGCCAAGGTGAAGGCCAGGTATCTTGGATGAGGGGGGGAGGGCCGATGCCTTGGTGGGGTGTGTACCCTAGAGGGTTTGTGGTACGGTTGGCAAGGACTAGTTTGAATTAAACCATACTTACACCTGGAAATTATTTATGGTTGGTTTATTTAAATATGTTTGTTAATTTATAAATAAAAGCTGTGGCCTTTTTTATACCACATATACATTTCCTAGTTTTGATTGGGGGGAAGGGTATGGATTTGGGGTTGTAAGGGGTCGCACCACACGATAACCGCTACCTACACACATGTGAACACTGCATTTTCTCTGAAAACACTGTTTACAGCAAAAAAGCCTGAAGGTAATGATTCTACTCACTAGAACAAATTCAATAAGCTGTAGTTGTTCAGGTGACTATTGTGTCCCTTTAATATGAAAGTTTATTTTTAAGAAAAATATATTCTGTATTCTGCATGTCAGTAAGAGAACAAGCCGTGATGTTGAGAGCAGTATTTTTTAATCCACGTTTTATTGAGTATTAATCCATGAAAAAACTTGCTCTGTCGGTATTCGTACCTGTTTCTAGGTTACTGTACATTCCTTCCCAACCTGGCCAGCATTTTATTTATTCAGTAATTTTTCAACTGCACACCTGTTTTTTATACCTTTTATAAAGTGTTTGTTTAGATTAGATTAAGGAAATTTTGCAATCAGGGCCAACTGTAATCTGAGTACGAACACATGTCCCGTGCAAGTCAGCACAGCAAAACCTTTTAGACTCAATAAATGCAGGAGATAAATAATTACCTACCTGAATAAAAAAAAAATATATATCGTATTACATTTCCGAAGTGGCAACTCGTGTTTTCTGCTTCGAGAACTGACATGTTCTTGCACGATTCATTCATAACTTTACACAGAACTGATCAATGTGCTTCACTCACTCCTGCGGAATATTGTAGCTTCATCAGATCCTTTGTAGAAATAAAATTTTATTTGTTGAATATAGAGTTAGTGTAACATTCCAAGCATTAACAAGTGGCCTCAAAGATTAATAGATTAATGATATTAAAGGGAAACTATAGTCATGTAAACAATTAACCTTTTTTTCAAGAATATAAGTTTACTACCATTATAGCGACCTCTGTCTCCTCTTTTCCTTATTAAAAGCTAACGCTGATTAACCCTTTACTTACCTTGTTTTCAGCTCCAAAACACTATTGTTGCTTTTTTTTTCTTGTTATCAACCATCACGACTTCTTGCTGACTTTTTGCTCAATCAAATGCTTCCCACAGACAAATATTGGATCTAACCTTTCTCTGTGAGAAGCATCTGAGGACTCTTGCCAGCCACATGCAATACATGATGCCCCCGAACATCAAAGAGCCAAGTCTGACGTGGCTGTGGGTACAGCCACCAGAGGTGTGTTTAACAGCCACCAGAGGTGTGTTTAACCTTACAAAGTAAATGTTACCTTTTCTCCGAAATGGCATTGTTTACACTGCAGGAATAAAAAGTCAGGGCCACTGCCCCCATTGAGATGAATTGGTCTGGGTGAGTATAGTGGTACTTCAAATTACCCATTGGTTACCAAAAACATTATATCCCTTAACATCTCCCTTGATTTGACTCATGCAATTTTTTCCCAACTTGCTTAATTTGTTTTCATATATTTCTACTGAATCCCGTACCTCATGAAGCATCTAAAGTCCAGCTCCAAAGAGTAAAGAATGCAAGAATAGGACAATGACACTTTGATTGAACAAGGTTATTAGCAGGATGAAAAGACAGCTGTCTAGAATGTGTCTGCTCACCATATCTTGTGATCTTCTGGCCCTTCGTTGCCTGTGGGCCCTTTTCTATATTTATCCCAACTAACCAACCTTTATAATATAAGGGATATCACTTTCCCGATGCCACCTTAGAGACATTTTATACCTAACTACACAATACAGCTCAAATTTCCACTGATAGAAAGCATTTTCCAAATGTTACCTGTTTCCGTTTCAGTGTCATCTACTGTATGTTGTGATGAACAACCAGATTCCTGTTCTAAGACTCATATCTGTGATGTTGAAATAACAAAAATTACTTTGGTTGTTCATCTTCCAGAGCTTTTCCCCCACATGATCTAGCTAGCATTCCCCGCAACTCCTCCGCAAAAAGAGTTTGGGTTCTAGTTTTGTGGTTTTAGGCGGTCACAGGTCCAAGACCCGGCCATTGCGATCTATTTTCATTGTGGTCAATGAACATTAAGAATTTATTTAGCAAAGTAATATTAATTATTTCAACAATTCCCTCCAAATGTTTTCAATTAGTTCCAAGTAGAACTGTTTAATTAAAGTGAACCCCTATTGTCTACCACCAAACACGCATATAGACACACTTGGCAAATTTTACTGAATACAAGCTCTTAATAAGGAAAGCACAAGGATCAGACATATTGCAGATTTATTTTATAATTAGCAAACATAAGATGAGAGGAGTTAATTTAGGAATAAAGCGTGTGATATTGTGCCACAAAGGGAAAGAGAAATGTTAATTTGCTTGCAATAACGACCTTCATTATATTGTAATCATTTATAGAGTTTCTGGATGTAGTCCAGCTGCATAGGAAGAAGCCAAGAAGAGAACAGCAATTATTTAACCTTTGCTCGGTTTCAATAGTTGCACAACCTATTAAGCAGAGACAGGCAGGACTACAGCTGGTTGAAAGCTTCAGACTCTGCACAAATTTCACAACTCACATTATTGGCAGATAAGAGAGAAACTTCTCAGATACCATTAAAGGGACACTATACTCACCAAAACAACTTTAGTTTAATGCAGCAAGTTTTGTATATAGATCATGCCTTTGAGGGTTCACTGCTCAATTCACTGACATTTAGGAGTCAAACCACTTTTGTTTCTGTTTAAGTAGTCCCAGCCACACCACAAAGACAGCCTGCATACAATAAAATGGTTTTGCTTTCAATCAGATGTAACTAACTTTAAAATAGTGTATCTCCTGCTCTGTTAAACTTTAATCACATACAGGAGCATCCTGCAGGGTCTAGCAAGCCATTAACTGAGCAGGAGTTAAGAAATTCAAAATTAAACAGAATTTGCAATAAAGGAAATGTAAATATTAGATGACTTTACAGGAAGTGTTTAGGAAGATTGCATAAGTCACATGCAGGGGAGGTGTGGCTAGAGCTACATAAACAAAGTGATTTAACTCCTCAATGGCAGAGAACTGAGCAGCGAGACTGCAGGGAAATGATCTATACATCAAAACTGCTTCAATAAGCTAAAGTTGTTTTGGTGACTATAGCTTCCGTTTAATTAACAAACATATGATAGAAAGGCACCTTGGTAGAGGGACTTATTGCTAAGAGCAGGGCTACGTAACCTCCTGCACTCCAGATGTTTGGACTACATCTCCCATAATGCTCTTGCATCCTTAATGCTGGCAAAGCATCAGGGTAGATGCATTCCATAATATCTGGAATGCCACATTTTGCCTAACCCTGGCTAAAAGTAACGTCTAAGGAATGCTCGTAGGATACAAAGTGTGCAAGGAAGTATCTAAAACTTTTTTTTTTCATCATTCAAAATTTGTTTTTGCAAACCCCACTTGCTTCTTAACTCCCCCCCCCTTTGCTTCCTGCTCGCAAAAGGTAGTGGTGAGACACATTTTAGGAAACTTGCAGCTGTGTATTTCCTTTTACATGAAATAGGCTTCCCAGAAGTTCTGATTTTGACAGGACAGTCCCAATTTTTAAGTCCTTTAGCGAAACCTACAGAGACACAGAGTATGCACACAGAGACACTCAGTAGCAAAATCCTAATTTAAAAATGAGAAGCACTCATCTAAGTGAGTGTAAGCTGGAGGCATGTAGTAATATTGCACATGAATGGGCTTTTGATGGTTCTCTAAATGTTTGTTGTTGAGGGGTTTAGAAATTGGCATTAAATTGTTATAGAAGCCTATTGGAGGGGCAGGATGTTAATGCATTACATGGTTAATTCATTTGAAAGATGAAGTTATAGAGGTGACGTCCATATAATTATACCCATCTATGTAAATCTATAGACGTGAAAAATACTATAATCTAACTTATACACTTTGCAGGTGACTGGAGTGTTCTTTAAAAAAATACACTGTGTGCTACATTAACTGCAACATTTGCACTATGTGCTATATTAACTGCAATAAATACACTGTGTACTATTTTAACTGCAATAAATGCACCATGTACTACATTGACTGCAATAAATGCACCGTGTACTATATTAACTGCAATAAATAACTATGTGCTATATTAACTGCAATTATTACACTGTATACTAAATTACCTGCAATAAATGCACTGTGTGCTATAACTGCAATAAATGCACCGTGTACTATAGTAACTGCAATAAATGCCCTGTATACTATATTACCTGCAATAAATAACTATGTGCTATATTAACTGCAATTATTACACTGTATACTATATTACTTGCAATAAATGCATTGTGTACTATATTATCTGCAATTAATATACTTTGTACTACATTGACTGCAATAAATGAACCGTGTACTGTATTACCTGCAATAAATAACTATGTGCTATATTAACTGCAATTATTACACTGTATACTATATTACTTGCAATTAATACACTTTGTACTACATTGACGGCAATAAATGCAATATGTGCTATAGTAGCTGCAATAAATGCACCGTGTACTACATTAACTGCAATAAATGCACTGTGTGCTATATTAACTGCAATAAATGCCCCGTGTACTACATTAACTGCAATAAATGCACTGTGTGCTATATTAACTGCAATAAATGCCCCGTGTACTACATTAACTGCAATAAATGCACCGTGTACTACATTAACTGCAATAAATGCACTGTGCATTACATTGACTGCAATAACGATCCCAAACACACTGCTAATGCAGTGATATCATATTTGGAGAAAGAAAACAGTCGATAAAACACTGACAGTCATAGACTGTCCTCCACAGTGTCCAGACCTGAATATTATAGACAGTATGGGATCACATGGACAGAGAAAGAAATAAAAGACAACCGAACTCTAAAGAAGAACTCTAAAGAAGTGATGAAAAATTATACCAATAGATTACTTCATAAACTTCACATCAGGACAGTCTCTCCCAAAAAGAGTTCAAGATGTGCTTAGTGCCAAGGGAGGTCACACTAAATATTGACCTTGCCTGAAGACGCCATTTTGTTTGGAAAATGTTGCTTTTTTTTATATTTTGTGTAGATACTTCCTGTATTTTCTGTTTGTATCTTAATAAAGAGACCAACAAATCTGTTGGTGGTCGAAGACTTTTGCACAGTACTGTATATGTATCATATATCATATATCATATCATGTATCATTACACAATCTAACAAAGGGTTTGTTTTCATGACAAATGTTTCTAGATTAGCTCCGTAGATAATCCTATTAAGATTCTGCACAATTACGGCATGTGTAGCCCAAAGTGAGCAATACATTACAGTTATTCATAGCATGGGGAATATTTCAGTGCTGGACAGTAACAGACAATAAGCATATAATAATAATAATAAGATAATATAATAGAATGTTGGACAATAATGTTTGATAAGCTGCAGATCAGGCGTGGTTAAAGATAACCTTCTCCACACATTTCATATTTAAAAATGTTTATATTTATTATTCATAAAATATTTCTCTCCTCTCTTCACATATAATAGTAGACATATACAATTCAATTCTATATACATTGTTAAACAGATATAAATACCTCCCAACGAAGGCAGTCCAAGAATCGGAACGCCGGTGGCAGGGGGTGCCAGTGACGTTATAGTGATGCGGACACCGCCCACAAGGGGTCGGTTCGGCCTCCCCACAGGCAGGTCTGACTAGTGTGAATGCAAGCCAGGCTGCCTGCCAATCATTTTAGCCAGCCCAACAAGGGCAGACCCTGCAGGGAACCTCGGGCTCACAAATGCTACCCAGCTATGTGTTGTTGGAACCATATAATATATGTGTGTGGGAGGGAGACAACTTTGTAATATTGTTTGCTGTGTGTAAGGGGTTATCTAAAATGTGTTTGGCAAGAGGGTACATGTGCGCACACACACTTATGATCTGATCATTATACTATATATTATATTACGACCAAATTATAACCCTCACTAAATATTGTAGAAATAAACAAAGTGAAAAAATAGAAACGAGTCAAGCATAACCGGCATTCAAGATAGGCTGGGACCATGGTTGGTCAAAATGTAGTGGCACTTTTTATTTTGTAGTAAGTGTTTTTAATTGTTTACATCATAATGTATGGAACAGAAGAACAACAGTTGGACCTGAGAGAAAGAATAAATAACCCAGTAAGCCAAATCAGAATTAAAGTGCAACTTGCAAGTTTCTAGTTTGCAAACGGGTTTTTGTTAGTCGAAACATTGCATTGTGTGCTTCAATAAACCAGTCTTGGATTTTATCCAACAATAAGCTTCTGCTTGGCGGTATGCTGCATTGGAGTGGGACTGCAATAGATTGGTGGCACTTGGATTGTCCTATTGTTAATGTGTTGTCTTCTATGGATCGAAATCAAAAATCCTTGCTCAATAAGATGGCAACTCTCGGCACCAGATTTCACATTAAGCTCTCTTGAAGAAGAAAATGGTTCTGATCTTTTTAAACTGCTTATTTCCCACTCGCAAAGTATTGTGTACGTTTTTTGGAGACCTGAGGGTATCTGTCAACCTTAGGCCCCATGTCCCTCATTCCACTGCAAGCTAAGAAATGAGAATACGTTTGAATTTGGTCACTCTCGCAGGCCACAAGAACATTTTACTGGGTCTATATCACTTTATTTACCCTGGGCTGTTTAGTAAAAAAAAAAACATGTAACATTTTCACCTATTTATTTATGAATTTGGGAGAAAGCATATTATTGCTTTTTGTTTGATTAATCACTTCAATAACCGTCTAATTTACACTTTATATACAGAACTTATAGTCTTCTCAGTTCCAAAGAATATAATACAAAATATACAAATGTATTTCATGGTCTCTGCAGAGCCCCTTGAGAATTATTATATGATATTATACACCTGGCCAGTTGCAACGAGGGTTCTTTTTCTGATGACGTAGTTATAAGGACTGAATAGATGGGCAGGAAGACTAACACGGGAGAGTCCCACTGGATGGTGCCCATTCTGTCCATAAAACGTGCGTTGAACATGAGGTCTACTGAAGTCAATTTTCTTATGTGTCCTGCAGAAAACAGAAAGCATAGAGATCATATTGTTAAGTCATGTGTCTCAATAAATAATTTAAATGCCGAAAATTACTTTGATAGCAATATAACTAAGAGTCCCCCATCATATTTTTTCTGGTAAAGGGTTCGGGCATCTGTAGCTCGAGTTACACAGATCTTTTTCAGCTACTCTCATTTGCCAGACATTGATTAAGTTAGAAGTTGCTGGACTATAGCATCATAATTTAGACTGAGCACAATTTGGATCCAGAGAGATGTATGTCACCGTTGCAAAGAGACTGTTATAGAACACGTAGACCAAGACCTCTCCCCCCACCAGTATCCTTACTGTCAATCTGACAGCACAAGGCAATAATCTAATGATGTGTACATATTTCATAGAGATTTATTATAAAGTGAAAGTAAGAGGGTAAATGGGTTAAATCTGATATCATAATTAATACATTTTTGTACAGAGGAGCATATTAATGCAGGTAACACTTATTTTGGATTTAAAAGCGTCTTCAGTGATCTAACCCCTTAAGGACAAAACTTCTGGAATAAAAGGGAATCATGACGGAATATTTCCGCAATGTGTCCTTAAGGGATTAAAGTCAATAAAATGAACTATCCACCCGCTACTGAGTCTCTTAGCTCAATATTTGGGTTTGTACATTTTTTACACATCTGTTCATAGCGCTGTCAGAGTGAGAAGCTCACGTTGAAGGCAGTTTTGTTTAGTCTTACATTCTAGGATGGAGGAACACAGAACATATATTTGATTGCTTTATCCTTGGCATTATATCCTCCACAGTCAGCAGACACCTCACAGTCAGCAGTCAGATTTAGCCAGTTAAATAAACTAATAACCTGCTGAGTGACTACAGCAGATAAAGACGGGTTATGAATGCATCTATTTTATTCAATGGGTCACAGACCTGCATCACTGAACCTGTTGTGCCTGCTATTTCCATCACCTGGATTACATGTATTTTATCATTGAAGCTTTGCAGTGCACTTTGATTACATAAAAAACAATTATAATCATATTATATGCTGCTAAGATTGCTAGAAAGCTGCGCAGGATTTTTAATGAGCCCTCGCCAAACCAGAACGAACCAATATAATTTCTATAGTATGACGGAGTCTTTCCTGTAAGCAGGGACTTAAGGCAACAGCAAGGGTTTGTGGGAGATGGAATTTTCTGATGTCTGCTGTAAAAAGCAAGCACAGCGCCCCAGCTGCCTACAGGCACATTTGTTAGACCCCGTTAGACAACTAGTTTTGCAGGGTATGTATGAGCTACCTCCTCCTATAATTCATGGCTTGGTCAAACACTTTTTGTGGCCTGATCACTATGGACCTCCCTCTTCTAGTGCTTGTCTGGCCCTCAGTGCCACAGCTATTAAAGCGGGACTGTCCCTACTCTGTCTCTGTATATCTCCTGACTGGGTTGGAATTTCAGTGAAAATTTGTATTTCATAAAGATCTTTATGAAATGCTAATTTTTCAAAAAGGGAGTGACAATGCCACTTTAATTTTTCAACTGCAACCTTGTATTTCTTAATAAATACAAATAAGTTATTAAAGGGACTGGCAGCATATATTGAGGAATGGGTTGAAATCATGTAAGCAATGGCCTTGTACAGAGACTAGGAACCTGTAAATGGAGATAATACAAGGAGTGGTAGTGAACTTATTTTTGCCATATTTTTATTCTTTAAAATATGTGTAAATACATAAAAAAGCACTGGAAAAATTGATGTGTGCAAATGTCTTTATACATATTTATAAAAAAAAGGCATCTAAAATCTTAATTCAGTCTTGTCTGAACTGCAACTCCCAGAATCCTTTTTACGCATATTAATAGTTTTGCAGTAAAACAGGAAACACTGTAGGATACAGGGGAAGGGACAGAAAGGATGGTCTTACTGAGCAAAACTAACTAGTACCAGTTAATATTTTTGTGACTAACAAAATAAAAAAAAAATAAACAGCCAGCGTAACTCACTGCAAAATAACATACATATTGCGCCAAACACATATTAGCGCCTGGATTGACTGGCTAATGTTTGGCTGCACATCTCTTAAAATATTCTGTGCCACAGAACTGGCGAGTTGTCAATAAACTAACAGGGTTAATGCTGCGATGCAGAAAGAATATACAATTTAGGAACGAGAATCCGTATCCTAGTGAAATTGCACACTTCACTGCATTAAAATAGCTAACAGAAAGAAATACATTTTTAATCTGCGTTTATGTAAACTTTGATCAATGTCTTACACATTATTATTATTAATATAGCCACTGAGTTTCATATTCAAAGCACAATAAAAGCTTGTTTTTCTAATTTCATTTTAATCAAATCCATTTTCGTGTTCACTATTTGCATTTACAATTTCAAAGAAATTGCTCGTTAGAATAAGTTATTTTAGAGATGCCGACCCTTTCCGCTAGTTAAAGGGACGTTAAAAGTTGCAACTTAATAACAGTTCTTATAAAAATTCACAAGCAGAGACAATAAGAAAGATATATATAAAGCTATAGAACCTGACCATTTTAATTTTTATTGCTTTGAGTAAAGTTTGTTTTCAAGGAGATGGGGGCTGCCATTTTCTTTTTTTTCATCTCTGCCTTGTTTTGTTCACTGACCGTGATTTGGACATTAGCTGAAATTTAACTGGGCAAATACACCAAACATCCAATCAGAATGTAGCGTTGATTCGAACTTGTTGAAATAATGCTAGACATAATCCGCAAAGTCATTAATAATCGTCCAAACATGAATCAAAAAGGAAAATGAGGCGGAAGGAAATGGAATCACCGCTGAGATAATATAACTATTCCGAATATAGGCCTTAATCTAATATTTTTGGATACACTTTTAAAATGATTCAATATTTTTGTATAAACCTTTAAAATTAGTTTAAAATGTTTAAAATATTTTTTTTAAATTGATAATATATATATATGATATATTTTTAATATTTGAATATTTAATAATTTTTTGTAAAAAATATTTTAATCTTAAAAAAAAAAATAATAATTTCAAAGTTTATCCAAAATATTACATACTTTGAAAAGTTTATCCAAACAAATTAAATCAAGGGCATATTGAGTGCTTAGCTAATTAATTATGACAGCTCTGTACTGAAATAAATCCTATAAGTTTTCCTATTTATTTGTTCAATTCGTATCTTGATGCATTGTTTAAATATATCAGTATAAGAAAACTGCATTATGGTTGATCATAATGGCAGACAGTCTACTTCAGTGAAACAGAAAGACAAAATAGTTGTCATAATTAAGAAACTAAGTATTCAATTTATATGAACTTGGGGTAATGCCATACCCTTCCTCCTCATTTATTTTTGTTCTTTACATTTTGGCTGATTAATAGCAGCATGTGCAGCAGTATGAGTAGGACCAGACTGGGAAAACAATTTATGCCAGCTCTATAATTCATTGTGTCACGTAGTGTGCAGATGATATTATACAGTAAGCATATACACAGACAATCTTACTGACACAAGCACACCAGTTCACTGATGCACAGGCTCACAGACAGAGAATCTCATTGACAAAGCTCACTGACAATCTCACCGACCCTGATACACACAACTCAGCTCAATGACACACAAGATTACTGACACACAGACAAGCTTACTAGCACACACACACAGACAGACTTAGTACAGACACACTTTCTGACACTAACAAGCGTACTACAGACTTAAAGGGACACTATAGTCACCTGAACAACTTCAGCTTAATAAGGTTGTTCAAGTGAGAACTATAGCTCCCTGCAGCCTCTCATGTAAACACTGTATTTTCTAAGAAAATACAGTGTTTACATTGAAAGCTAGGAAAGCCTCCAGTTGCAGTCACTCAGAGTGAACCAGAGGGACTTCGGAGTTGATGGAGGCATAATATGCCTCCACCCACTCAGATCTGCTGTCAGCAGAGCACAGGGCAGCATTGTGCACAGCATCCTGTGATTCAGTATCTCCTCTCTCTGCATGCAGACACTGAACTTTCCTCATAGAGATTAATTGATTCAATTCATCTCTATGAGGAGATGCTGATTGGCCAGGGCAGTGTTTGAATCATGCTGGCTCTGCATCTGATCTGCCTCGTTGTCAGTCTCAGCCAATCCTATGGGGAAGCACTGTGATTGGATCAGGCTACCACATGTCAGCAGACTGCTTGTTTTTCTGAGTCTAACAGCATGCAGATTTACAGCTTCAGGCTTGAATACAGTAAGATTTTTACTATATTTATGGAGGCATGAGGGGCCCAGGGGGGCCAGATGGTGGTGTTAACACTATAGGGTCAGGAATACATGTTTGTGTTCCTGACCCTATAGTGATCCTTTAATCATTGCTATACACACAGAAGCTCACTACTGAAAAGCTCACTGACACAAACACATGCTCACCACAGACAGGCTAACTGACACACATACATTTGTGTACCGTCTGTCGGCAGTCTCAATGTGGCCACACCAGCACCCAGCACCTCCCTCCTTAATTCCCTAAAATTATAACAGAAAAATAATTTAAATGGCATTAGGGCTGCGTGTGTGTGTGTGTCTGTGTGTGTTTGTGTGTGTGTGTGTCTGTGTGTCTGTGTGTGACAGTGTGGATAGCAATATGTGTGTGTCGCAGTGTGGCCAGCAATGTGAGTACCAGTGTTAGTGTGTGTTCCTGTCATTTCTGAGTTGTTCCAGCTGCCAAAGACCTCTCCCTTCTCCTGGCCAGCCCTCTCCCTCCTGCAGATCACTGTGTTCAGTCTGAGGGGGTGGGGCTATACACAGATCACTGTGTTCAGTTTGAGGGGGCGGGGTCATACACAGATCACAGTGTTCAGTCTGAGGGGGCGGGGTCATACACAGATCAATGTGTCCAGTCTGAGGGGGCGGGGTTATACACAGATCACTGTGTTCAGTCCGAGGGGGCGTGGCCATGCACAGATCACTGTGTCCATTCTGAGGGGGCGGGGCCATGCACAGTTCATTGTGTTCAGTCTGAGGGGGTGGGATCATACACAGATCACTGTGTCCAGTCTGAGGGGGCGGGGCCAGGCACAGATCACTGTGTCCAGTCTGAGGGGGCGGGGCCAGGCACAGATCACTGTGTTCAGTCTGAGGGGGCGGGATCATACACAGATCACTGTATCCAGTCTGAGGGGGCGGGGCCAGGCACAGATCACTGTGTTCAGTCTGAGGGGGCAGGGGCAGGCACAGATCACTGTGTTCAGTCTGAGGGGGCAGGGTCAGGCACAGATCACTGTATCCAGTCTGAGGGGACGGGGTCATACACAGATCACTGTGTTCAGTCTGAGGGGGCGGGACCAGGCACAGATCACGGTGTTCAGTCTGAGGGGGCGGGGCCATACAAAGATCCGCTCCCTCAGACTGAATACAGTGATTCTAGAGTCGCGGAGCAGTGTACACCAGGAAGGAGTTTGGAAGGGGACATGCAGAGGAGCAGCCCCCATCAGCGATGTGCCTGTTGGCAGGGTCCTTCTGTGCCTATATCTGTCTCTAACTAGATATGGGCCTGAGACCAACTAATGAACTGCTTCCTCATCATTTTTGTTATTAATATTTCAAAATATCATCAAGGCACCCGTGATTACCTCTTGCTACTGTTGTTCAGCTTCTTCTAAATCAAAGTTTTTCTCTGGAAGTGGTGGTGGTTGATCACATGCCAATGATAACGTAATACTATTATTATTATAAAAATTAGGAGTTCTCTTTTTAGCCTTTTGGTACATCATTGATACCTTGTCTAAACCTGTTGGACTGTGACTGCTATGCGTGGTTGCTTTAACATCTTGGTTATTGGTTGTCATAGTGTTAATTGTTTCTTGTGGTATCTCTTCTGTGATGGGCTTGTCCAAATTGTTCTCTAGATCCTTTTGTTCCTGTCTTTTTACAGACTGTTTATTCTTCCTGTTAACTTTAGAATAAAGGGGGTCTGGGCTTCCTATTTTAACATCTTTGATCTCTTCATTCCTTGTTGTTTCCCCTCCTTTGTTGCCAACGATTATATCCTGAGATTCCTTTGTTGGTTCTACTTGACTGCTAACTTCCACCTCTTTTGGTTGGCTCTGGGTTACTGTAGCATACAAAGGATCTTCAAGGATCTCCTGTGCTGGTTCACTACCAAGGGGCATGTCACGTTTCGGTGGAGGAGGAAGAGCCCTGCTTTTGAAATCATGCGGTAGATTATTTGGATCATTATTCTGGTCTGAAGCAGTGGTTTCCTTTAGAGCGGATACAGCATTCAGAGTGTTGTTCCCTGGATTTTTTTCCGAGACTACAAAATAAAAAAATTAAAATAGTAAATACAACACACTTATTTGCTCCATGTAAATATTTGCAAACCTGTAGATTATAACATGCAGATTCATCATCAAGTCACGGTTAGGATTAGAGAGAACTATGTAAAATGCACTCTCAGTCTACTACAAACCACTACTGGGAACAGATCTCCTGGTTTCCTGAATCTATATAGGCTCAACGCCGCCAGAATGTCATATATGTGCCACGACAAAATGGTGCTATACTTGCGGCATTTTGGCTATATAATGAAGTATGGCTAGCGCGTTTCACATCATTCTTCACGCTGAAATGACATGCGCCATAAATATTCTAGATAGGTCAAGGAAGACAGGTCGCATTATTTTTGAAGCAGGTATGCTGCTGTAGTGGGTCTCTTGGCTGGTTATACTCACTTTAGTCAGCTTACCAAATATTAGGGAAGCGAGCATCTTGGAAACACATTTTACAACACCCACTCCTTACTTCTAGGTATCACGCAGCAGCACAGTTCAAAATGTAAAGTCTCTCTCCTATGGCATACATTTCTATTTTTTTGAAGCAGAAACAGAAATTATCTGATAAAACAAGACATAGTCAGACTTTGGAACTCAAGATCGATATGCAAATATTCCTCAGTTATAGTCTGCATAGACAGTAACAATACCTGGCAACAGATATCTCACAACTTAAATTCTTCCTCTTTCTTTATTTTTATTTACTTCTCTCCCTTCACAAGACGTTTACATTTTATCCTGCATCCTGTAAGCTCTAGGAAACATTCAAACAAAACTATCTCTGTTCTTCTACCAATACTTACATCACGCATTAAGGAATGTTTCTTATTTCTTTTCAGTTTTATTGCTTACATATGACTATGATATAGTATGAAAGTATTCCATAAACGTTTATTTAAAGAAGATAATCTCAATATTAATTTCAATATTAAAGCCAGACAGATTGATGAATGGATGGACATACAGGAAGAGATGGATTTCTCTTACGGGCTTCCACTATATATATATATATATATATATATCTCTAAAGTGGAGTAAAGTGCCTCCTATTTTCCCCCAAAATTGCAGTATGTAGGATGGTGGGTAAGCAAGGTTAGGATTAGGTAGTTATTAGAGAGAGGGGTAAGGTACAAAGGGCTAGTCAATAATCCATGTTAGTTTCAGGTGCCCTCAAAATACAATTGACTGTATCTTCCACCATTCCCTTCCAGCTTGGATAAGGTAATACCTTCCAAGGGAATGAATCCACCTAAAATGTGGAGGTGAGCGAGCAGATGTGTGAGTCTTGGATGATGTGGCAGATATTATGGCTATTGGTTAAAAGGTGCTGAAATAGAAGGAATTCATCTGCAGGGGTAAGGAGAAAAGCCGGAGGAATATATGACACTGTGGTAGTACAGCCTCCAATATACAGGAGAAGAGCTGATCGACACAATAAAAATTTAAGCGTCAAAAGACAGGGTTTAGGGACATGGAGAAAGATGAAAATCTTCAGTTTCATTGTTACATAGCTGAAAAGAGACATACATCCGTAAAGTTCAGTCTCACATTTGTCTTTGCTGTTGATCCAAAAGAAGGCAACCCCCTCCCTCTCCCAGATTGAAGCACTTCCAATTTGCATAAAAACTAGAGAAAACTCATTCTCAACCCTAGAATGACAGTCAGATCTTTTCTTGGATCAAGAATCTATTATGCCATTAATTCAAAATGATATCCCTTATTATTATGTTTTTGCAAGTATTCATCTAGTTGTTGTTTAAACATCTGTATGGACTCTGATAAAGCCACCTCTTCAGGCAGAGAATTCCCCATACTTAGTGTTCTTACTGTAAAAGAAACCTTTCCTTAGACTAAATATATTTTCCTCCAGTCCAAATGTGGGACCTTGTGTCCTATGTAAAGTCCTGTTTATGAACGGATTTGCAGATAATGTTTTTTATCGGCCACAAATATGTTTGTTCAATGTTGTCATATCACCTCTGATATTTGGTTATAGAGACATATTGTGGATATTGATATGAGATACACTAGACAGGATTTGAGAGAAAAGGAAAGTGAGGAGCTGTTACAGCAAATACAGACACAAGGTGGACTAAGGAATAATGAAGGCCGGCAGATGTGAGAGAAGGCTCAAAGACATTGAGTCATCATTGTGTGGGTGAGGGGCTGATTGTATTAGTGTATGATAAGTAATAAAGTAGAGTATTAACCTGTAAGTGCTGTGACGAGGTAAAGCTACATACTAGGACTTATTCACTAAAATAGTATTTTTGAAGAAGAGATAAAGGAACTGTACATTGTAAATAAAGCTAGCTGAGCTTGAAAAGAGTTAAGTAGGAGAATTATTTCCAATTCTAATATTTTTGCCTAAAATTATCAGTTTTTTTAATTCTCTACAATCCCCAGTTCAGAAAATCAATCCCAGTTGTCAAAACGCGTCGGACAACTAGCGGTGCATGCATCAATGATGGCAACAGAAACTATAAAGTTAATTAAACTCTTGTTCTTTTAGAAGAATTGGTCTGTGAATATTTCATGCTATCTTACCGTACATGAATGCATTACCTTTTGTTAAATCTCAAGCACGTCCTGTGAATTGAATACAGCTGATTAAATTATAATTTCTCTGTGTATTTCCATTAATACAGTTCTACGGTTTCACGTTGGTTCAGAATTCAGTAAACCATCAAGAGTATTTTATTTCCAGCTGCCACATGGCAGAAAAAACCCGCTTATTAAGTGGATAATTGAATTTCTTCAGATGTACAGAGCTCTGTTCAGATTATACATGGTAATATTAACTTAGACAGATGGAGCTGTGATTTCATAGTTTCTTACTTTGAACAAAACATATACATACAAAAGGATTTATTTGCTAAATAGTGAGCTGAGCATATCAGCATCATAAATAGCACGCAGGTCAGACGGACTGAAAATACAGGATATTTTTTCACACTAAGTAACTTTGCAAATTAGCCATGAATTCTGTAAATCTGTTGGAATTTCACTAAAATCATGCTTTTTTTTCTCCCACTTGAAAAAACTTGTAATTTTGCACATGCGCAAGAGTATAGTACTGACATAGGCTCCTGGCAGATAAAGCACCTTGAGTTGTACAAAGCCCACCGGATGGACATGGCAGTGGCCACGAGGGTTATCTTCAGGTAAGTAAAACCTATCTATGACCTAAATCCACATTGCTGGTCATGAAAAATAACAGTCATATTAAGTATAAAACATAATTTAAACAAATTAACATTTGGGTGGTTAAATTTTGAGAACTTTCAGGACTCCTCCTTTACCTATAAAGAGAAGTATAATAGCTGAATGTCATGGAAGTTTTAGATGTGATTGTATTTCTCTGTCCCTTGTCCCTGATTCTTCATCTGATATGCAGTGTGTGACCAGGCTCAGCACGGGGGACGCAAATTAAACTAGATTGTGATATCGGTTGCTAAATCTTTCATATGAATTTAAGAGAAAATAGAAAAGGTTCATTCCCAGGTTATAGCTGATATTCACAGTTTTATTTAATGGTTTAATTTCCAGAGAGGTGACACTACCCCTTTAAAGGCATCACACGCTCAGATATGTATCATTTAACATCTCTCGTTGCAGAGTATTCTCCTCTTCAGTCACGGAGGGAATGGCGTAACGCACTAGAGGTGTTTTCTCAAGTGCCAAAATCTGCTTCCAGGAGGTAAAATGTGCAAATCTCCCAGATCAGGCCGAGACACGCTATATGCCATTCTGACTTGTTTTGCCAAATTCTGTCCTGTTTGTGTGCAACTGTTTAGCTTACTCCTCCCAGACTCAACACGGAGCCGAACTCACATCAACAAGAGTTTCGTCAAATCTATAAATCGAGTCCTTGCATTTCCCTGCTCCTTCTACTTGTGTCATGAATTAAATTGATAAAAAACATTCCAAATTCCGCACACAATCCCTGATCTTCCAAAACCATATTCCTCTGCTTCTTACAATAGTGATATTACGGAGCATGCAGAAAAAGAAATAAGGGTAAAGTGGGGTGGTTCCTCCCTCCGTTATATGCGGGTGGATGTCCACTCCACCATGGGATCTCTCTTAAAAGTATAAATTCATATGTATGGTACAACCTTTATTAAGCCAAGAACACACACATATTTATATATATATATATATATATATATATATATATATATATATATATATATATACACACACACACATATACATACACACACATACACATATATACATATATACACACACACACACACACACACACAAACTAACTATAAGTGACAACTTCTAAATGTGAGAAAATTATATAGTGAAAAACAAGTGGTAATATACCTTTAAAAGTTGGGTAGGCCAAGTTATGAAAGGCCACAGGGATGCCTGAAGTATAGTTATGTGGAATACACAGTTTCCAAATACTTAGTAATACTTCAAAACTTGGCAAACATATTATGTGGCAAAAAAAAAAAAAAAATGTTAAGTAACAAAGCTATAAATGGAGATCACTCTATTTACAGGATAAGAGGCTTAGAGTTTCAAATCTATATAACCCCACCACACTATATGATGCTATTCCTATCCAGGGCATAGCCTCTGGGCAGGTTATGTATTTATCTCAGACAGAAAATTTTCTAGATTTGATACTGTATAAGGTTACAAGATAACAAAATAGATTACTTGTGAATCTGCTACATTTAAGTTAGTAATGTTGCAAGTTCCACATGTGCACACCTCCTGTTTATCTCAGAGTGCACCGGAGAGAGGGTAATGTAGTGGGAGTCTTAATATCATGGATTAGACAAAATGAACAAGAGAAGACGCAACCTGTGTATTTGAGTGGAGGGTTATCAGGGTAGATTAGAGACACTGGACTGTGTGGTCATAGAAAGAAAAAGTAAAAGAGGTGAATCTTCAAATTTATATCACCTACAATTAAAAAAAAAAGAAAAAAATTTAAAAATAAAAAAATCGCCCATCTGTCAAATCAAGAGACCGTGCTGCTACACCTAAACTAAAAACCTCCTATTAACTCAGAATATTCACAGCCGTCTAAACTCCCACTGCTGCTTCAAGGCAGCCTGTCTATCAAACTAGCTTCTCCAGAGCCCCCCAGTCTCCATAAAGCACTTCATATAATCAGCCATGAGTCCCCCAACATTAAAAAACAAATTGGCACGAGAAACGCTCGACGCGCGTTTCGGCGTGCTATCACGCCTTTATCGAGAGCTCCCGGCATAGGAAGATAGGACCGGATATAAGCGACATATAACCCCGCCTCCAGTTTCGCCTGGCCTATCAGAGACCATCATGGCATACTGGGGCGGGGCTTTGAATAATTGTGGATTTGTACTGCCCCCTTCACCCCGATGTCTCACTTCACAGGGGGCGTGGGGCGCTATGATTGCTCGATACTTGCCCCGTATTTGTCATCCAGTGTCCCATAGAACCTAAATCACAGGATCCAGGGGTTTTCATTACCGGCTAAAACTTCAGTCATATAAGAGCGGGAGTTAAGTACTTCCCTGCTTGTCATCAGATATCAATATTACTCTTAGGGTAGCATACTATAATATTGCAGATGTTAAAATATGGTAAATATATATATATCTCTACACTGGGGGTGGTACCTTTTATATATAGCACATATAGTTTGCATAAATGGAAATTTAGCAGATCTAGAGTATAAGTATTATTCACATACTCCGTGTTCATGTGAAGGATTAGATTCTGCATGCTGTATATATAGGACTCACATCCTGAGTCTTATATATATCCCTTGGATTCTATAGTGGCCATAATAGTATCACAACCCAGATGTATCATCAAGGTGCACCTAATGGATCTATTTCAGACCCATAGCTGACCAACTATTACCATATTTAAATGGGTGTATTCTATGAATTATGTCATGCCTGTCCTCTAAGTGTGCTCAATTCACATCTCTTCAGGATATGCCTAAATTTATGTCCTCACTTATACCAGGTTACGGTTGCATATACCATATAAACAAAATAAAATAGTCAAAAACTATATACAAAAGGTTTATAAAGAAACCCGAACAGGCAGATTAGAGTTCAAAGTTAAGTTCAGTTTAAATATACAAAGAGTATACACAAAAAAAAAAACAACCCACTTCCTCCTACATAGAAATTTAGATGAATGGAGAGAACATAAATCCCTCATTAAGCCCCCTAGGGTTAAGGGTTTTAAGTTTATATATCCACCTGCATTCTTTTTGGCGTAATATTTTATCAAAATCCCCCCGTCTTTGGCCCCGTTTGATCAATTCTAAGCCGCAGAACCTGATCTCCTTAGATATAACTTCATGTTGTTCTTTTAAATGTCTGGAAATTATAGCTTCCAGCCGGTTCTTTGGAGATCTCACATGTTCCTTGATCCGTTCTTTGAACGGTCTAAAGGTCTTCCCCACATACATTAGACTGCAACTGCAGGTGAGGAGGTATACAAGTCTTGCAGTATTGCAATTAAAGAAATGTGTGATCTCATACTTTTGTTCTCCATTACTATCCATTACCCACTTAGAGTCCCGTAGAATATATTTACAAGCGACACATCTGCCGCATCCATATGATCCCCGAGGGATGTTACATCCTAACCAGGTAGTCCCCGTGTTACCCTTAGATGAAAAATGACTCGGGACCAGCATATCGTGGAGGTTTTTCCCTCTCCGTGCTGTTATAGTTGCTCAAGGGGTCAGGACATCTTTCAAGTGGGCATCTTTTAAAAGAATCGGCCAGGATTTCTCAATTGACCTCTTGACAGAATTCTACCCTGTGTCAAACGTACCAACCATCCGAATGATTTGGTTGGTAAGCGGATCTTGTCTTGGATGCTCCAAGATCAAATCCTTCCTGTTAATCTCCAGGGCCCTTTTATATGCTTTTTTCAGGCACTTGTTCGGGTACCCCTTTTCTCAGACCTGTTGTCTCAACAGATTGGCTTTAGTTTTAAATTCTGTTAGATCCGTACAGTTCCTACGTACCCTCAAATACTGCCCAACAGGTATCCCTTGCTTTAAAGGCTTGGGGTGGAAACTGTCCCATTTTAAAAGTGCATTCGAGGCAGTGGGCTTCTTGAAGAGAGTTGTTTTTATAGACCCGGTCTCACTGATGGAGATGGTTATATCCAAAAAATTCAGAGACTGACCTCCAAATTCAGCTGTAAATCTAAGATTCTCTTCGTTAGTATTCAGCAGACAGACAAACTTGGTAAATTCTTCCTTATTCCCCAACCATACAATGACGATATCGTCTATATATAACGATGCCATGACAGTATCATCGGTGTATAGACCTAGAGAGAGCTGGATTTCATCACCAACCAAGGTGGAGGTTGGCATAGGAGGGTGCACATGCCGTTCCCATGGCCGTCCCCCTCACCTGGTGGTAGAACCTATTGTGAAAAAGGAAATAATTGTGGGATAAAACAAAATGCAACAGTTTCAGTACAAACGTCGTATGGGGAGAATGATCAGGTCCTCTTTGGTCCAAAAAATATTTTGTGTGTTCAATACCTCGTTCATGGGGGATAGAGGAGTATAGGGCCTCCAGTCGGTGGTATTTGAAGATTTGAGAGGAGTAATAGGGCTTGTTTAGTATCTCTGATGTAAGAGGGTAGTTTCTCAATGAAGGGTCTTAAAATTTTATCAATATAAAGACTACTGTTTTGAGTTACACTCTCAATCCCCGATACAATAGGATGGCCAGGAGGATTTAGTGGGTCCTTGTGGATTTTTGGCAGGCAGTAGAAGGTTGCTATCCTTGGAAGACGGTTAAGAATAAAATTCATATTTGTCATTGGACAGCAACCCTCCACTGCAGCCCTCAACCAGGATCTCTTTAGGTTTTGTCAAAAAGACAGTTGGATCTGACTTCATAATCCTATAGGTATCGTTATTCCCCAAAACTTTTTGTACCATAGCTTCATAGTCTAATATGTTCATGACCACTATATTCTCCCCTTTATCAGCTGGTTTGATAACCAGCTGATCATTCTCTTTCAGAGATTTGAGGGCTATTTGTTCCTTTTTAGAGAGATTATCGTTGGGAAAGCAGTCAAATCATTAGTCTCTATGCCTTCGCTCTCACTCTTCACTGCCTCAAGGAACAGATCTAGATTCCTAAAGGTGGAGAAATTGGGGTGAAACGACCTTTTGGTTTCAAGTTGGTATAGTGGGGCAGTATTTGCTCATCACTCTCTTCTAGGAGAGACACCAAAGTGTTGACAAGTTCTAAATCTTTATTTGAGAGGCCTAGGGATTTTGCTCTCTTTTCTTTATTAATTAAATGGTATTTGTGTAGGGCAAGTTTGTGTAGAAACAGGTGTCAAAAATTGGAGTTGGTACGAAGGAAAGACCTCTCTCCAGAATTTTGATATGGTATGGTAAGCATGCACTTATTATTGCTCATATGTACAAATTCTTAGAGGGTATATTTGAGAAGTCTAGATTTTGCAGCCCTTGGGTGCTCTGTCATTGGTGTGAATATTTTGCTTGCGTCCCCTCCTAATCTGCCTTACTTGGCATTTCTTGCCAGATAACCATCCTACTTTAATCTTTATCCCCCCAGGTTTCAGGACAGGTGTACCTAGGCCAGATTCCTTCTTTTTCTCTATTTCCTCTTACTATTTATACATTTACCCTCTCACATTAAAGAGCCAGGGTTTTTTTCAATAAACACAGACCTGCAGTCAACTGAAAACTGAATTTGTTAACTTTTAACATATAAACATATTTGCCTTGATTTTTAAATTCACTAAATTTGATACTAATAATAAAATGAAAAAACCTTAGTATTTGTGTATTTACGTGTATACTGCTAAGTTTAGTTCTATGGTTAATCAAAAGGGCGAAAATAGAAATAGAGATATACATCTATGCATCACCGTCAGGACTGTCTCTTCGTAGCTGTCACCGCTAAAGGATCATTCCATTGAAAATAATTTCTTTAAAAACTATTTTCCTGATATACCCCCAAAGATAAGATGCATATATTTTTTATGCATGTTTTCTTTATGGCTATAGAGGGAAAAAAACAGTCTGCAAAAAACGCAGATCTGCTGTCTGCAGCCTTTGCAAGCTCTCGCCTCTTTCCATGACAAAGGCTTTGAGTCTCTGTTGGAGAATATTCTAATTAGAGAATTGATAAGATCTGTGCTGGAGCCGCTTGGGCGCACATGATCATAGCGGTCCCATGCTTCTCAATGAGCTGCGGACCTGCCTCTACCTTTAGCTCCATGGAGCTCAATCAGACAGGCGGGTGAGGCGTCTTGGGTGAATACTACAGAAGTCAGCACTTTTATTAGCTGTCACAACTATGACAGACTCCAGCAAGCTGAAGGGCTTTATGTTGCTAGAGAGTTTGTTTAATATGTGATAGGCCAGTAGAGGACCTATGAAAAAAAGACACCTGTAGAGTCTCTGTGTCTCTTTCTCCCCAGCCCCTCTCTTGGTAAATATTACTACGGGGATATAGCTGAATTAATGGGGTTGGGGGAATGCAGTCTGCAGTATTAGTCACATGGCCACAGTCCACCCTATATCATGGTTTTTAATACATGGTACACCATCACTCACAGCTACATATGGGATCTGAAAACGATTTGTACCGTAACTATATTAGATTGATGGTACCCATTATTAAAATGATATTAATAATACATGGTCTGCCTCTTAAAAAAAAAAAAAAAAAAAGGAAAAATCTTGATATACAAATAGAAAAATAAAAATACATATTAAGAAAAGCATAAAGTTTCAAAAATAAAAAACCAAACTCGCTTTCCTCCGGTCATGCCACAGCAACTGAAATAGACTTGGCCATTGCATAAAATGAGTTTACAAACTGTCTGTACTTCATACTGATAACATTAAATTACTGTGTTTTACTGTTTGTTGTTTATTTTTTTCTTTGCTAACCAACCTTTGTATTTATATTAACCCCTTAAGGACACAACTTAAGAAATAAAAGGGAATCATGACGGAATATTTCCATCATGTGTCCCTAAGGGGTTAATGCACAGAGCACCATAAACATTCATAGTACCTGTTGGTGTTCACTGTTCAGTATAAAGTGGGAGCTTGGAGCTGATTGACTGCTGACATGAAATGATCTCTGTCTGGAACTGTAATTGTATTTTTTTCTGTAACTGTTACTGAAGGTTTCGAAAATTGTAAAACAATTCAAAGATGGCCGCCCCCACTCTGAAACACCTTACAGACCTCTCTTACATAAAATATTATTCTATTTAAATTGTTTGTATTTTTTGACACTCTATAAGAATGTTAAATAGCATGTTAGCTACGATTTAAATGGACAGATCCTGTTTGTATCACCATCCTCTCCATTGTTTATAATATATTAAATACTCACTTTTTTTGTGAGAGACCAGAAAGATCAGGGGAGCCTGATATGCAATCACGGTGTTCATTAAATTCCAGTTTGGGACAACATATTTTTTACAAAAGAGCTGTTGTCCCATATCGGGATGATAGAAGTTACATTTTACAGTCCCCTCTATTTACTTTTTATGGTATATTTAAATAAGGTAATATGTCCATATCAAGCAATATATGGCATGCCTTATCAGCGATGTCTGAACTGTATCCTCATGCAGACCCGATAACTATTGCAGTATTGACTCAGGGCTCCTGACACCTGTTTCACATACAACAAAAACACTATTCAGCGAACACAATTTACCACTAAAACTATACCTTCAGGTGTCTTGTGACCTAGATAATGCACAAACCGTCCAAAGTTCCACATTAGTTCACCGTTCCTGACAATCAAGGGATACAGTGTATTCTACAATCAAACTTGTTTACTCGTTAGTTTAAATTAGAGAAAATTCGACTTGGCTGATCTATTTTTCCCCAAAAACAGAATTTTTTTTCGTGATGCCATAATTTTACCCAAAATCAGTACCAAAAAGATTATTCAAGAACCGAATCAGACAAACCATAAGGGCACAGAAATGGGCCAGTGGATTGCAAAATATATACAATATATACTGATAGGAGCATTTCCCTGCCATTCGGTTCACAGATCAAGAGAGAATATTTAACCTATAAAGAGAAAACGGGGTTAGCAGTAAGAAAAAATCAATAGTAAAATATTTTCTAGTAAATACATAATATATAAATACTGTATGTGAAAGGAGATTTTTTTTTTTTTATTCTCCACTTTTTTGTTTCCCCTTTATCAATCTAGCTCCAATCGCCCCAATTTGGAAAAATTGCAGTTCGGACCGAAACAAATCTCTGAGTCTAGTTTAAATCATGGTTTCTTTTTTAGGCAGGGACCCAAATACTTTACATAACAGTAGCTTGACGACCCTCTCTTTGCAGCGATTCCATTTCTCTGGAGAAGGCAATAACTGCTGTAACCAGTTTATTTTAGGCAGTTGCCTGGGTCCTAGATCAATAGGATGTGCCTGTTTTGAACATTAGGTACCCACAAAATTACCATGGGGACATGTCCTAAGGTATAAAAAACCCTGGTTTAAGGAGACTTTAAGATGCCAGGAAGCTTTTAAGCCATCAGTTCCAAAATGTAATGATGTGAACCTAAATATAAACCTAAATTATTGTCGTACTAACTAGTATATACAAGCGCGTTTCCCTTTTGGCTGTTCCTGTTTTAACACGTTTTTGAATTAGTAGCCAAAAAAGAAATCCCTTTATCATTACGAAACATTTTATTCTCATTCTCATCACGCCCACAATAATGTGTTTTAGGATAAATAAATTAGGGCCTAAAGCCATTGTCAACCAGGAATTTTGTCTTACCACATTATCCACTGATTAAATAAATGTAGAACGAGATTAACATAGATGCGAATGGAGCTGAAGCTCCAGGCCTATGGAATAGACACATTGAGCTAAAATAATATATATGTAAAGAAAATTTTTACTACACTCCTCATGCTCTTACTTTGTGCAGGGGAAATTAAGTATGGAAACCTAAGAGGGATGTGGCCGGAACAAAACTGGTGTGGACTGGCTGACAATGAAATTAGTTGCTCTTGCTGCTTCAGTCTCTCGAACACTGTGGCGTGTTCCCTTTCTTCTACACTCACTACATACACCTTTCCTCTGTCCCAGACGGTATAACAGGAGCTTCTGTCTGCTAGTAAGAAGGAAAGGAGACAAGTGAGTGCTAGGGGCCATTAGGGAACTTTCCCCAGAAAACTTAGAGAGCGCATCATTAGACAGATCTGAGCTGTCTGCTTAGTCGGCCAGCCTGTGTGATTGGCAGGCATCCGGTCATGCATTCATGCTAGGCTTCCCTTCCAATTCTTCATGCTGACCGGCATCCTTTCTGGGTATGTCTGCTCCTATTGTGGTTTTTTTACTGTAAGAACAATCAGGATGTGGAATTCTCTGCCTGAAAAAGTGGTTTTATCAGAGTCCATACAGATGTTCAAACGGCTACTAGATGCATACTTGCAAAAACAGAATATTCAAGGATATAATCTTTCAATGTAGGATAATAACTGCTTGATCCAAGGATAAATCTGACTGCCATTCTGGGGTCAAGAAGGATTTTTTTTCCTAGCTTGTTGCAAAATTGTGCTCCAAACTGTTTTTTTTTTGCCTTCTTTTGTATCAACAGCAAAAAACAAATGTGAGGAAGGCTGAACTTGATGGACGCAAGTCTCTTTTCAGCTATATAACTATGTAACTAGCCCACCTCCGTTTACCCCACCCACAGACATCCAGCTTCACAGGGCGCCAGAATTGGGGGAAATGAATTAGGCTGAGAGATGAAAGCGAGCGATTAGCAGAGGGAATGTGTTTTCTCATAGCTGCACTCTGAGATTCCTGCAGCATCACCTCCACCAGATACAGGACACTCGATACGTACTTACAGGTTTGTTTTCTGTCAAGAAGATTCTGTAATTAGTTCCATCATAATAGTGAGCACCAGGCCTAATGGGCTCTTAATTTGGCCCTGGGTGAGCTACTTACAGTAATTCGCCATTGTTCCAGGACTATAAACAATAGTAAATAACTGGGCTTAGTTTTCCCTCAGTGCTGTGCTGTGATCCTATTGCTACATGTGTCGCTTCTCTAAGAAAATCAATGCTAGAGTAACGTTTCAGCTGTTCATGAGATACGTTTTCTCACATACAGCCAGCCTCATGCTTATAATATATTCCAGAATACACCTTTACTGATCGGCAACTCCTTTTCTAGCACATTACAATTAAAACAAAATTATTATTAACTAGAACAAACACCAGGCATTAATGGTTTGAACTCCCACAGGAGCTCCGGGTGGGAGGGCATTGCTGGTGCCAATAACAGGAGTTCCTTCCTGGAAAAGGGGTGTCAGTTGGGCATCAATGCATGCTAGGTTTATCACTAAATGACAAGAACTGCAAGAGAAAAAATGTAGGGCACCGTGACCTGGTATTACCTCAGTTTGTTGCCCAGATCAATATAGGATCACTGAATATTCTGTAAAGGGACATGTGACACTTTTAGACAACTGACCTATTCAAAAGCTTTAGCTGAGAATGAGACAGTACCCTCACAAAAGGCTGAAAAAAGCAGGTACATTAAAGGAACACTATGGTGACTGGAATACAAATAAACTTACCTTTACTTCAGCGCCGCGCAGGTCTGCCACAGCTGGCTCCACCTAGATCAGTCTCCTTGGCTGAGATAATCAAAATGGATGCTTAGCCAATTCAATGCTTTCCCAGAGGAAAGAATTGGGAGGCTATTGTGCATGAACTGCAAAACGCCACTCTGCGCCAGTTAGCATCTCCTCATAGAGTTGCATTGAACTAATGCATCTTTTTGGGGAGTGTTCAGTGTCTCCATGCACATTGTGGAGATGCTGAACATCAGTGCTGCACATTGCGCAGCACTGACCCAGGAAGCGCCTAGAGTGGCCATGTGAGTGACTGCCACAAGAGGTATTACTAGACAGTAACGTAAACACTGCCTTTTCTCTGAAATTGCAGTGCTTAGAGTAAAATGTCTGCAGGGACATACTATACACACCAGAACAAATACATTAAGCTGTAGTTGTTCTGGTGACTATAGTGTCCCTTTAAATATGATTTTTGATTTCTTCATATTTACATGCTTCCTATTTTATGCTTTTCATACCCATTGCGGCGGGACACCTTCACCAGTGTCTTATGCCTAGGAATATTGTGGAAGTGAATTGGGCATGCCTGACAGATTAACACACGTACAGTTAGAAGATCTCTTTACCTTGCAACATCCTGACAGGGGGACAAAGAGGGAACCTGGTCAGTGTGATCGGCAGAGTAGGCTCTGTCTTTGGGTTTCTCTCTCCTGCTGCTGCGCAATGATGCCCTGTTTATGTCATTAGTGGACTGGTCTGAAACTGAGATGGGTGGGCAATGGGGGAGGGGGAAGAAGCTGTCCAAGATGAGAGACGTGCCCAACAATGCAATCTGACCAAATTTGTAAACAATTATTACATACTTTCCAAAGCTTTTTTTTGCTATTTTTTTTTTTTATTATTTATTTTTGATGTGCATGGTATAACAATAGGCTTGTTCAGCCACAATAGCAGTCACAAGCAGTAATGTAACAAACAGTTGAAACATAACGTGGTATATGTGTATACAGCACATTTTTAGTTTTGTAAGAGAAAATATAAACAGTGGGTGAGCGTTGCTTGAGATTTACAGAACGTTTGACTATGCCACAATGGCGGAGTTAGGAGATGTAAACACAGCGTTTGTACGTTAGTGACAGACATATCGGCACATTTTTAAAAGTTGTAGTTTGTATGCTAAGTTACGCTTTTATGAGCTTTAGTCTTGTGTGTCAGGTAAGGTTATAAGTACAGGCTTAAATACAGATTGACTTACTGACATATTAGAAAATAATAAAGTAATAAGCTTAACTAAATGAAGTGTAAAAGTAAAGTAATATACCACCAGGCAAAGCAGGGCAGACTATGTCATCGTCAGCATTAGGCATAAAAAACTAACTGGCATTTCTTATAATGGTGATTATAACATGAATGACATTGCAGTATGTTTAATTATAGAATGCAGCCGCAGTAACCGCTTTTGAGGCTGTCGGAAGGTTCCGTGGTGTGTGCCTTAGGTGCCAGTCATCGTGGGATGTTGGGGTTGCCTCCGGCTCTGGTTGCATAGGAGATGTTAAAGGCAGTTTGTTCCCATGGTTGGGGATAGTCCCTATAAGAAGGTCCTCTGAGTCCCAAAGTCTTGCCAGAGGGCACCGTGGTTGCAGATTGCCGGGTCTCCCAGTCGTCTGGTGGGTGATTGTTAACGCGGTGCCACTTAAGCCGCTGTGTTCAGGTGCGGGCTGCGTTATATTAGGGTCGATGCTTGGGTATGCCTTCTCTGGGTGTACCCCCCTGGTTGGTCACTGGTCCCGGTGATAGGGAGCGCTGGTTAGGCGTATTGTGGCGGAGCAGTCTGCTTCCATGCGCCATAGGGGGTTCTCCATGTTTAGGCCGGTGGAGTTGTTAAGCTGCCGTCGGCCATTTAAAGGAGGCATTGTGGGAGCCATTTACCTTCAGCGTTTAGTCACCCTGTAGTTGTGTGTTGATGACATCATGCCTGGTGGGGGCCAGGATAACCCCAGAGGGGGGGTGAACGAGACTGGGAGGACGCCAGCCATATCATAGTAGCCAGATTGGAATGCGAGGCAGCGGCCGTCCGCCCCGCTCTCCTCCTGGGTAGGCCTCTGGTCTCAAGCCCCAAAATGTCTCTCCAGGACCTAGAGTCACCCGGTAACAGGTGCTCCAGCTACACCGGGACTATCCAGGACTCCGTTCCCCGAACCTCCAGAGCTCTCATGCAGCATAAGGTGGGTATTTTCCCCAAAATTAGCTTGATTCCGCAGGAGCTCCAGTGACCTGGAGCCTGTCGCCTGTCGGCATGGCCGCCCGCACCCGCCCCCTTTTTTACTATATATCTATTTAAACAGGTTTGCTTGCTGGTTGAAAGAAAAATAATTGCCAAGTGTCCCTTTAAAGCTTTCCTGGGTGCTACGAAGAAAATAGAGGCCAGACTCATCTACTATACTGGCAGAACTCATTCTCTTAGTGCCATCAAAATGGAGGGAGCAGCCTGACTGGAAGGAAGAGGAGTCCTAAGAGTACAGTGGGAACCTGCCAGTGATAACTTCATGGAGCAATGCTCTAAAAATAATTTTCAAGATCATTTTTAGGTTAAGTTATAGGGGAAAGGCATGGATACCTGTTAACCTGTTAAGAGTGACTTCTTGACTAGTGCCCCAATAATAAGTGCACCATGGGTAGTGCCCCAATAATCAGTGCACCATGAATAGTACCCCAATAATCAGTGCACCATGGGTAGTACCCCAATATCTGTGCACCATGGGTAGTGCCCCAATAATCAGTGCACCATGGGTAGTGCCCCAATAATAAGTGCACCATGAATAGTACCCCAATAATCAGTGCACCATGGATTGTACCCCAATAATCAGTGCACCATGGATAGTGCCCCAATAATCAGTGCACCACGTGTAGTACCCCAATAATCAGTGCACCATGGGTAGTGCCCCAATAATCACTTCGATGATTTTAAAATGACTTGCAATATTCTCAGCGCCATGCCTCAGCATCCTCCATTAAAGGGTTAATCCAACCACCATGACCACTTCTTCCTGAATTACTGTACACACAGATATTTGCACTGCTTTCTGCCAATGGGTGTACTATGTAGCTCCCATGCATGCACTGCCTGCAAGGGGAAGTGTGTATGTCCCCTCCTATGTAGCTCCCATGCATGCACTGCCTGCAAGGGGAAGTGTGTATGTCCCCTCCTTCTGCTTTAATTGAAATCCCGCTTGCCTATACCCTTAACAGTTTTTTTTTTTAACCTCCCTCTTTCGCTCCCTACGTCTCCCCTACCGTCCCTTCCTCTGTCCAACCTCACCCCCTCCCCTTACCGGCTCAGAGAGGGTGCATGTGCATTGAGCCAGTCAAACAGTCCAATCAAATGCTTTTCTATGAGAAGCATTTAAAAGGGCCAAAGATGCGACATGTCATTGGGACAGGGCGTAGAAGATCCTCGCTCGGCGCTGGATTACAGGTACGTTTTAAAGGGGACTGGGGATCCCATTTTATCGTGCACAATAGAAAACTAAACAAAGAAAAATGTTTTACAGAAAGAGTTGGAGTAACCGTTTAACCCCTTAAGGACCAAACTTCTGGAATAAAACGGAATCATGACATGTCACGCATGTCATGTGTCCTTAAGGGGTTAAGTCAGTTACATGCTAGGTATCTAGATTAACCAATAGTTCAGACACGGAGATGTGCTGGTAAATAGTGCAGTGTTTTTAAAAAGTATCTGGAAAATGTCAGAAATTGACCTATCTCAGCGTAGCTGACATATTTATATCTGCTGTTCCTAATGGTGCACTCATTATATTGATTTATGCCATTTACATGATGGGTTATAACATTATTTCAGATTTAGAATCCGATCCAGACTTGCCGTTTTCTGGCAATATTTCAATGATTGATCCTATATCTTTCCACATTTTTTAAGGATTTCCAATGTATTCTAAAGCCTGCTAAGCATGTCTACTTATATAATCCAGAATATCGATGCTGTTTATATTTGTATTTTTTATATATTTTTTTTAATATAATTTATTGACAGGCTAAACTTAGAAACTATTTTAAAGCGGCACTGTAACCCCTACCTTCCCCTTCTTCCCTACCCCCCAGAAAATGAGTATTTTATAAAGATAGAGTCTTTGTATAATACTCATATTGTCTATGTTGGAATTTATATTCTTTATACTCTGTCTCTGTATATTTCCTCTGTCTGACACTTCTAGACACTGGACGGAGCTATTGCCGTCTTGGAGTGAAAGTACCCCTAGCCATCAGGGAATTGCTTTTACCTATCCAAAGACCTTAATGCTGTACTCTCATGCTTGCAGCGCCCACAAGGGACAAGTTCAGGTATATAGAACTCATCTTTGCTTTCCCCTCCCCCGGCTCCCAGAGGCAATGTCACCGTCGAGGGCTCTTTGCAAATTATGCAAAGTCCCCAGACGGTAACACTTTAGGTATGTCACATTATATTAGGATATATACACAATGTATTGGCGTTTACACACTATCTTTGCAGAAGTAATGTGATGTTCTATTTTTGAAGGTTAAGTGCTGAGGGTTTTTTTATTCCATTTTTTTTTTTTAAAGCTTTAGTTTGTTTTTTTCTTTTGATTTATCCGTAACTATTTAACCACAGAACCAGAGAACAATTATATATCTTATTTGTTGACATCTATGATTCTAAACACATATCAGCCGGGATCAACAGCCAGAGGCATAGAACAAAAAAGTTTTCCAACGGTACCTGTGCTAACACTATGTTTCATGTAACAATGAAACTCTCTAGCTAGGTAGCAGGTATCTCAAGATTTCCACCACGTCCTATACAGATGGTCCGGGATCTTGAATCCCGGTCAAAGCATCGATGATTGCAATTAAATCCTGTCCCATTCTCCAAATTACACATTGTTAATTATGTGTTAACAGAATGACTAGGCCACCTCTGGAAGACCACCTGCTGTGGCTACAAATCTCAGTTATTGCACCCCATCAAATACAGATTCCACCGCAACTAGACAGCATGAAGACATCTATCTTTGAGGAATACCAAGTGAAATGCTTTCTCTGTGCATTGTTTAGGATAGGTTAAGACTCATTGGCTACTTTATAAGTTTCACGAAACAGACACCATCTGTGAATGTTGAAAGAAAAAGAAAAAAATACAAACACAAGAAATACAAATGCACCTAACCAACACAGTGGTAGGAATATACACGAGTACTTAACTTGGTATGAGATGAATGCAGCTTCCCAAGAGGTTTCCCCCAAACGAACCTCAAATGCAGATATGTAAATGGACAAAATAGGGATACAGCTGAATGACTAAAAAACATAAGAATACATAGTACATAGTGAAGTACCGTCACAGTGATAAAATATAAACTTCAATGATTGCACTCACAAAATAGTGATGGATAATGCGCCTTTAAGTGATGGATAATGCGCCTTATTCACCCTCCACGAATAGGTTGCTCTGTCTTCAAAGAAGTGGGAGTATGCCAGTGAAGTATAAAAAAATTTTTTTTATTATTATTATTCTCTATATATTACTTCACTATGTACTATGTATTCTTATGTTTTTTAGTCATTCAGCTGTATCCCTATTTTGTCCATTTACACCATCTGTGAATATTTAGTATTTTCACAAAACAGGTCAGATGTCATCACTACTCAAACCTACATGGGTTTTAACTGTCACATGAATAATATTAAACTCAGAAGATTTCCTCTTCCAAATATGCTCACTCAAGGAGTCATCGCCAAAATGATTTATGACTCCACATTTCACAACTTAAAGGGAATATATCATGAGGGAATTAATTGCATTTTGTGCTTTTAAGCAAATGGTAATCTTATACAGTTCAAATATACACGTACATTTCTTGTCAGGTAAAGGATTTTTTTTTGTGATTTACTGATCTGAAAGTGCTTTATGTATGCGGCCATTTTATCTGCCTTCTAGTCAGCCCCCTTATATCACAAAACCTCTGTAATGGCTGGTACCTGGCTCGTCTGGTAATTAAGGAATATAACATACTGCAGTGAAACTTGAGCAGAAATGAAAGTGACACATTGCAAAATATATCCCAACATTTCTGTGACTCCCCCTTTTCCACCATTTTAAAGTTGGCTACTAGATTTTCTTGATGCCATCACTGCTACAAATTTCACATCTCACAATAGCTTCGTCAGAAGATCTCCCACTGATTGCAAGTGATCCAACTGTAGAATGTGACGGGCAGATCACCCTTGTAAGGGCATTGTTACCTAGAGTGAGGTTAAAAGGCTCTGAAGCTTTACTAATTATTAAAATAATTAAGAACCTTCGCAGAATTGGAGGAATAATGCATGTATAAGTTGTATTATTATTTTAGTATGTTTAGAATGAGTTTAGTTAGCTGGGGAGGGTTGATACACTTAGTGTATGTCCGCTGAGTGAGAATTGTTGACAATTTGCAACAAGTTACACGTACAGTCATGTATTAATTTAACTGCCTCACACTACACACAACACACACTATATAGTTAGCGATAGACAGACAGAGTGACAGACAGACAGACAGACAGAGGGATAGATAGATAGACAGACAGACAGATTTACGGACCTATAAATAGAAAGTTCCAGATATTTTGATCCAGAGGTTTTGCTGGAGAATGTAGGCTCTCTACCAATGGGACTTTCTCCAGCATAACCAGTGAAACAAACTAAATAAGCATTAACTGATGCAGGATGATAACATTTCAGCATTTATCATAAACCGCTCTGATCTTTCCCTTTAATTTGCTGTCAGAATGTACATTATACACAAGTTCTTTCTAATTGGCCATTATTTTACCATTCTTGGCACATATTAGTGTATAATCAATTCCTCTACAATGAAACTCCCAGCAATGTGTACTCACACTGCAATTATTGTGTTTAGGTGATCATTTGTGTGAATAAGATACTCTGCTCCTCTTCTCAGTTACATTCCTTGTGATATAAATGGCTATTTTGCACGGATTGTTACTGATACATTGCTTGTGATATAAATGGCTATTTTGAATGGGATTGTTATTGATACATCGATTGTGATATAAGTGGCTATTTTGCACGGATTGTTACTGATGTATTACTTGTGATATAAATGGCTATTTTGCACAGATTGTTACTGATACATTGCTTGTGATAAATGGTTATTTTGCACGGATTGTTACTGATGTATTCCTTGTGATATAAATGGCTATTTTGCACAGATTGTTACTGATGTATTCCTTGTGATATAAATGGCTATTTTGCATGGGATGTGCACACACTAGATTTACTTAGTGTTATTGATACATTTCGTTACCTTTATGGCTGACTCCATGTGTTCCTTTCTCATTTTTTCTTAATGATTCTTTCTTTATGGTCTGTTAAAAGAAGGAGAAAGACATACTTATAAAATATTGAAGTTTTTTTATTCCCCTCTCTTCACCCTATTGTCAATGAGTGAAGGTCAGCGTTCTTCCTATAAACCGTGCACATCATGCTGCATCTGATCCAAATAGTTAGACAGACTGACTGCTGTCTGGAGATAACTGTGGGGACAGCTCACACTAGAGGGAACACAGAAGCTCTTAGTCAATGAAGCAGTTTTGGTGTATAGATCATGCTCCTGTAGCCTCACTGAGCAATTATCTGCCATTTAGGAGTTAAATCAATATTGTTTCTGTATATGTAGTCCTAGCCACACCTCCCCTGGCTGTGACTGACACAGCCTGCATGAAAATAAGGTTTAATTTTCAATAAAATGTTAACTTACTTTAGATATTTTTTCATCTCCTCCTCTGTAAATTGAACTTTAAATCACACACACAAGAGTCTCCTGTGATTATCTAGCAAGCAATTAACAGAGCAGGGGATAATACATTCAAAATTATACAGAATGTGCTATAAAGGAAGTGTAAACATTAGATGACTCTTTACAGGAAGTGTTTAGGAAGGCTGTTAGTCTCATGCAGGAAGGTGTGACTAGGGCTATATAAACAAAGTGATTTAATTCATAAATGTCAGAATTGAGCAGTGATACTTCGGAGGCATGATAAAAAGTTGTAATCAAAATGATTTAACCCTCATTGAAAATCAGGTTTTTTGTGAACATGTACAGACTTTCAGCTGTTTGCAGTGAACAAATCAAACAAAAGCAATTGAAATAGTTTCAAGTTGTTTCTTCAAATTCAACTGAAAATGCAACTTATGACTTCTCCAGTCTCAAAATTATTCAACCACCTGAATAGAATCCCCCAAAACACTAAAAATATGCAAAACAGGTATTGTCTCAAGCACACCTGATGCAACTAATCAAGGGATTCATTAGTTGCACCAGGTGTGCTTGAGTTGGAACACTTGAAATACCTGAACTGGCTAGGGGTTTATTGAGTGACACATTTGACTGCATGTTAGAAATATGGCAAAATAGTGGTCCACAAACTTAAGAGAATAGATCATCTCCCTTCACAAACAAGGAACAGGATACAAAAATATAGTCGAAGGCACTGCATGTTCCTAGAGACACCGTTGGAAGCATACTTTGCAAGTTCAAAGTAAGGAAGCTATCAATGGCTGCAACCAGATTTCTGAGAAGGCAGGTTGTAAAAAACCCTCAAGTGACTGCAAAAGACCTGCAGCAAGACTTGGTGGTAACAGGAACTGAGGTTTTAGTGAGCATAGTAAGGCGCATACTAAATGCAGAAGATTTCCATGCCAGAATTCCAAGACGTACATCACTACTAATCCAAAAATCACACGAAAAGTCGGATCTAATATGCTCAAAATCATAAAAAATTCACAGAAGTTTGTGGATTCTGTTCTGTGGAGCAATAAAACAAAACTGGAACTTTTTGGGCCAATGGATCAGTGGTATGTCTGAGGGAAGAAGAATGAAGCATATGTTGAAAAGAACACTGCCTACAGTTAAGCATGTTGGTGGCTTTGCATCCACTGGCACTGGAAACCGGCAGCGTGTGGAAGGCTAGAATGACTCATTGAAGTACCAGGCAATCCTAGGAGAAAAAAACATTCCGTCTTGTCAGTATATTTATATCGGCAGACATTTTGTGCTAAAATAGAAATTAAAAGTGTCTACTGACAGTCACACTTAAAACAAAGCTGACTCCATTTTGGTATCTTCAGGCTAAGAAAGACACATAATTTCTTGCTTTCTGTAACTCCAGCCATTCAAGCCTGAGCTAAGGAGTGTGTAATGTAAACAAGGCAATGAATCTAACAGAGAAGGGGGATGGATACTCTTCTTAATGTTAATGAAATAGATTAATCTTACACACAGCTTCACACAAGAATAACAGAAAGCCAGACACCAATAACAGATAACACCAAGTAATTAATTTACTTTCTAAATCTTACAAGGTCCCATTGTAAGAAATGGGGTGAAATTCAGGTTAGGAGGTGTCAATTTTAGAAATACGATAGGAATTACCGATGCTTTGTCTGGTGTGAACCTTTGACATTGACAGCAAATTTGAGTTATGCAGTCATAAAATAGATAAAGGAATGACGTCGAAATCATCATCAAATGAAGTTAACGCTTTCCTGGACAAGAAATTTTGGTGATGTAATGGCGCCATCTACTGACCAAAAACTAGATAATACTAGATAAGGTAGACACACCTACTGCTTCCTAGTCGTCCGATCAACTAATGACGTACTGAGAGTTTGGCCCTTTAAAAAGTAAGAACAAAAGGGAAGAGAGGGACACTCACATTCAGGACACACATTGAGGAGACACTCTGGGATTGACACTCAAATCTGACATTCAAGGACTTATACTCTTTGAACACATTCAAACTCTCTTAAAAAAAAACTTAAGAAACTATTTCCTGGGACTATCTGCTCATCTGATAAGAACATCTACAACATAACTGGTAATTATGCTGGTTTTATTTAATTAATTTAAATTAATTGAAATTTTACATAGCAGGAATATATGCCTGGATAAAATCGGCCAGATTTCATAATTAGAAATTTTAGTTAACTAAAGAATATATGGTTATAAAAATTCCATTCTGCAGGTGGAACAACAATATATTAACTGTAATATTTATCAACAGATTAGCATACCGCTGTTTTTATCCAGGTGTATTGATTTGCTCTGAAATAAGATAGAGAATCTTATGTAAGGAAATTAAAATTCGGCTAATGTAAAATCTGGCAGATTATTCTCATTGCATGGTTCCAGGAATGGTTAATGATCTGGTATGAACATTGTTTTATATTGAATATTGCAACATAATAGGATATATATTGACTAGGAGGATTGCAACCAGCATTGGAAGAGTTAATCAGTGTGCTCTAACTGTCAGCCAAAGTTTTTATGGCTTCTCGCTGTGCTGTGAGCTTTCTGGGTCTGTGAGATTGTTTACCTATCATAAATTTTGTTACGACAGTTGGTGCTGTAGCTGCTATATTGTGTTCAAACCATTGCCATACTTTGTATACCTATGTTATACCTAAATATTCACTGATTATTATCACGCATGTTACATATTTTATTATTATTGTCACAATAAATTATATTTTTATAAAGAATTGTGATTCACGGTGTGGAATAAAATCCTCTGATCATCGGCTTCTAGGATCTAAGAGAATTAAATAGTGGGAAATTATCAGCTTTATTATATTTTTAAATTCGGGGACAGTGCCATTATTTCAATTTTGATATAATAAAAATTAAAATAATTTTTATGAAAAATATTATTTTAATATTTATCACCCCATAAATATCCCCACAGCCTGTGAGGAAGCTGATGCTTCCTCATTGGACATTCCAACAAGAAAATGGTCCAAAGCATACCTCAAATTCCACCAAGGAATGGTTGCAAAATAAGTCCTGGAAAATTCCACAATGGCCATCACAGTCACCTGACTTGAACCCCATAGAAAATCTCTGGTGATGTCACGATTCGTGGAACCTAACACGCTGGCACACACACACACAGAAAAGGTGCCGTACCGGACCTTAGAGTGGCCGGGCTAAGCACGCTAAGAATAGTCAGGAGACAAGCCAGGTAAAGGGAGCCAGAAAACAGGAGAATGAGAAACAAGCCGAGGTCAAAAGAGTGGAGAAGACAGAATAATCGGAATAACGAGCCAAATAATCGGTAACCAGAGAGCAAGATGAGAACACTACGCTACAGGTATCAGACCACAACAGGGCACTGAGGGACAGGAAAGGTAAGTATAAATACCCTAGGTTTAATTCTGATTGGATAACTTCCAATCAGAATTAACAATCACACGTGGGGGATATCTATACCCCCCACTGTGATTGTGGTACTGTTTCTTTAACGCCGGGTCACTCACGTGACCCCGGCGTTTACATAATTCATTGACCTCCCAGCGTTATACATGCTGCCGCTGGGGGGCGTGGAGGACGCGGGTGGCGAGCGGCAGAGAGGAGACGCCGCTCGCCGAGAGGTAAGCAGAGGGGAGACCGCGGGCAGCAATGGAGTGAGGGTGAGTGCTGCAAGCGGCGTGCAGCCTCCCCTCCTAGCCGCCCGCGGATCCCTGACAGGTGGGATTTGAAGAAGGCTGGTCATGACAGCAGGTCATTTTCAGCAGGTCATGACAGCAAAAGGGTGCTCTGCTAAGTACTAAAAAGATGCTTTCCATGAAGGGGTCGGATAATTTTAAGACTGAAGAAGTCATAAGTTTCATTTTCAGTTGAATTTGGGGAAACCAATTGAAGCATTCGTGGTGTTGAGCTATTTCAATTGCTTTTGTTTGATTTGTTTATTGCAAACCAACTGAAAGTCTGTGAATCTTGACAATAAACCTGATTTTCAAAGAGGGGTGAATCATTTTGATTATATCTGTATATACCATAACTGCTTAATCAAGCTAAAGTTGTTTTGGTGTCTATTGTATCCCTTTAATATAAGGGCTGTTACAATGATACAACATGCAAGGACCTTTGCGTATAAAGAAGAAAATAGAATCCCCTGTGTAAATAAAAAAAGCTTTATTGAGTGCTGTAAGGAGTGCCGAGACAAGGGGGGGGCAGGGGAAGGGCAGAGACGATACCTTTGTAGGTCTTCTAGGTTTGGTCATTTTACCTAATAGTCCCATAGTCCATATTTCATATTTCCCACCATGCCTATAAGAAGAGTTAGATAATCTACTAGTTGAGGAAATGGCTAAAATGACCATGAAGGGGGAAGTTATACTCATTGGGTGACTTTATTCTTCCTGATGTAAATTGGAAAACCAAAATAGCTGCTTGTGCCAGGAGCACACATATTATTATTGCCATTTATATAGCGCCAACAGATTCCGTAGCGCTTTACAATATTATGAGAGGGGGATTTAACTATAAATAGGACAATTACAAATAAACGTACGGGAACAATAGGTTGAAGTGGACCCTGCTCAATGGAGCTTACATTCTATAGGAGGTGGGGTGTAAAACACATTAGGACAAATTACAAACTCCCTACTGGGATTGTCTCTAAAACAAGTCAGTGACTGTTCTCACTTTAAGGGTATTAAATAATTAGGTATATGCATGTAAGCATGTGGAACATAAGGACTTAAAAGTAAACATGTCTAAGTATTAATTAGATTTGTACTTAACGAGGTGGTTAAAAGAAAATTATTCACAGGTATTAGTAAGTTAAACAGAAATAGATTTATTTAAAGTAAAGAATCACAGAGCAATGAAGCTAAGTATAAAATAATGGAAGAAATTTTTTTATTTTTTTTTCTCTCCCTCTTGGAGAGGGATTGCAAACTTGTAAATATTACTACCTCTTTCTGGATACGCCCACTTAGTGTCTAATTTAAAGACACAGTAAAGACTGAATTTCTATATGAAAATTTACAGTCTTTGTGATAAAAAAGGAGGATTTCCTCCTATGATTTTAATATTTTGTTTTGTGTGTTTGTGCAGATATGTTTATGCAGCAATAGGGAAGGGTAACGGTTATCGAGTGGAAAGAGATGCAGGGAGGTTTTTGAAGATAAAATGATAAAAATGTTTGCACTTAATGTTCAGGGATTGAATACTATAGCGAAAAGAAATCTATTGTATAAATACCTCAGTGAAAAACAATTGAATTTAATATTCTTACAAGAAACTCACTGGAGACAAGTGGATAAACAAAATTGGGGGGGTAAAAGATTTCCACTTATAATTCAAGCTTCCAATAAGGAAAAAAAAAAATGTGGAGTAGCTGTGGTATTTGGAGAAAAGATTAAAGTTGAAGTAATCCATCAAATACAAGATACTAAAGGCAGGTATTTAATAATAATAATATGCAAAATTGACTCTGTACTTTTTACATTATGTAATATATATCTTCCTAATCATTTACCAGTTGCTTACTTAAAAACAATTTTGGAAAAAGTAGATGAAGTTAAAGTGGGAAAGTTAATATTGGCAGGGGATTTTAATGCTGTACTAGACCCTCAGATAGATAAAAAATTAATGAAAGGAAATACTTTAAATCAGATGGTTATAAAACAAGCAAAAGCCTTAAAAAAAATTAAAGATGAATATAATTTATTCGATATTTGGAGAATTTTTAATCCCAATGAGAGAGACTATACGCATTTTTCTAAAGTGCATTTTTCCTATTCAAGATTGGACATGATTTGGGTCAACCCAAGTATTATTGATATGACCAAAAAAACTAAGATTGACGAGATAGTTTGGACAGACCACAATGGAGTTTTTTGTGAAATGATTTTTAGTACATTTAAAAGAGAAGCCTATACTTGGCGGTTAAGAGATAATTTGCTTTGTTGTGAATTAAAAAAAAAAACTCATAAGAGATAATATAAAAAATTATTTTAAAGAAAATATCTCAGAAAATATTGATTCATCTATTTTGTGGTGTGCCTTTAAGGCCGTTATAAGAGGTCATATTATCAAGTTACAAAGCCAACTTGACAAAAATAATACTTTGGCATTTTTACACACAGAATTAAGAGATTTGACTCATATCAACAAACAATCTCCATCTCCTGAAATTTATGAAAAAATATTAGAACTTAAAGAAAAAATAAAGCAAAAATTAATGGATATGATAGCTAAAAATATGGATAGATTAAAACTTAAATATTACTCCAAAGGCAATCGAGCTGAAAAGATGCTATCCCAAAAACTTAGAAAACAAAAAGGACAAAATAAGGTAGACAAAATAATATAGAATGGAAAAATAGCACTAACCCCTAGAGAGATTGGAAAGTGTTTTAATGAATATTATGCCAATCTATATAATATTCCTCAGATTAACACAGATGAGGATATTAAAAACTATTTAAATAATATAAAGAAGCCTCAATTAACTTCTATTGAAAATGATTTCTTAAATAAACCTATAACTATGGAGGAGACTATGAAAGCAATAAATGATTTAGAAAGATCTAAAACACCAGGCCCGGATGGGTTTAGCAACCTATTTTATAAAACATTTAAAGATTCAATATGCCCACATTTGACCTCTGCTTTCAACATAGCGGCAAACAGAGGATTTTTACCAGCAGAGATGCTTAAAGCTAATATCTTGCCTATCCTAAAAAACGATAAAAACCCCACTGATATCAAAAACTATCGTCCGATATCTTTAATAGATGTTGACACTAAGCTATACGCTTCGGTTTTGGCTGCCAGAATAAAAAAAAACTTCTTCCACTAATCATCCACAAAGATCAAATAGGATATGTTCCAGGTAGAAACTCCTATACAAGTATAAGGAAAATTATTAATATCTTGGATGACGCAAATAGATATGATGTTCCAGTTCTGACTCTGTCGATTGATGCTGAAAAAGCATTCGACAGAGTCAGCTGGAAATATTTAGAAGCCGTTTTACAACATTATGGATTGGAAGGTTGGATTAAGAAAGCTATAATGGCACTATACGTAAATCCTGTTGCACGAACTATTGGACCTAATATTGTCGCCCCATGGTTCCAACTTAGAAATGGTACCCGACAGGGTTGTCCCCTTTCACCATTGCTCTACTTGCTGACTATCGAGCCATTGGCTGAGAATATTAGGAATAATAAAGAGATCCATGGTTATAAAATAATGGATGAGGACCAAAAAATTATCTTATATGCTGATGACATTTTAATTACTCTTACAAACCCTAAAAATTCTTTAGAACGCATAATGCAAGAAATAGAGCGATACAGCCTTATATCAAATTATAAGTTAAATACAAATAAATCTTTGATATTAGATGTTAACCTAAATAAAAAGATACAACAAGAGATTAAAAACAAATATGAAATTGAAATAAGAAAGTATGGATTACTTAGGAATCAAAATAACCAGAGAGACAAATAAGATCATGGAAGTAAATTTCCTAACATTATTATTAGATCTCAATAAATGGTTAAAAGATCGTAGAAACCTAGAGATTACTTTTTGGGGGCGAATAAATGTTATCAATTCATACGTTATACCAAAGTGGAATTATAGGTTTCAAATGTTACCTCTCCATATTCCAATCCATTGGCTTCAATTAATACAAAGATGTTTTACTCAATACATCTGGAAAGGCAAAAAGCCAAGATTGAAACAGTCAATATTAGTGCAGAAAATATATAAAGGTGGACTTGATTATCCACTCATAATGAATAATTTTAAAGCAGCTATTATTCTACATGTTTATAGAATGCAAATGAAAGAAAATAAAGATGAGGGATGGTATAAAATGGAATTGAAGGCAGGAGAAGTTTCTAGCTTAGATTGTTTAATTTGGAATATAAATAAAATGTCAAAGAAAAAAAGAGTATGCCAGTATTATTCTAACTCAATTATTGGAAAATTGGTTAAAAATTAAAAAAGTAATGAATATAGAAAAAAAAGTTCCAAGTTATTTAGAGTTAGACATTGTAGAAAAACAAGTGGAAGATTTAAACTTAAATAATTGGAAAAAAGTAGGGATAACGACTTTGGACCAATTATTGACAGAAGGATCAATTAAAACCTTTGCTCAAATAACAGAGACACATAATCTCCCTCCTAGAGAGGTGTTTAATTTTCTAAGACTTAAAAGCTATATTAATACACATCTTATAATACCAAAATCTAATCTAAGCAATTTGATAGATTTATTATTTACATCAAAAAAAGTCAATAAACCACTTTCCAAAGCTTTAATACTAATTAAATCAATAGCTAAAGATACAAATCCTACTGCCATACAGGCTTGGAAACAAGACCTGAATATCGATATAAATCTGAATCAATGGGGTTCTTCAATGATGGATGTTAAGAAGAATATACATTCATTAAATTTATTAGAAACGCACTTTAAAGTTTTAAATAGGTGGTACTTAGTACCAGCTAAATTGAATAAAATTTATCCTCTAGTAAATCCTATCTGTTGGAGATGCAATAGTATTAGAGGCAATTTTAGACATATTTGGTGGGATTGCTATAAATTAAAAAATCTCTGGTTGAAAATGCAGCATTTTATATCTAATAATTTAAAACTCGAGTTGATAATCTCTCCAGAGGTAGTTCTACTTCATCTAAATTGGCCTCATATGACATATGAATTAAAAGCAATTCTTATACATCTGTTTTTAGCGGCTAAAATAGTAATTGCGAGATGGTGGAAAAGGGATTCAGAAGTCCCCTGGAAGAAAGTCAAAATTCAACTCGAGTTTCAGATTAGAATGGAGCTGATGCTAAGTAAACAAAGATTAAGCAATAAGATTTCTGTTTGGTCAAAGTGTATTGAGATGATTGATGTATAAAATAATGTCGCTCAATTAGTAGTAGAATAATTCCATGAACATTGTAAATAATTATGAGACTTATCTAAATGATATTACCACTCTACTATGGAAGTCTTTTTGATGTATTTTTCTTCTCCCTCCCCTATTTTGCTGCTGTGTTGTTTTTTTGTATTATAAATGTATATTTGTATTTGTATGATATATGTATTTAATGAGATTTAAAAGAAAAAAAATTTAAAATAAAGATTAAATATTCAAAAAAAATAAAACAAGTCATTGAGTAGCCAACTCGTAAAGAGGCCATACTAGATTTAGAGTTAACAAATGGAGATTTGGTATCAGATATTACTGTAGGTGAAAGTTTAGGATCCAGTGATCATCAGTCAGTGTGGTTTAATATAAGAACAGTGACTGAGTCACACCACACAAAAACAAAAAAGTTTTAGACTTTTGAAAAACAGACAGTTTAAATGGAGTCCAAGAGAAATGGGATTTTTTAAAAGTTGCACTGCTGAAGGCAACAGAAAATTGCATTAGGCTGGTCAGTAAAAGCAAAAAAATTAAGAAACAACTGTGGTATGCAGCAGATATGGCCAAATAGTAAAAAAAAACAAAAAAAACCTAAAAGTTAGCATTTAGTAATTATAAAAAAAACCAGAGTGAGGAAGACAGGATGATCTATAAGATTAGGCAGAAAGAGGCTAAGCAAGTTATAAGAGCTTCCAAATCACACACAGAAGAGAAAATAGCACAGTCAGTAAAAAAGGGGGATAAAACATTTTTCAGATACATAAATGAGAAAAGGAAAGTAAAACATGGATTAGTTAGATTAAAAACAAAAGAAGGAAGGTATGTAGAAGATAAAGGTCTAGCTGACTGCCTCAATGAATATTTTTGTTCTGTATTTACAGATGAAAATGAAGGAAAAGGGGCCTCAGTTAGGAAAAAGGACAGATGAGCCATTTGTTACATGTGAGTTTACAGAGGAAGAGGTTCTATTTCAACTGTCAAAAGTAAAGACAAATAAGTCAATGGTACCTGATGAATACACCCAAAGCTATTAAAATAGCTTAGTGGTGTACTAGCAAAATAATTAACAGATTTATTTAACCAATCATTGTTAACAGGAGTAGTCCCAGAAGATTGGAAATTAGCGAATGTTGTGCCCAATCATAAGAAAGGTAGTAGGGAGGAGTCGGGCAACTATAGTCCAGTAAGCCTTACTTCAGTAGTGGGGAAAGTGATGGAAACCATGTTAAAGGATAGGATTGTTGAACATCTAAAAATCACATGGATTTCAAGATCAGAGACAACATGGGTTTACTTCAGGGAGATCATGCCAAACTAAATATATATATATATATATATATATATATATATTTATATTATTTATTTATTTCTTCTCTTTATTGACTTTTTTTTTTTTACAAACATGATAAAAGACAAAAAAAAAAAAAAGAAGAAAAGTACAAATTGTATGAACTTCATGATAAAATACATGTGCAGATACATTGATAAACATAGTTATATAATTAAATATATAGATAAATCCTTCTTATCCCTTCCTTCTTTCTCTTAAACTCTTCATACTAGTTAAAAATGTTAATTACGACATTACAAAATAGTACTTATATCGTATAATTTATCATTCTATGTCGGAGGAGAGGAAGGGATAGAAAATAATACTTTTTTTTTTAAAAAAGTAAAAGAAGAGGATAAAAAGAAATAAAAAGAACAAAGCAAACACCTCTCACGGGCCACTGTCTGGGGGATGCTACGGAGTCAGGGGGAGACGGGAATGTATAACAGGTTGAGGCATGGGGCCAGAGTAGACACCAATTTATACAACAAGGCTAGAACTTAAATGCATTGAAACACAATGCACACTTACACACGACCTTCTTATACGAGGCATGCAAGGCGCAGCAGAAAGATTAACCCTCCCACCTACCAGTAGTAGTCTCTTGTTCGATACACTAAGCAGGTTTAAGTAGGCTCTGAATAATTAGCGAAACCCAAGCGAACAATGTATGATTCACTGATGTCTTTACCCTGGTTTAGTATGCATTTCTGTAACCTTTCTGCATATCTTATATGTTCAAACCACTGTACTAAAATCTTTCAATAAAAACGAGATTGTCAAAAAAAAAAAAAAAAAAAAAAAAAAAAAGAACCAAGCAAAAACAGAAAAAAAACAAAAAAAAAAACCAGTATATATTCAATAAATCCTATCAATCGTCTTATTTTTTTTATTGTCTCGGGGTACATGCTCCATTGCTGGTATGTTTTGGAGATCTCTGGAGTTTTAAGAGTTCTACTTAGTATAATTCTCACAGGGAAGGAAATTCCGAGTTTGATTTATATTACAGACCATTTTGACCAGATCTTGTCGTATAATACTTTAATCGATACATCTCTATTATAAAAATATTTCTCTTAGGCTGCCTGGAACTTAATTTGAATTTTAATCTCTGGCCATTATGGAACAGTTTGTGTTTTCCAATATCTAGCTAGACCTATCTTAGAGGCCAACAGTATATTTATTATGAGAAGTATGGTATGTTTATCTGTAACTGGAAAATTTAAGTGCCAAACTAATCTTATTGATTTTTTTTATTGGGTAACTAAAATAATAGATCAGGGTGGTGCAGTAGACATATTGGCGGATCCGTGGGGGGGGGGGCAACGGGGCATTGCCCCCACCCCCCGAGAAAATAGTGAGTCCGAGGCTCTCTACTGCCAGCCCATGCAGGGCTGGCGCTATCCAAGCACCAGCCCTGCTGTTGCTGGGCGGCCGGCAGGGGAGAGAGAACCCGAGGGAACTCTTACCTGCAGCTCTGCCGGGTTCTCTTCTCGCGAGCACGGAGCGTTGCCGCGGTTACCATGGCAACGCTCCGTTCTCGCAAGAGTGAACTCTAGTCTGAGCTGCAGGTTACAGTTCACTCCCCCACTAGGACTGCCAGGGACTGGAAAGAAAGCAATGTCTCCCCCTACACACAAATATACAGTCCCCCTTCACACACAGCCCCCCCTTACACACACATAGCCCCCAATACACACACAGCGCCACTCACACACAAACACACTGCTCCCAATATACAAATTGCTACCCCATACATGCACTGCACCCCTCTCACACACGCACTACCCCTCCATACACATACTGTGACCCACACACACACACACACACACACACACTACAGCCCCTATCCCAGCAGACCCTGGGTAAGTTACCAAACGTTTTTTGTTTTTTGTTTTTAAACGGTTTCACTACTTACTCTGGGTAGGCATCACAGCAAATCCTGGCACCAAAACCACTACAGAGAGCTGTAGTGGTTATTGTGCCTGGATTATTTCTTAAAATGATCTGCCAGTTCCCCTCCCGTGATTAGCTTCTGGATCAGCCACTGAGTAGACATTGCTTACCTAGATTTCAGTAAGGCTTTTGACACTGTTGCACATAGAAGGCTTATCAATAAACTGCAATCTTTAAGTTTGGATTCCAATATTGTTGAATGGGTAAGGCAGTGGCTGAGTGACAGGCAACAGAGGGTTGTAGTTAATGGAATATATTCGAAGCTTGGACTTGTCACCAGTGGGGTACCTCAGGGATCTGTACTTGGACCCATTCTCTTTAATATTTTTATTAGTGATATTGCAGAAGGTCTTGATGGTAAGGTATGTCTTTTTGCTGATGATACTAAGATATGTAACAGGGTTGATGTTCCAGGAGGGATAAGCCAAATGGCAAATGATTTAGGTAAACTAGAAAAATGGACAGAGTTGGGGCAACAGACATTTAATGTGGATAAGTGCAAGATAATGCATCTTGGACGTAAAAACCCAAGGGCAGAGTACAGAATATTTGATAGAGTCCTAACCTCAACATCTGAGGAAAGGGATTTAGGGGTGATTATTTCTGATGACTTAAAGATATAATAGAGCAGCAGGAAATGCTAGCAGAATGCTTGGTTGTATAGGGAGAAGTATTAGCAGTAGAAAGAAGGAAGTGCTCATGCCATTGTACATGACACTGGTGAGACCTCACTTGGAGTATTGTACGCAGTACTGGAGACCATATCTCCAGAAGGATCTTGATATTTTGGAGAAAGTTCAGAGAAGGGCTACTAAACAGGTACATGGATTGCGGGATAAAACTTACAAGGAAAGGTTAAAGGATCTTAACATATGTAGCTTGGAGGAAAGACGAGACAGGGGGGGATATGATAGAAACATTTAAATACATAAAGGGAATCAACACAGTAAAGGAGGAGACTTTATTTAAAACAAGATAAACTACCACAACAAGAGGACATAGTCTTAAATTAGAGGGGCAAAGGTTTAAAAATAATATCAGGAAGTATTAATTTACTGAGAGGGTAGTGGATGCATAGAATAGTCTTCCAACTGAAGTGGTAGAGGTTAACACAATGAGGGGGTTTAAGCATGCATGGGATAGGCATAAGGCTATCCTAACTATAAGATAAGGCCAGGGACTAATGAAAGTATTTAGAAAATTGGGCAGACTAGATGGGCCGAATGGTTCTTATCGGCCATCACATTCTATGTTTCTATGATATTTTGTGCCATTTAATGTGACTATGCCAGTCTTATATCCTCCCAGTCAATCTCTGTGTGCCAATCCTCTCCTACGCCCATTCCACATTCCTCATTTGTGTCACATTGTCGGTTTATTTACTCAATACAATGTATTATCCTTATCTACACCTTCCTTCCGCAATATAGCAAACTCACCCCCAGCCACTCTCTCTCATTCATCTCTTTGTTCTCGTCCTCACATTTCTCTACCTTTTAGCCACCTCAATGTTTCCACTGTCTGCAGCTCTACTGCTAACTGACACCACTAGAAGGCAGCTAGTTACCCTGACACCAACACAAGGCCAAATCCTGCAGCGATCCCGGATGATGTCATGAAGGTTATGCAGCATTCCCACTCTCCATGGCTTTGATTATGTCATTCCATAACTGCTGCAGATAATGGGTGCCCTGGCGTGAGGCCATGAGACCATGTCTCCTATCGTGCCAGCACAGACACATGGAATGCTAGCTGATGGATCACTTATCATGCTACACATATTTCTCCTCCACTGGACAAGACTACATTTCTTGTGTGCCTAGATAATAGTAAAAATACACAGATAAATACACGGGTGGCTGTATTTTGCTAAAAGTGTCAGCTATCAGCCTATCACAGTGCCCATTCAGGTATGGATCAGTATGGCTGAAAGGAAGGAAGTAATGTGCTTCTATTGAAAGGGTCAATAGTAAGAATAGAATTTTCTCATAAAAGAGAAGGTGTTGATTGTTTATAGCAGCAGTAAGTTTTCTTGAATCATGTTATTGTGTCTTCCTTAGCCACACCGACAGAAGGGCCTACGGGAAGCCAGGGACCCTCATTCAAAATGGCTTAACACTGAAAGCAAGACCGTGCCAAGGGATGCCAGTCACTATAACCACTTCAATGAGATGAAACGGTTATGACACCTACAGTATTCCTTTAAATAGATGACAAATTTGTAACATGTACCGTTTTTCATGAATAATTCCATAACTGTATACCTTGCTGCTAGAATAAGGGGAATTTAGGATATGTAATTTTTACTCAGACGATCAATCTAAATGTTGTAAAATGGATAATGAAGTTCAATTTATAATAATTAACCCTTCCACAAGTTAATAATGTTTGTTAAGGAGCCCAGCCGTTTGCATCAAATCTTCCTACTAACCTCTTCTTTCCATTCTGCTTTAATAAGCGGATATTACACTAAATTATATTAGCCGAAGTCTATGTTTCCCATGAATTAACGTATTACCTTTCATACCCATATGTTTATATTGCTTTCTCAACGTACATGTGCATTAACTTAACAGCAATCTGTAATGATAAATGACTCAACTCTGAATCCTTTTCTGAAATCCCATCTAGCAGATACATTTATTTTTACCCACACCACCTTCGACTCCAGGAAACATTTGAGTGGTGGACAATTATCAAGGAACAAATGTTACTGCAAGCCCAAATGCAAACAAATCCGAGCTGCGGCAAATTAAATCAACCTGGGCCAAGTTGCATAGTTTAATGGCTTTGATGTTAAAAAAGGCCAATGTTAGCCACAATGTCTGCGTTCTTTGTTTCTGGGTGTGCTTTCAAAACCGCAGAGTTTAGAGAGGTATCGCCCAATGCCCATATTCTTTTGATTTGTGACTACAGATATACCTGGACTTTATTTAATTTGAGTAAAAGAAATAAATACATTTTTCCTGCAAGTTTTTACATAATTTTTTTTTTTTTTTTTTTATTTCTTTTACACAAACAGAGCCTGGAATCAACAGAAACATGTATTCACTAATATTGATGAGCATTCACAAGAGAATTGGACATTAGGCCATATTACTCGAGCAGGAAAAATAGTTAACTTGGAGAATTTTCCCAGTTCGGATATTTTGGGAAAATGTTGAGTTTCCCTTATCAATCCGCAACTCAACGTCTGCTTTTATTAATAAACTGAAAGGATGTATTTATCAAATATCTCCCGAAACAGATTTGTCATTGAAAACACATGATTAGAATTTAATGTCACTGGGTTTATGAGCAGGAGTTGGCAGTCACATTACGTCCTACCCACTACTAATTGCCCATCCCTTAGATAAATTCAGTTCCATGAAGAATAATGGGTAATCAGTCACATGAAAACAATGACGCACCCATATGTCGCACATTTCATTTTATTATTGACCTCGCTGGAGACATAGAAACCATAGAGGATTATGTGCAGGCAGCATAACATTAAAGACAGCAGTAAAGGCTGAACTGGGCTTATATATTCCAAAAATGAATTTGAGAACCTAAAGGAAATGGGCAACAAAGTGGCAGAAATTCAATGTAAATAAATGTAAAGTTATGCACATAGAAAGGGGCTTGGTGTTACATAATAAATAATTATACCTCTTTATAAATCAATGGTTAGACCCCACTTGTCAAGGGGTTATTCAGTAATCACTAGATATTGCCTGGATGGGCAAATTTCTATGAAAATAACTGAATTCCAACTAGATTGGCAAATCTCATGTTCACCGAAGCTCATTCCAATTTAACCAAAATTCATATGGATGCAGTCTGTGTATAACATTACTGCCTTTTGCATCTAAATCCTGTATAAAATATTATATCCAGACATTTCCAAAGCACCAATTTTAAAACAAATTGATTTTTGGCAAGGGAATTATAAAATTTGGAATTATTTGCCGAGCAACAGCACTAGTACCCTGAGCCAACTGCCCTAGGAGCACGTATATTAATCAAGCGTCCATTGGATAGAATTTACTAGCCAGTCGCCACAGTGAAAAGTAAAAAATAAAATAAAAGCTTATAGGGAAGTAAAAAACCTGCCTCATATCCCCAAGTACAATGCTGTGCGTGGGGGCACATCTGCTAAATGGCAACCAGCCAACAACTGTGTTATTTATTCCTCTGAATAGGCAGCCAATGATAGGCTGAGAGTGTCATCTGACACTCTCAGCCTATCAACAGCCACCTGGCAAAACCTCATACTGCAGGAGTTGTGAGGTCAAGGGGACGTCAATGGGCGCTGGAGGACAAACTGAGGTTTGACCATTGGAAGACAGTTTAACCACTAAAGATATGACTGCATCCAGAAACTCCTGTAAACATAACAACTAGAATTAGCTGGGCACAAAACATCTAGATTTTTCTTTAACACAATCAAAATCCTAGTGAAGGGAAAATACCGGCTGTGATTGAGCCGGTAGACTGAGTACCGGTAGGTTGAGTACCTCCGTCTTGAGCCTCTTCAAGCTGGAGAAAGTCACTCTTCAGGGATAATAGCCCTCCCCAAACACTAGATGACACAGTATAGGGTGCAACAACAGTTTATTGCCACCAAACAGCTGTATGTATTTAGGGACAATAGCAACAGAGGGTCATCAACTGGGACCATCAGCACCTCTGTGTCTGGGCGATAATTCAATTAAATACTGCTGACTTTATTCCATCCCCAGACATCAACGTGGAACAAACTAAAAGCCTAATTAGCAGAATTTCTATGCCATAGAAATCACTCGCAACCATTTGAATTGAGTTGTATACTAAATAATGCAGCATATTGAAGTGCTATCTGAGCCTGGGTTTGTTACATGATTTGCATGAATCACACTTGCTGGAATATTGAGGGAAGTTGGTATATTTAGGGCTGGGGGGATTGGTGGTTCCAACATACATAACATGTACATTTTGATATTGCAATGCTTTTGAGAGTCCAGGAATCTTTGGATTACGGAGATGTTTTATGGGATAATAAGACAATAAAGTCCTAATGACTATTGGTAGTATCTAATGACTATTGGTAAAGGTAATAGGCCAGACAGTTCTCTAATCCCATAAAATGCCCAAACATTGGTTGTGTTCTTTGTACCCTGATAGCCAAACGTTGTATATTCCATTGTATGTGCTTCTATTGAAAGGGTCAATAGTAAGAATAGAATTCTCATAAAAGAGAAGGTGTTGATTGTTTATAGCAGCAGTAAGTTTTCTTGAGTCATGTTATTGTGCCTTCCTACCGATTTCTCTGCTCCAAGCTATGGATATTTAAACCTTTAGTCTCGCTCGATAGGTTATATCTGTAACAGCCCTTCGTAGAATTTCTTTATTGTGTTTATTTATCGAGATATGATCTGCAGAACTGGATGTAATATTATGGGCAAACTCTTACATGTGATCTTAAAAACAGCCTCACATTTACCATTTCTATATATTAACCCCTATTCCCATACACTTTAAATATGCTGTTAGGTTCTCCGTCTATCTCTTATATTGTTTATATTCATATATCCTTAAAGGACCACTATAGGCACCCAGACCACTTCAGCTTAATGAAGTGGTCTGGGTGCCTGGTACAGCTAGAATTTAACCCCTCATTGACAGCCGCTAGAGGCGCTTGCGTGCTTCTCACTGTGAAAATCACAGTGAGAAGACGCCAGCGTCCATAGGAAAGCATTGTAAATGCTTTCCTATGAACTGGCTGAATGCGCGCGCTGCTCCTGCCGCGCATGCGCATTCAGCCGATGACATCGCTAGAAAGGAGGAGGAAAGCTCCCCGCCCGATGCTGGAGAAAGGTAAGATTTTAACCCCTTCCTCTCTCCAGAGTCCGGCAGGAGGGGGACCCTGAGGGTGGGGGCACCCTCAGGGCACTATAGTGCCAGGAAAACAAGTATGTTTTCCTAGCACTATAGTGGTCCTTTAAGGAAAGAGGGCACTATAACAGCGTCATCAGAATGAAGTTATGGTGACAGAAGGGTACCCAGAGCTGGCTTACCTTCAGTGCCGTTAATCTCTGCCCATCTCCTTCTGTTTCTGTCCAGGCTTTATCAGAAAGTCTCAGACAGGAGCGCTAATAAGAGATGAAGAGTGTCAGCTGATGCTTTCAGCCAATCAGAAGCTCCCTATCCACATACCGGCTTGAGAAATGTGCGGATCAGTTGATGCTCTCAGTGTATCATCGGCGTCTCTGTCCAAGACTTCAAGATTCAAGCTTTGGACAGAAGAGGAAGGAGATTGGCAAAGCTAAATGGTGCTGTATTCAACACTTTGGGCTAAACCATTCATTAACAATTAAACCCCAGAACATAAGCTGGTGTCAGAGACCTCCTGAAACCATAACAACAATTTACGATACAGCCGTTATTGTGAGCCTTATTGCTTTAAGTTTTTGTGTTCAATACACATTTATTTTTTTAAATTAATTTTAATGCCAATATTCTGTACTATATATAGTACTATTAATACTAATATTCCCACCATGTATAACTGATTGGCACATATGCATTTCAATTTAATTTGCAAACTATGAACTCAGCTGATGTGCTCGATGTCTTTACGAAGATATTTTTCTGGCCTACATACTTATTCCTTTTTCCTCTTATTTATTTAGCTTTTTCTTGTAGTGGTTATGGTACGATGCGATCCCTAGCAACATCTGACAGTAAATAGTCAAACCATTTTTGAACAGTTTGATAGTTACCCAAGTCCCGTGAGCTCAGATGGTCCTTATCATTTTTTCAAAGTCGTTAAAGTAGGGATTCAATTTACACTTTATTTATATCAGTTTTGTGCAACTTTTACCCTCATTCATTGGCAGAGAGTGCATTAGGTTCAATGATACAATTACTGACGCTCTGTTTCGTAAGTTTTTATGACAGCACCCTAATGTACGTATATAGATATAGAATTATCTCTAGCATTGACATTGCTGTCTCTGTTTTTTCAGGGTTTAGTCTTTGTTATTAGAGTGATGATGAAATTACAAAATATACAACAAACTTTCCGACGTACTTTCTGTTTAATGAATAGTCTTTTATTTTTTTGAATGCAGCTGGAAACCCACAAGAAACTGTAAATATTTCTGAGCGTGTATTCCATTTTACCACATGAAAAAGACGGTATAACATGATTCATTTTACATATTTGGATCAGAACGTTCTATAGAACATAAAAAAAAAAAAATCCTGCAGTCTGTGTTTATTGCAAAGAATGAGCAGAAATTATTACCGTCTGAAAATGCTCATAACTGATCAACGTCCCTTCCCACAGTCATATCCATCTCCAGTATACCTTCCCAAAACAATACCCCCCAGCAATACCCTCCTCACAACAATAACCCCCGGTATACCTCCCTACAACAATCCCGGTATACCTCCTACAACCTCCCCAGAACAATCCCCCGGTATACCTCCTACAAATCCCCGGTATACCCCCACAACAATCCCCCCTATACAACAATCCCCGGTATACCCCCCACAACAATCCGTATACCTCCTTACAACAATCCCAGGTATACCCTCCCACAACAATCCCCGTATACCTCCTACAACAATCCCCGGGCCCCCATAACAATCCCCAGTATACCTCCTACAACAATCCCCCGGTATACCTCCCTACAACAACCCCCTGGAAAACCCACCCAACAATCCACATACACCCCACAACAATACCCCCCCTCCCCCCCAACCACCCCGGTATACCTCCCCACAACAATATCCACTGCATACCCCACAACAATCCCCGTATACCCCCACAACAATCCCCGGTATACCTCCTACAACAATCCCCGGAAACCCCCCATAACCCCCAGTATACCCCTACAACAACCCCGGTATACCTCCCACAACAATCCCTGGGAAAACCCACCCACAACAATCCACCGGTATACACCCCCACAACAATACCCCCGGTATACCTCCCACAACAATACCCCGGTATACCTCCCACAACAACATACCTCACAGCAATACCTATACCCCACAACAATACCCCCGGTATACCTCCCCACAAACACGGTATACCTCCCACAACAACCCCCGGGTATACCTCCCCACAACAATACCCCGGTATACCTCCCACAACAACCCCCGGTATACCTCCCCACAACAATAGCCCCCCCCGTTATACCTCCCCACAACAATAGCCCCCCTCCCCGGTATACCTCCCCACAATAATATGTGGGGAGATATGCTGTATGGTATTGCTGTAGGGAGGAATACTGGGGGGGGTGTTGCTGTGGGGAGGTATACCGGGAAAGTATTGCTGTAGGAGGTATACTAAGTGTGGATTTTTGTGGGGAGGTATAGTGGGGGGGTAGGGGGATTGCTGGGTACAGCTCCACCAAGTGTGTTTGATTGTTCCCTTGTCTCCGGCATGTTGGGGGGGTGTTTGGGAATATCATATGTAGGAGGGAGGGAGTGCGATACCACGCCCACAGCATTTTATAGTTACTAGAGCTGATCAAGCTCTTTTGGTTGAAGATCAATACTTTCTCCCATTGTGTCTCAGTGAAAGTGAATTACCAAGTGAATTTTACCATCGCCGTTTAAAAGTTGTTTTCGCGGTTTTGTCCCCTATGAGTAAGTGTTAGTAAAGGACCGATATGACTTTTTCCAGGATGATGCCTCCATCACAGATGCCCTCGAAGCAGGTCAAGTCCCGGTGTAGCAGTGCTCTATTAGGGTTAAGGAACTGTTGGTAATAGTGTTGCAGTTGGGTGTTGCAAAATCTGATAATCTGAGTCGGGGCTTCTTCCCCCATGAAGTCCCGCAGTTCCAAAACACTAGCATCACCCAGTGCCTTGCGAATAGGGATGAAAGAGTTTCTGTATATGAAGGTCCAAACACAGGGAGGTAAACCTCCCCCCAGGTTTTTGTTAAGTTGTAGAGCTATCAGGGGACTCTGTTTAGGGGAGATATGGTTCAGGTCTCTAGGTGCCTTCCAAGTCCTTAGGGTGTTGCATACTAGAGATCCGTCGCTATATGGTCTAATGTCTCAGACCGTCCAAGCCAAACCACAGCATGCATGTGTATGTTGAGTGATGGCCACTGCTGGTGTGGGTGCGGGTGGTGCCAGTCATGGATACATTGCAGTGTAGCTGCCTGATGGTATTTCTTGAAGTCTGGTAAGGCTAGACCTCCCCACTGTCAAAGCAGATCATGTCGGTTAGGGGTTCTTTCGCCTCTCCATACATAGCAGATTACCGCTGTCTTAAATAAAGAGAAAAATACTCTTGGTAAATAGAGTGGCACTGTCTGGAAAAGGTAGAGCAACTGCAGCAGATCATTCATCTTTAGGACTACAATGCGTCCAAACCAGTATAAATGTGGGTATGACCCCTGCTTTAGGTCTTCTTGTCAGGGCTTACCTGGGTTGGGAGTCCGGCAGGCAGAGATATATGCTCATCCTTGCAAGAAAACATAGGCCGAGGTGGTCAGGTGAGAATTCACCTGGCCTGTGCAGGGTAAACTCCAAGTCGCAGTACAGGAACGGATAAAGCAGGAGAATAGTAGTGGGAAGCCAAAGGTCAGAGGATGCCAGAATAAACAAAACAACAAGCCGAGGTCAAGAGATACACTGGACAACAGGAGACAGCAATCCAATAACCAGAGTCAAGGAACTGACACTGCCTTCTGGGAGAGGCAGTGTTTTATACCTGGCTAACACGACTATCCACAACAGGTGTACCAGGAGTAATTCCAAATAATGCCCAGTCCCCAGTGCTGGATACTAGACAGGGCAGGAATGAACTTCCAGACAGAAAGCAAGAACCGAATGTGGTTCAGAGGCAGAGACACAGACCTGGAATGCACAAGACCACAGGATAACCAGGTTCCGGGGCTGGGTGTACTGCGCCTTTAAGAAGCACTAATTCTCACTGTAAGTCTGAAATGGTCTGGACCAGACTTGACACTTGCTGGGACAGGGGTGAGCACATCTCTGTGGACGCCATTGGTCAGTTCTTTATGTCAGGGCTTACCTGGGTTGGGAGTCCGGCAGGCAGAGATATATGCTCACCCTTGCAAGAAAACACATGCCGAGGTGGTCAGATAAGAATTCACCTGGCCTGTGAGTCGGTGCACGGGGGCTGTGCAGGGTAAACTCCAAGTCACGGTACAGGAATGGAAAAAGCAAGAGAATAGTCATGGGAAGCCAAAGGTCAGAGGATGCCAGAAGTCAGAATAAACGAAATAACAAGCTGGGGTCAAGAAATACACTGGAAAACAGGAGTCAGCAAACCGATAACCAGAGTCAAGGAACTGACACTGCCTTCTGGGAGAGGCAGTGTTTTATACCTGGCTAATGAGACTATCCACAACAGGTGTACCAGGAGTAATTTGAATTAATGTCCAGCCCCCAGTGCTGGATACTAGACAGGGCAGGAATGAACTTCCAGGCAGAAAGCAAGAACCGAATGTGGTTCAGAGGCAGAGACACAGACCTGGAATGCACAAGACCACAGGACAACCACGTCTCGCTGTCTGTATGTTGCGGTGATAACCGTGACACTTCTAAGATGTTCTGTAATAGAGGCAGGAAGTCAGCGTGGTAGAGATCGATTGGGCCAGCCATCACACAGGTACCTAGATACTTTATCTTATCTGTGCACCAGTGGAATGGGAAGTTGGGCCTCAGATTATCGTATTCCTCTGTCAGGGTGGTGATATGGAGGACTTCACATTTCGAAAAGGTTCAATTTAGGGTTTCGAACTCCTTCATCAGACTTGGCAAGGTAATCTGCTGGTTGTTAATAAAGAAGAGCAGATTATCTGCTTATGCTCCGTAGTCTTGTCATGAAAGCCCAAGATGAACCGCAATGAGGAAGGGTTCGAGAGATATGGCAAATAACAGGGGTGAGGGAGGACAGCCCTGACACATGCCGTTGAAGATCTGAAAACTGTCTTCAAGCACCCCATTGACATGTACCCTAGCATTGGGGTGGTTATATAGGGCAGCGATCCAATTCCTCAATTTTTCACCGAAGCCCATAGCTTTCAGGGTGGCGAACATGAAAGTCCAGTTTACACGGTTGAACGCTTTCTCTGCGTTGGTGGATAAGAGGAGCAGTCGTTTGGCACTAAGTGTTGTATGGCATATAGGCAGAGGGTGCATAATAATTTGGAATAATTTTATATAACTGAACATGAGGTAACAGCATAAAGAGACACTGAGCACCATAACAACTTCATCAGAAATTAAAGGCACATGGGATAAGGGAATCGGATACAGAGAAACCTCAAGGTTTAAATGTTTAATATTATTTAGTGTCCGTGTCATAATAATTTTATCTTCTTTTTCATTATTTTCAATAGTTTGTGGCTAGATATCATGTGTATGTAACTTTTATGTTATACATAATTTTTTTTCTTATAGATGCTATATTATTTTAATTTCCAGTAGCACATACATTTATTGAATGTCCAAATGTGATATGCTTATTTGCATGATTTGGCTATTTTTATCCTGGTGATGTATTTATTGCCTGGTGATTATTGCCTCTATATGCGATTTATTACAGCATTGTATACCTTATTATGCACATATACATTGTATTCTTCTCTTAAATCAAAATACTGGATATATTTGTATGTAGAGCAATGGTCTTGAGTGACACTGTCAATTCCATATACACATATATACATACACACTATATATATATATATATATATATATATATATATATATATATATATATATACACACATATACATATACATACACACACACACACACACATTTAATTCATGTTAATATCTTAAACCGTTTCAGCTTGCGTACTCAATATATGTACATTTAATTTTCAATAACGCAAATAATTGTGCAAGCTGATCGGCATATTCCATTAAATCATTGATGCTGAACTAAGCTATTAAATATTCCATATTTAGATGATTAAACGTGATACAAACTGTGCATGAATTCTATACTTTAATCAGAATTTAACAAATGTTCTGTACCTTCTAAATGATCTAATTCAGTTTTTAATCATTTGCTATGTTTAAAAACACATCCACCTTACACAGGGCCGTCTTTAAAGCGGGGCAAACGGGGCAGCTGCCCCGGGCCCAGTTTCTCTTGGGGGGCCCGAGGCACCTGCCCCGTGGGCCCTGCTGACCCCAGCGGGCGGGTGGCCGGTCAGGAAGGCGGGCGCGCGAGGGAGCACTCACTGCTTCCTCTTCAGCTCCCTCGCGCACCGCACTGATGCCGGAGCCAGAAGATGACGTCATCTTCCGGCGCCGGCATTCCTACGCGGCGCGCGAGGGAGCTGAAGAGGAAGCAGTGAGTGCTCCCTCGCGCGCCCGCCTTCCTGCCCAACCGGCCACCCACCCAGGAGCCCAGCAGCACCACTGGACCCCAGGGAATCCCCCCCAGCACTCCAAAAGGTAAGGAGGCTGGGGGGGAATTACATTTAAAAAAAAAAAAAAATGTGTGTGTGTGTTTGTTTGTATGTGTGTGTATGTGTGTGTTTGTATGTGTGTTAGTGTGTGTTTGTGTATGTGTTTGCGTGTGTGTGTGTTAGTGTGTGTGTGTGTTAGTATGTCTGTGTGTGTGTCAGCATGTCTGTCTGTGTGTCTATATCTGTGTGTGTCAGTATGTTTGTCAGTGCATGTGTATGCATGTGTCAGTATATCTGTCTGTGTGTGTGTGTGTGTGTGTGTGTCAGTATATCTGTCTGTGTGTGTCAGTGTATGTGCCTGTGTGTGTGTGTGTCAGTATTTCTCAGTGTATGTGGGTGTCAGTATATCTGTCAGTGTGTGGGTGTCAGTATATGTGTGTCAGTATGTTGATCAGTGTATGTGTGTGTGTGTGTCAGTATGTCTGTATATGTGCCTGTGTCAGTATGTCTGTCAGTACGCCTACCAGTGTATGTACCTGTGTGTGTGTCAATATATGTACCTGTGTCAGTGTGTCTGTCAGTGTATGTGCCTGTTTATCTGTATGTAGTCAGTGTATGTATCTGTGTATCTGCTTGTGCGTCAGTGTGTACCTGTGCATCTGAGCCGCAACTTTAAATACAAATACACCCCTCCATTCAAACTTAAACACTAAATATAAAACACACTCCTGCATTGAAACGTCAACACTACATACAAGCACACTCCTACATTCAAAAACAAACACTACACATAAATGCACACTTGCATTCAAACTCCAGTACCACATACAAACACATTCACACAAACATACTCCATACAAACACATGCTTACATTCAAACATACTAACATGGCTCAGTGCTAAATACAACCCTGCAAGCATGGGAAATTGGTAGAGTCCCAGCTGTCAAAGCATTGTTGGAGTTGCACGACAGATGGGGTTCTACCTTTAGTCCAACCTTGCAATTGGGGGTCCCAATAAAATTCATTCTACTTTAGTACCGCCACTGCGTTGGGATGGATGCCGTGATTGCATACCAGGGAGTGAGGGGCGAGAGCAGCAGGGCACAGGGGGCCCAAGCAAACACTTGCCCAGGGTCCATTCGTTATTAAAGACGGCCCTGACCTTACAGAGAGGTTTGAAAGGATCAACAGTGACAGTCAGGGCTGGTAGTGCTTTATAAGAATATAGATCACAGTAAGGTAGACTTTTGTATGGCAGAAAAATCAGTTTCAGCCAATTAACTTCTGGTGAAAATAAACTTTCAGCACGGACAAACTTTGCAGTTCGGCTCAACCAACTTAGTTAATGAAAAAAGATTTGGGGAAAACAAATCAAACGAACCAAAGGGCCGACTGTTACAGAGAGAGAATGTGGCTAGTTTTATATGTGCGTGTGAGAATAGATGATATGCTATCATTGTGAGTGAGATTAATTGGGTGAATTGACCATTAGCGGCCCATTATTGGTAAATCTGCTATTAGTGATGTCCCGAACGGTTCGCCGCGGACTCATCATTGAGTAAACTTTGACCCTGTACCTCACAGTCAGCAGACACATTCCAGCCAATCAGCAGCAGACCCTCTCTCCCAGACCCTCCCACCTCCTGGACAGCTCACTAAGAATGCAGCTTCACAATGAATGTAAAATGGACGCTGTCCAGGAGGTGGGAGGGTCTGCTGCTGATTGGCTGGAATGTGTCTGCTGACTGTGAGGTACAGGGTCAAAGTTTACTCAATGATGAGTCCGCGGCGAACCGTTCGGGACATCACTATCTGCTATTTTAGATTAGAGAGAAATGGGTGAGTAAAAGTCCATGGTACATTTTCCACTCACCCAGTGGCAGGTGAACTGGTGATTGTGGCATGGGCACTCTAAACTGGAAGAGGCAACTAGTGACTTTTATGGAATGGCAACTAGTGTAACATGTGACATTTTAACACTGGTGTACAAAATGTACCCTTAAACAAAACCTACCCCCTGTAGATTTAACCCGACACCACAAATATTCTAGCCAATGGCTTCTGTCGTTCGGCCATTTTGTTTCCTACATACAAATTGTCTTGTGGCCTTTCTGCTCCCTAGGTCTGAGATACTTTGTTACACTGCACTTTGTGCCATACAGTGGCAGCTTTTTATGCAGGAGATACAGAGAATGTGGTTTTATTTTTCTCTGAATGATCTGGAAGTAACCCTGTTGATATCTGTGCTGTCTACACGGATTACATACAAGCTGCCAACAATTGAGTCATTGCTGGGCCCATGTTACATTGTATTGTCTTGTGTGTATCCTCTGCCACCTGCTGCACATTTTAGTAAAAATCACAATATTTCATTGTAGGAAAATCACTGGCTATTCTTTTTATTGTGTTACATAATTAATATAAACATTTTCAGTATATTCTGATCTGTCACTTATAAGCAAAACCGATAAAACAAAGAAACTAGTCCTGCGCTCAAACTCCCATTACTCCTGGGCAGCAGCAATGACTATAGTACACATCAGCCAAAATACATATAGTAAAAACCAAAAAAAAAATAAAAATTTTTTTTACCTTCGCTCTTTCCACATCCCTATGTAACAAATGGAGGTTTTTAGTTACCTCCAATGGCCATGAGAAGATATGCCCACCTGCCACATCAAAGCAGACCTCTTAGGTGGATCCTAACTCTAACCACTCACCTTGCTTCCTTGAGCTTCTGGCAAAAATAACTCTAATGAGACAGAAAGGGGTATTTTTTTTATATACAACCCTACATGCCTATTAACTCTTAATAGGGAACACATGTGATGGGCAGCAGCATTTGCAACAAATACAAAGAAACTAGTCCTGCGCTCAAACTCCCATTACTCCTGGGCGGCAATTCTCCTAGGGTATGCAAACTTTTGAGCACAGCTGGATTTTGTTGTTACACTACACAACATACAGGAACCTATAAATTTAGTCCAAGTCCCATGACAAGAAGAAGAACAGTGAAATTAGGGGACACTTTTATACAGCAGAAATCCATTCAGTGACATATGCCGAAAACCCTTCTTAGGTAAATAATTTGTACCAACATCCATTATTCTTACTCCTTCAAAGACTGCCAGAACCAATTGCAAATTCAATTACAAAAAAAAGCCTTTTCACATAGAAACATTGAAAAAAAACAAGAAAAAAAAATATAAACGCTTTAGGGTGGAGAGCTTTAAAGTATAATTATTTAGAAATATTATTAAAGTGCAATCAGGTGATATCAATGCAGAGTGCTTTTAACAATACTGAGCATTTTAGTCAGCACTGTGGGATTACGATCACTGAATAAAGACAAAACATCTAATAAGTCAGACAAACAATAACATCACACCAGCATTATATCGGATTCTTTATGTTGTTAGAATTGAAAATCGATCAGAGGAATCTGAAAAATCAGGACCTTCACATACCTTTTTTTTTTTTTTTTTTTTTAATTGACCTGGAAAAGCTCAAAATAGATCAAATCCAATGCAAGCAGCAGAGAGCCAAATACAAAATAAAACAAAAAAAAATTTCTGTGTTTCTGATGGAAAATAAAAAATGTAAGAGGTGAGGGAAGAGAGTTAAAAAGTGTGTTTGGAAAAGTTTGGCCATAATGACAGTAAATGCAGTTTTCTTTATGTTGTTATGGTGCTCAACGCAAAACAATAACGTGTTTTCACCAAGCATAACACATTTCCTAAAATAAACTTACTATTTTAGTGAGTTGAGAATCTGGACTGCGCCTTCCATTCGATACTAAATCAAGTTGTCGTTTATGGCTGTAAAACAAAACCCCGAAATAATGACAATCAGATAGCAGCTATGTATCACTATAAATCGCAATCAGTGTTGTCCCAGCATGCCTTGCACCCTTTATGGTATAATGGGGGAGGGGAGGGGGTTGGACCATTAAGGGGCAATCTGCTCAATTCATCCAGTGATCTTGTAAAGCACACTGTAGGCACTGTAACTAATTCAACTCATTGAAGTGTTTATAGTGTCTGTAGTTCCATAAACTGCTATATAGTTCTAATGCTAAACAAGAGTCCCCTGAAGCTCATACCCTCTGTGCACCTTGGGCTAATGAAGAAGTCTTAACCTAAGCAGCAATTCGTGGCTGAGATTGTCAGCTGACTGCATTCCCCCTTTCTCAGCACCCATTGCTGGTATAAATCGGTATGGCTAGAAGGAAGTGTGTAATATCTTCTGTAACCACATGGCCATGGGGGGCTGGGCTTTGAGTGGCCATGAAACCTTATTTAGTGTTAAACTGCACGAAAATGGTTTAACGGTGAATGGAGGGGCAGTACCAAGTACTTGAGTATTTGAAGCTCCACTGGCCAAATATAAAATAAATAAAAATCACTGTTTAGTAGATATACCTCAAATGGAAACGTGCATTTAATAATGCATTTTTTCATTGGGGTTTATGTAAAAACAGCTTGCAAAACCTGCAGATCTCTTATCTGCTGCCTTTGCAAGCCCTCCCCTTCTAACCCTGTTCAAGCTTTCTGTGGCCATCCAATCACAGACTTCCCAATGCAGCTCAATGAGAAGTCTTTGGAAGGCAGGTGCTCTGGGCAATTGCTGCTTCTTGAATTCAGCATAAATAAGCTAACCTAACCAGGAAGTAACAGGACCAGCTTTCTGCTGGAAATCCAAGGGGGTAATTTGTGTTGAAATCTGCACTTTTGTAAAATAAAAAAAAAAGGGGACACAGCCTTCACACAAAAAGCTTTTCAGTAAGCTAAAGTGCTCTAGGGATCTGGATTGTCCCTTTAACTTTGCAAAACATTACGATACCTTGTCCTAACCAATTCAATGAGACGAAATGGTTATAGTGCCTGCAGTGTCCCATGAGAAGCTATTGAAAGAAATTTCCATCAAATACCAAAACACAGCATTGTTTCACATAACTAATTACAGTGTCTTCTAAAAATACTACATTTCTGAGCTTAATGTAGCAGCAACAATAAACCAGAATTAGAGCCATATACCGGGATCATGCAGGGAATAAAAGCTTTGTATAATGTGTGCCGTTATCACTGGTTAGACTTGGTCATTTGATTATTTAAATCGGGATTGTTCGACCTTTGCCATCCAAATATTGTTGCACCCCATTTCCCAGAATTCTCTGCCAGCCATTATGCTGATGAGCTATTTGCACATTGGAATAACAGCAATATAAGACAAACCGGCTGTTCGAAAGAAGATGGAGTCTGCCGATATGTTTGGTTAAGCATTTATTATTCCATTAATATGCAAACCTGTCATGTAAATCATGCTATGCTGACTCCTAGAATAGTTTTTTTTGCTGCTATAAACATTCGTATTATTTGTGTCCATATAGTAATTAGAGTACTTACAACATATTGCTGTATTATCAGAAAACACAAAGTATATTTACAGCTTGCTGGTTAATTCACTGTGTTCAGCATGGATACTATTTGGATATTGTTACAACGTAACCAGGGCAACCGCATCATGTATATAAGCTGCAGCTGGTGTATTGCAAATATTTATTAAAATATATGCTTGTTGCAAAAGCTTTTTTTTACGTTTTTATAATGTATGGAAACCGTTCTAGAGGTTATAGCGTGGCATTTGAAATGGTGGTATGTGTGCAATTTGCGGTTTGCGTGGTCTAACACAGGGGTAGGCAGGCAAGCTTTGGAACTCTAGAGGGTATGGACCACTTCCTCCATGATCCTCTTACAACCATAATGCCTGATGACCTCACAGAGGGAGGACCAGGCTGCAGAGAGACGTTCGTTTAAGCACTAAAAGTGACACTAAAGTCACACAGACCATTTCAGCTCTTGGAAGTGGTCTGGGTGCAGTGTCCTTGTCCCCCTTTGTCCTGTAATATAATACATGTTTTAGAGAAACTGCAATGTTTACCTTGCAGAACTAAGGCTGCCTCTTGTGGCTACTAGACAGCCACTAGAGGTGCTTTCTGGAGTTTCACAGAGTTTGTGAAAGGACGCTGGACCACCTCACACCCTGCATGAGGACGTTCAGCGTCATCAAAAACCCTATAGGAAAGCACTGAGGCAATGCTTTCCTATCGAAAAGCCTAAAAAGTGTGCGGCACTAGCTGCGTATTAGGTTCCCCCACTAGATCACATCAGAGGAGGAATCTTTCTTAACCCTTTACTTAGCTGGGGGATGGGAGTGCGGGGGCTGAGGAACACATTAGGAATGCATCTTTAATTACAGGGAATTTTAATTGCATTATTAATGTATTTTTTTATTTTAATTTGGACTCATCTCTTTCATCTAATTATAATATATATGATTACAGCATTCTTTAAATGCTCTCTTATTCTATGATACTGTACCATCCGTTGTTAAATATTGGTTCTCAACAGTAGTGAAATTACAGGCAATGAAGAAATAGCTCATTCTACACCCCTACAGGCTAACATAACATATACCTAATAATATAATTTACTAATTGTGGTATTATTTCCCAAAACAGTTTCACATTCTCACAGTTATTCATTAAAGCTGAGAAATTGAAGTGAATTTCAAATTTCTTTACAAAATAGAATTTACTTTTACATTATTATTTTTTTCCATTTCCCCTAATTTTGGAATTTTCAGAAATTCTGATTTTATTGAATAACCCTGTAAGTGAACATTTGGAGAGTCTCTATTCCCACAAGTACCAGCATAATCGTTACAAATACCCACAAATAGATAATTTGTCATATATATTTTTGTGTTGCGTCTCCCGTATGCTACTGAATTGATATTCTTCCATGTATTTTTTTCTGAGCCTGTCAGATTTTAATAATCTCTAGTCATTAATATTACTAACCAGTTCTGCAAAGGATAAATGGATGAACAGAAAAACAAAATTTGTCAAATGAAATATTTTTCCTATCGTGAGAGTTTCTCTTTCCAATATACAATACAGTACGTGTGCGTTGATGCGAGAGGTGCAGCGCAAAAAAGGAAAAGCAGAGAATGCTGAAGACAATCAATATTTATTCGAACTTGTGGTTTATTGGATTTTTTTAGTGACACAAGCTTGGCTCTGTTCTAAATTCCGCCATCTCTGTGATCTAGTGGGAGGGTTCCCCAATTACCATAAGGCATTTTGGATTTGAACTGATATATTTTGCTGGGTTCAGAAAATGTTCATTGCTTTGGACCAGCGGCCGTCTCTGAGCAATGGGACATGTTAAAAACAGGCCTTGTCTGCTTTACTTGTGTGAGAATTAAAACATGATGCTTGTAACCCGATCCACTAGCATACAGGAGAAAGGTTTCCTAAAAAACTCTGCGGAAACTGTTTGCTGACAGGCTCCCCATGAGACGAGAATAAAATCCCACGCAGCTGGTCCTTTTATTGTGCATTACAGCATACTCATTGAAACTAAATATCAAAGCAAACGGGGGTCCATTAATGCAGACATTGTGTATGCAATATTATATATGTTATATTTTATTTAGCTGTAAGAAGTGCACTCTGCACTGATTTTGGTAGTTAATTCCCCTTTTTTACGCATTATTATTAGATTGTTATAGTGCAAGCTGATACTGCAGCGTGGTACAATAAAATATGGTTACAGACAAGACATAAAGTTATAACACACATAGCTGCACACGGATATAAAGGGATAGAAAGTCCTAATTATGGAGATGATGCAATAAAACATATATAAACACATACCACATAACAAACCTGGACTTTCCTTCTTTATGTTTTATGCACAAATTTAATATATCTCATAAAACCTGGTTTACTTTACAAGTAATAATTATACCAGTGCTGTGCAAATATGCAAACATCCTCGTAGTTCGTTCATTCATTCGTAAAACAATGTAAATGAAACAGGTTGTGTTACTGGTGTAATTTACTAGAATGTTTTTATTAACTTGTAGCTTCATTCATTTTGCTTTTAATGAGCGACACTATGCTCATGCTGCTGGTATGCTCTCTCATTAAAATAATACGTGAACACTCCTCAAATCTTATATGGGAAACATACAGATGTACTGTTATGTTGTATCCGTCTCTTCTCTGGAAGGCAGTATATAGGGAGTGGTAATATTAAGCAAGTATTTGTGAGGGGTTTTTGTTATTTTTTTTATTGACAACCTTGTTGGAGATTTTTACTTATTGTAAGTATTTCCACAGGCATACTAAATAGGTGGGGCGGTCCTCCCCGTGTGCCACTCGTTACGGGGGTGCAACCTATCCTCACAGCGAGAGCAGCGACTGGCAGCAGGAGGAGGAATCCGGAGGCTGTCAACTTGCTCTGCCCTCACAGTGTTTTCAACTGAAGTGCTCGGGTTTTTGGCAGTCTACCCAAAATATCTGTTGCCGTGTACCCTCCATGAAGTTCGCTCCTCGTTTCGTTGGTCCTTTCCGCATCCTGCCCATAGTGAATCCTGTATTGTATGCTCTGGAGTTGCCTCGTTCCATGCGTATGCCTAATGTTTTCCATACCTCCTTGTTAAAACCTCTGATCTGTAATCGGTTTCTTGGACCTCGCACTTCTCCACCTCCTGTATTGGTTGAGGGGGTGGAGGAAGATGAGGTTGCTGCTGTCCTGAGGGGTAGTCTCCAATATCTTGTCCATTGGAAGGGGTATGGTCCTGAGAAACGTTCCTGCTCCAAGGTTGGTCTGTTTCTTTCATCGTCGTCACTCGGACAAGCCTGGTCCTTCAAACCCAGTGGGCGTATCCTCCCGGGGTGGTGGTGTAGCATTACTTACCTCCACCGAGCCATGCAGACCCTCTCCTGCCGCGTGGTCCGACCGCTCCACGCGACTGTGCGGCACAGGCACAATTAGGGAAAGTCCCCTCCCTCGATCCTAGTCGACTTCCTGCCGCATGGTCCAATCACTCTGTGACTGCATGGCACACTGAGGGAGACTCGCCTTCCTTGATCCTAGCCGAGCTCTTCCTGCCACGCGGTCTGACTGAACTACACGGCCGTGCAGCAGGACTTCTATATATAGATGTGGACGTGACGTCAAGCCCACTCTTAAAGTGACCATGTCATTATTGCAATCCTAATCTGTTTTGAACATAGGAACTTAGGTACCATCAGAACATAGGAAAGCCTATTTAAGGCTTGTTTTAGCCCCCATTCATTGCCCTATCGTGGTTTCTGTTAGAACCTAGCTTAGTGCTCCTAGTGATTCTCTTGTGATTTCCTGTATTTGACCTGAGCTTCATATTTGACTTGTGATTTCTGGTATCCCGACCTCGGCTTCATATTTGATTTGCGATTTCTGGTATGCTGACCCCGGCTTTGTCTTGACTCTGTTATTTCTGTCCTTGATTTATTCTTGACCCTGATTTGTGTTGTTTAGTTACGTTAACTCCGGACATTCTAAGGCTTAGTAATAGACTTTCGGATCTACCTTTTGTGATTTCCTCTTTCCTGCGTGTTGGGTTACGACTCACGTGACAGGTGGGCAGGTGCCTGTAGAAGGGGGTGCAGGAGGTTTGTACAGTGGTGCAGGGTTTTTTTTTGTAGAGAATGGGGGCAGGGTTTTTTTGTGAATGGGCGGTACAGGAGCCTTATAGGGGAGGGCAGGCATTTTTGTGAATGGGGGTGCAGGAGGTTTGTATAGGGGTGCAGGGTTTTTGTAGAGGGGTGCATGTTCTTTTTTTTTTAGAGAGGAGCACAGGGGGTTTTTTAGAGAGGGGTGCAGGATTTTTTTAGACAGGGGTGCAGGGTTTTTGTAGAGGGGTTAGGGGATTTGTAAAAGGGGGACTGGGCATGGGTTTTGTAGAAGGGTGAGTTTGTAGAAGAGGGACTAGGCAGGGGTTTTTGTAGAGGAAGGGGGGCAGGGGTTTTGTAGAAAGGGGACTTGGCAGGGGGGAGTGCATGGTTTTTGTAAAAGTGAGACTGAGCAAGGGTTTTTGTAGAGGAGGGGATTTATATAGGGGGGAGGGGTCCTATAGGAAGGGAGGTTTTGTAGAAGGTGAACTGGGCAGGGGGATTTGTAGGGGGGTGCAGGGATTTTGTAGAGGGGGCAGGGGTTTTGTAAAAGGGGGACCAGGCAGGTGTTTTGTAGAAGGGGAACTGGAAGACAATTTAAAAAGCAAAAAAACAAAAAAAAAACAATTAGAAAACTCAAATCTTTCTTTAAAAAAATAGTGGGTGTTTTCTTACATTTAAAAGGTGGGTAGAGGGGAGGGCCAAACACAGGATCTGCCCCAGGTGGCAAATGCTCTAGGTACGCCCCTGAGTATTTCTGAAGCTGCATGTTTTTCGAACCGAAGTAGTAATGCAGGGGTTAAACCAACATCATAACAGATAAGTGATGTCAGAAAAAAAAGAGAATTAGACCACATTTCTCCAATTGTTTGTAAATACTCTATATAAGGATCAGAGTATGAGCAAAAAATATTTATATACTGTATATAAACATAAATAGGTGTAAGTGCTAAAGATAAATTATAATCAAATGTATATTTGAGTAAAGGTAAATGTAAATAAATCTCCCTCCTTCGACACTGTTCTGCAACCTTTGTAGATCAAACTTTATGGCTGCATTCTAGCAAACAGTGAGGAGAGAGGGACGGTACTGAGTGCACTACACCGAGTGTAATTGGACCAAATATACTGTCAGATTAAAGGGCACCTGTTATGCCCCAAACAACGCATGCTTATTTGACTGCCTATAAGATTCTATCTAGCAGTTTTTCTAACAAATGTATAAAATAAGAGAAATAGGAGAAAAACCTATGTAAAAATAGTTTTTTATCCCAACTGTCAGTCAGTGCCTCTGCGTGTCAAGGGACTAACAAGAGAGAGCATAAACGATCTCACAGGGGTTCCATCTGCTTTACACCAATAACAGCCACTGGCTAGGGAGTATAAGAATGCAGTGATGTGACGCCATTACATTCCCACGTCAGCATGCTGGTAACAAAGGGTATATATCAGCCAAGAGTATATCTCAGAGGAGATTTTCTCTGCTTGGTGATGTGTCCCAATCAGGGCAAATCAAAAAAGCCTGTGAGAGGAGCGCCGGCGGAGCGGAGCATGGCCAGGAGGTGTGTGTTACACAAAGATTGATGACAGCGGCATTGGAATACAGCAAAAGTGCATAAATCTTGATATTTTACATTGAATACACTGTGTATCTGTGTTTATATAGTGTATCAATGTATATGGGAGTGATTTCAATTAAGTGAAAATTTGCATGACCGGTTCACGTTAAACTTTTGAACTTTTTTTTCAGGAGTCTGAATTTCCACCAGGGCCCTCTTTAACACTACTCCTGGGGGGCCCAGGGCAACTACCCTGTGGGCCCCGCTGCCCTTAATTATTTACCCCCCTTGCTTCCCCCACTAAGGAGGCCCACCGGGTGGCCCATTCAATAAGGGCCACCCGGTGGGCATTTGTTCTCTATGGGAGGTAGTGACTTGCGGCTGTAACTACAGCCCACAGAGAGCCACGTGGGAGACAGAGGAGGAGGCAGAGAGGAGGCAGAGAGGAGCGGGGCTGAGCCAGGCAAGGTAGGAAAGGTACAAAAATGTACATTTTGTGTGTGTGTGTGTGCATGTCTGTCTGTGTGTGTCAGCATGTCTGTCTGTCAGTGTCTGTGTGTGTCAGTATGTCTGTGTGTATCAGCATGTCTGTCTGTCAGTGTCTGTGTGTGTCAGTATGTCTGTGTGTATCAGCATGTCTGTCTGTCTGTGTCTGTGTGTGTCAGCATGTCGACGGCCCTGATTTTAATAGACGGCCCTGATTTCCACAAATGCTATTGGGAATCTGTAGAAATTCCCATTGGAAAGGGTATATGGCCTTTTTATTTATATTTTTTTCACATTTACTTAATGTAAAAATTAAATTGTTGCTTCTATGCTAATATTTCGGACCCTGTCTAATTTATGAAAAGATTCTATGCAATCTCTATAACGTTTTATACACCCACTCCATCATTTCTCCAAAGGATTAATACAATAAACAAATGAAAAGTTAAAAAAATATAGAAATGTACAATGTTTAGGTATAACCTAAACAGCAATTCTGTGGATGTAGATATATATCTAATATTTCAAAAATGTTATATTCAAGTGGCATGTTGTAATTAAATCTCAAAGATTGGTGAAACAAGGCTTTGTGTGTAAATTAAAGGACGACTATCATCAAATTTCCCCTTAAAAAAAAAAAAAAAAATTATTACATTTCATCAAATGTAATTGTATTTTTCTTAAATTACGTTTATTGATTTTTTAATTTTTTTATTTTTTTTTACAAATGTCGCTTTTTTACCTGATTGAGCAGCCAGGTTGTGTCAGACTCTACTGTTATCTGACCAACTGCTGCTCAACCTTCCCTGCAGGTTGCTGCAGGTTCACACAGAGAAATCACAGCAGCAGGCATGTTAGGGGGACCAGACCAACCAGTGTAGAAGATCTACAGTAACCCTTACCTCTTATTTATGACCCCTTTCTTTTAGATTTGAAACAACACTTTAAAGTAAGGAATACAAAGATGTATTCCTAACACTCACGTCTTCCTCAGCTCCCACGATCCCCCCAGCGATGTGAAAGGCGAAATAACCCTGTATTCACTTTCCAATTTCAGAGCCAATACATAAGGAGATCCAGCGTCATTTCATGGAGTCAAACTCTGGTACACAGCAACTAGAGGCAGTTTTAGTACTGTGATGTAAACGTTGTAGTTTCTCTAAAACTGCACTATTTTACATTGCATGATTAAGGGGGGCAGGGACAGTCAGTCCGATAGTGTCCCTTTAAGGATAGTCTATAAATAAATAAATAAATGTTATTGATATATTGCATTAGGGGCTGTTTGTCTGTTGTTGCGTGGGTAGAGTCTGACCCAGGTAAGTGGCTGAAGGGGTTTTAATTCCTTCAGCCCCACGGGAGGGGGGCCCCACGGGAAGGGAGCACTCCAGGAGCCTATAGTGCCAGGAAAACGGGTTTGTTTTCCTGGCACTATAGGATCCCTTTAACATATTAAAACTATATATGTGTCTAAGCGCCTTTTATACATACAGAATTTTATAAAATTTGTATAAATAAATAAATTCATTTTCGTTTTTTTATAAAACCGCAGATTAAAAACTCCAGATTATTATATAATTATATATAAAGCACCAACAATTTCAGCAGCACAGTGCAGTACGTATGGATATAGCATTTTATTGCAAATACTTAATATTTCTAGAGCTTGGCAGAATGAGTTTACACTTTTTAGAGAAATAGAAAACCCATTCTTTTCCAGAATATCAGGGACGAAAGATGGACCTTTCACAAGCCATATATTAAGTGATCTTTTAAAACCTACCTTCTAAAAAATGAGCAAAAGACGAGAAGCAAGAGAGATAGTAGAATAGTATTGGCCAAAAATAGCAAAGGATTGCTTTTTCCGTAAATGTAATGCAAGACTTCATCTGCAGAGGGAGCCATGGAACCGCAGTCCACAGGAATTCTGGAAATCCTAGAATGAGAATAATATATGAGATTTCCATACAGTAAGAAAGAGCCAAGCTAAAGAATCTAGACACGTAAAAAATGTGTTATTAAGTCAGACTTATTAACTAGTTCCCATGGAACCTATCCTGCGCGGTGTGTGCTGTGCTAATATAATCTCAGTATTAATCTATTAATCTATTTTTACATACACGGGGAGATTTTCTCTCCACTAAGGCTCTAAGAGATTTAGCTCAAAGTTTTGGATTTTCACCAAATCAGCAGGTGATTAACAATTCTCATATCAGAATTTAATATTGTAATCATTTATTTGTTGCTGGTATCTGACCCAGGTGCAATATCTGGGTTCATTGATTCACAGCAAAAATGAACACACTCAAGGGTTAGTAAAGAAGATAAATGTTACTATTTATTTGAGCCATAGGCAGCTAATTAATTTACACAGATAGTGCCAGTCTCCTTATGGACACATTCTATCAGTTTAACCTAATCTATAAAGGGAAATACAGATAAATGTGAGGATACAAGCACAGCCAAGTCAGTATCTTTAGACAGTTTGAGGCGTTAAGCAGTCACAGGCCAAATTAACATAGGGCCTATTGGAGCTGCAGATCCAGGCTCACCTGTTGAAATAGGCCCAAAGCAGCCACAATGTAAACGTTCAGTTGTTTTTCATTTTATTAATTATAAAATAGATTGCTACCAATTCAGCGGAACCCCAGCCATTATCAGAACTGTCTTGTTTATATACTAACAGCTTCTCAATTGCTGCTTCGTAGACTTGGAAGTTTAACCCCTAAAGGACACATGACATGTGTGACATGTCATGATTCCATTTTATTCCAGAAGTTTGGTCCTTAAGGGGTTAAACTGCAATTCGGATGAATTTGGCACTGCCTACAGTCCTCCATTAAAGCCAGAACTGCAGTGCTGCAACATTTAATTTGCACCAGAGGGAAAATCCAGCGGCCACATTAGCCAGTAGTAGGCTTGTTATGTCAATAGACGGAGCATTTTCCATATTCTAAATCCCAAACACATTGTTTGCAATTCCAACAATTCTAATAAAATTCACAAAATGGACGCAAAAAGAAGCGACTAAACATCAAATTATACCTGCCATTTTTTTTCCTGACCTCCTTTCAGGACCAGGGCGGGCATGGAAGGGCGCAGGCTGCACAGGGCACAGTGTAAGCAGTTATTCCCAGCAAGGGGGCAAGTTCACCTGGCAATCGAAGGCATGGGTCTGCCAATCGAAGGGACAGTACCTCAAAATCCAGGACTGTCCCGGCAAATTTTGGGCTTTTGGCTGCTATGAAATTTTTTTCAAAAACCAACAAGTGACACACCCTTCTGTTCTAAACTCCAGTGTACATTTTTAAATAACAACAGTTTTCAGTAACTTGTAAATGCCGACATCAAGACAAACCTGTCAGGTGAGTCTTACACTAAACATCTACCTTGATGCCTTCAGGTAAAAGGCACAATCTCTAAGAAGGTTTTCTAACAAAACTCCACAGGATTAATGAACCCTCATTTTTGTCTGAAACTCTAATTTCTGTCTGTACATTACACAGCCATGATTTAGTGTTTACCATGCGTGTGCTCTACAAAGGGATAATTAGTTTGTCGGGGTTTACCTGTGTCACCTGTCTCATCAGGGATTTCCCCTTTTACCTGAAAGTTGAGAAGGTAAATGTCAGAGATTTAATGTGATGTTGGCAGCAGAGCTCTCACTTCAATGGGCAATGCCGAGGTACTAAAAACCCCTCAGCATGATTCCCAGTTTGTGCAGTTACAGTACATGTTGCACTTCCTTCCCTAACATTTTAGGGCAGCACTAAATAAGCTGACAAGTTGACTGCAGACTATTGCAAAGGTCAAAGAAACAAGTGTTCCAATAAAAGAAATGTAACTAGATGGGAATTAAATATACGTCTCCTGTGCCACTGGTAGTGAGGGTGGGCCACCACTTTGGGGCACAAGCCATGAGAATGAGGATAAAACCAATCAGGGGTTCCGCGTGGTAATATGAGATCTAGAGGATCCCTTTCACCTTAATTTATTTAGGTGTTTTTAGTCGTATATTACATTCACAGATTGTTGCCCTCCGAGCACTGACAGGTCAGTGGAATGGCTTCTGGGCAGTTGGTGTGAGCTTAGTGAGAAATTAGGGTTTGGTAGAACAAAAAGTGGCGATGGTTGTGGTTTCACAGAAGGATACCAAAACATGAACAGTTTATATCCATTTATACCGCATAATACAAATTCAGTAAAAATGTAGTAAAGATTAATGAAAGATTCTACTATATGGTGCTACAATCACCTAATATGTACACTCCCAATACACAGAAAACGTGATATATATACAATAAAAAACAGTAAGAGAACTCAATAAATAAAAAGTTTACCACGGGTAATTATCCCAATATATAAAATATAAAATAAAAACCTTAGAGTAGCACAGTTAAAATAACTTTTCTTATTATACACTATTTGGTCTCACTCACATGCTGCTGAGCCACTTAAATAGCTGGCTCAGACTCAAAAGGCTCGTGATAATGGAAGGATGAGGTAGATGTTTCTTTAGAGATGGTTAAAAGTGCAGTGCCCAGCTTGTCCTGGAATTCCTTATCAGCTTACAAAACTTCAGGATACCAGATGAATGCAGGGATAACAATGTATTCACTTAATAAAAACACGATCTCAATAAAAGAAATACAGAATTGTCGCTTGACGCGTTTCGGCTTTAAGCCTTTCTCAAAAGTGTCCTTGTCGACTGTCAGCATACATGGAAAGACTCTATTTGAATCTCTCATAGCTCATTGGAGACTGGGTTTCACTGTAAATGGCGCAGGATTATATACACAGGGCTTCTTTTTTACTTCTTTACAGTTTTATTCCCCAGTACTAGACTCTGCCGAATTGTAAGCAATGCTCCTCCCTTCACACGCAGAATTGTGGGAACTCTTTTCCCTTTATAATTATAGTAAGGGAACCAGGTTCCTACCGCACTAGAGTCTTGAATATACATCATATTACATTTGAAAGTTAGGACAAAACTAACTTTACAAAGGAAGAATGACCACCAGACTATTGTCATGAGCACGATTTGAGTCCCTTTGAAAATATGGTAAGAATAACTGGTTTAAAAAGTATCTATAGTTTCCAAAAATTTCAGGGACAAAGAGCTCTGGTCCCCAATACTGGTCCCTCTCCTACCTGTCTCTTAGTAGATACACATTCAATTATTGTTTTATCTGGACCTACAATATCAAACAGTTAATAAAATGCTACTTTATACCATCTACTCTGTGATCTTCTCAAGAGTAATCCAATCTAAACTGTCCATCCTCAGACACTCAGCATTTTCAATATCCTATACTTTATAAAATGGACCAACATGGTCTCATAAACATCTTTCCAAATTATAAGTATCAACTATGAAACAGGTCGTGATAGAAAGATAGAAAGAGAGTCCATCATTCTTCTAATCGTGGTGCATTTTCTTTCTTCTATGTAATAAATTAATCATGGTCTAACATTCCATATATAAATTCCAGATGGGTTTATTATCCGATGTGTCCCCAATTTTGATATATTTGAAGATATATGACTGTTTTGTATTCAATCCATATGTACATCGCTCCCAGAAGTTCTCCCAATGGTCACTGGCATAAATAGAATCTTTAAAAAAAAAAAAAAAAATCTTGTCTTCAGGACAAAGACAGGTATTTGTTAATGGATGTTAAGGATTAGAGTGCCATGGTGTCTCCTCAACTGAATACAAACAGGGTCATTCATTAAAGTGAAAATTTAAAGTGAATTTAAAATGAATTTTAAAATATAGTCAAGATAGCAGAATTAGATAAACGTTTCTTCTATTTTCAGTTGGGCTATTTTGCCCTTAAATTTGAAATTCACTTTGAATTTAATTTGTATTCTTTGAAATCATTACTTTATTTAGTGAATAATCACACACACACTCACACACACTCTCTCTCTCTCGCTCAGAGATACATGCACATTGGAACACACATACCCACACAGATACACACACACTGGCAAACACAGATACACACAACCATACACAGACACATGCTGTGATATACTGGTATGCACACAAACACAAATATGTGTACATACAGTGACACACAGTTACACACACCCTAAACTGCCTTAAACATGCACACACACTGACACAAAAGTAAAAAAAAGAAAACACACATTTCTAGCTACCTTCCTGTGGGTTCTGGGGAGTCTACACTGGCTAGACAACCAGTAATTGTCCCCTTTGAAGTTGGAACAGATTTAGGGACTCATTTTTGCTGTGGCAGAAGTCTAAAACATGGGACTGCCCTAGTAAATTCAGGACAATTGTCAACTATGCACTGCACATGGCAATAAGTAAATACCCAGGGCAATAGATAATTGAAACTATGCATTTGTTATGGTAATAACAAGTACACAGATGTATCATATTTAAAGAGAGGCTTTACGTACCATTATAGGTCATTGTAGTGGTTAATGTGCAAATAGTGTAGTCCCTGTTTTTTTCAAACAATGTTCTAGTAGATTGACAGAAAAAACAAACAGGGTTTCCCCATCACATAAAGACTTTGAGTGTGGGGAGGTGGCCTAGCCTTGACTGTCTGAATGTGGATGGATATCGAGGAAGTGCAATTTCTCTTTATCTCCACTGCTACAAAGGGGCAATAATCATGAGGAACACTGAAATAGTTAAGCATTTAAATGTAGCTATTTCCGTGTTTTTATAAGAGCCCAAATCTGCATATGTATGGTTCATATACTTTACTGAGATTATATTTGTGTATAAAAATAGGGGTTATCCTGTCAGGGAAGAAATGGCCCAACATAGTGCAAAACTGTATGATCAAATTATAATTAAAGTATGCGTCAAATGGGAGAGATTATATGTGTTGCCTGCTTCCTCTTCACAGTTTAGTTATTGACCCCTTTGCTGTCCTGCAGATAATGATACATTTACTTCCTCAATAAAATACGCTCCCAATTGAATCCTCTCCTGCAACTGTCATTAAAAAAAATAAATACAAAAAACGTAAGTGTTCAGTGAATACTCTTCTACCAATTTACTTCTCTAATACTTGCCTTACCCTCTTTAACAGGGGTCTCTTCTAGTGCCGAGAGCACTGGGTGACAAAAAGACATCTATAAACACCTGGCAATTATTACAACAAATCTATAGGTTTGTGCACCAACGGACAGATCTCTTATCTCTGTAATAATGAAAACACAGAGCGGGCGCTCGGGGTCACGGACACGCTTTGCATGCTGGGTGGTTATAATGGACTACATACAGAAGATTATAGAATTCTCAGGCACGTTACATTCTTACCTTTCCTTATTAGACCTTGCACTTCCCTTAGTGCCGTGTGATGTAATCAATTTAAATTCACCTTTAAATATCAAGCATTCTTCAACTTAAATCTCGCTTCACACGGGTTACAGATCTCAAATGAACTTTACTTCCAGCCCGCCTCCCTTTGACTATTATGTTTGTTTTAGCTCAGTGACACTTGAAAAAATAAAGTGAATTTGTCATTTGTGTTACAACTCTAGAGTTTACTCAGTGAATATTTAATTGGATTAATCTGAAATAGAAATTGCAAAATTTAGGCTTATAAATTCAGACTGTGACTATAGCTGAACTGGAGAATGTTTCTAAATAATTTACTACAATGTACTGTTTAGTGAGCCCCGATGTCTTTACGAAAAGATTAATACAGTTTGTAAATAAATACACCGTGCTAACAGACTTATCAATATGATTATTGGTATTTATATAGCACCAGCTTATTCCACAGCACATTACAATATTATAAAATGAATAATATAACAGTAAATGAGACAGACTATTACACATTTTCACAGGAACACTCACTCGAACAGTTTACAATCTAGAGACTTGTTAGCAAATATATGCTGCTGCGTGCCCCCCTCCCCATTGCCAGAGCCTGTTGCACACACACATGCAATCACAGATGGAATTTCAGTATTTTAGAGTCACTTGAAAGAGTTGAAAGAGTTGTGTATGCGAGATTGACAGACTACCTTGAGTCCAACTCTCTGCTAGACCCACTTCAGTCTGGTTTCTGCGCTAAGCACTCTGTGGAAACGGCTCTGATCAAAGTATCAAACGATCTGCTCGCTGCAAAATCTCGTTGTCACTACTGTATCCTAATTCTCCTTGACCTGTCTGCTGCTTTTGACACTGTTGATCATCAACAACTTCTTCTCATCTTCCGTAACATCGGTCTACAAGATATTGCTCTCTCCTGGTGCTCCTCCTACCTCTCCCAGCGCTCTTTCAGTATTTCTTTCTCTGGCTCGGCTTCTTCTCCCCAACTCCTCTCTGTTGGTGTCCCCCAAGGTTCAGTCCTTGGTCCCCCTTGGTCCATCTATATTGCCTCCCTTGGTAAACTCATTAGCTCATTTGGCTTCCAATATCATTTCTATGTAGATGTCAAGCAAATCTACCTGTCCTCCCCTGATCATTCCCCGTCCCTCTTGACTAGTGTCTCTGACTGACTCTCTGCTATTTCTAACTGAATGGCTGCCCACTTCCTTAAACTCAGCTTCACCAAAACTGAAATTCTAGTCTTTCCTCCCTCAAGTGTTGGTACTCCTGTGTCTGTCTCCATCCAAGGAAACGGTGCTACCATCAGCTACACCACGCAGGCTCGCTGCCTAGGTGTTCTCTTTGACTCCGAACTGTCCTTCACACCTCATGTTCAGTCTATCGCCAAATCCGCTCAAAACATTGCGCACATCCGACCCTACTTAATGCCAGATGCGACTAAGGTGCTGGTCCATTCCATTGTCCTTTCTCGCCTTTACTACTGTTATCCACTTCTCAGTGGTCTTACATGCACAGAGCCTATCCCCCCCAATTCCCTTTACCCACTAATACTATTATCCTCCACCCATTACAGCCCGTATAACCCTCTACACCCTCTATATCAATGTGTTACTGATCTATTTAACCACAGGTGAACTTTTTTGCACCTTATTCTGTATTTGCGCTGACCCCTATGGAGAGATTACTCTGTAAGTGGAATCACATCCTTTTTTGTTTGTGGCCCCCTGGATTGCTCGGTGTAATGGAGTTTGATTATCTTATGCAGTCTGTATCATGACTAGGTGTCAGGATTACAGTATGATCCAGCACGTAGAACTGTGTAACACAGAGGACTGATAGGTAACGTATATCGGACCTTAGAATGGCCGGACTAACGTACCAAAGAATAGTCAGGAATAGCCGAGGTCAAGGGATACAGAAAGAGACACAACGATAAGGAAAAACAATGCCAAAGTCAAATAACCAGAATAACCAGAATCAATAACGCTCTCTGACAACCACAAGGGAAACCACGACAGGGCACTGAGCAGGATGAGAACTGGGCCTAAATACCCCTCCTCTAGATCTGATAGGCTGTAACCGGCCTTTGACCCCAAAGGCAGTTACCAGATCTCATTTTCATTATTGATGCTCAGCATTAACCCTTCTGTGGATTTGGTTGTTGCTCGGCACAACTTTTCCTGTGTGGACAGCAAATGTCATTAACCACATTTTTGTAAGCGGATGAATACGTGACACTAGGGACATTGAGATACACTCAGAAAAGTCCCTTCCCTCCTGCAACCACAACAGCCCTTATTACCCCACTACAACCCCCATCTCCCTGAATCCACTAAAACCCCATTTACCTCCTGCACCCACTACAAACCCTATTATTCTTGCACCCACTACATCCCCTATGACTTTTGCCCTCACTACAACCTTTATGCCTCTATACCCACGGAATCCACTACCCTCCTGCATCCACTACAGCATCTATCCTCCTGCATTCATTACAGCTCCGATCCTCCCTTACCCACTACAACCCCTATTATTTTTACCCCACTACAGCCCTTATACCTCAATACCCACTGAATCCACCTCCCCCTCTTTACCCACTACAGCCCTTATGCCTCCCTGACCTCATACTACAGCCACTACCATCACTACTAAAGTTATTAAATGGTAGAAATTATTAGCCCCCCTCACCCCCTCCCCAGTTTTGACTGGGATATTCTATGTGCCCTTCCTGTGTATTGTACCTATAGTCACCACTGCTCAGCACACATCCAAGGCTGGCCCTGCCCATCTGTAATACTAATACTGTAATCTCTCCTTTGGTCACTGACCATCATTGGAATTACAGCTGTATTCCGATTGGCTAGAAACAACAACCAATCATCCAATAAGAACGAAGGATCAGTTTAACAAGACCACTCAGTTTATTTTCCTTGGCGGTTCAATAAAATGCACAGATTCTATCAACAGTTAATAAAGGATAAACAGGTAATACCCAGAACTCTTCACACACCTGACGGAATTTTAGTTGGCTGTTTCCTTTACTATATAGTCCTCTATGTCAATGTGTTGCTGATCTTTGTAACCATGGATGGACTTTTTTGCACCTTATCCTGTATTTGCACTGATCCCGATGGAGAGATTATTATTTCAGTGGAATCACATGCTTTCTTGTTTAAATGTCCCATTTTAGCGTGGCTCCCTGGATCACTCGGTGTAATGCAGTCTGTATCATGACTAGTGGCATTGGGACAGATTTACACTTTCTGTGGAATTTACTATAATTTCACTCTTCCATTAAAGCCACTCAAGACAGTAAAATAGTGACAGCCATATGTAAATGATTAAGTAGATAATTGGAAGTGTATGAGAGCAAAGATTGTTAAATGTTCTTTAATTCAAAACTATTGATCTATTATAAATAGAGAAAGTATTCCAAAAACTCTGTCACGGCCCACGATAAATTCCTTAAATTTTTTTAACTCTATCCACTGTTACATCTCTATCATTAGATTGACCTTTATTCACAGATTCGCACACGGCGGAACATGCCCTGGCCAACTCTCTAATTTGTATGGTCGAACAAAAAGAAATGGAACTCTGAGGAAATATAAATTAATGTGGAGAATCAATCTATACATGATATTGGATATAAAATGATATAGAGAGGAAAATTGAAAATATCAAGGAACGGTGTTATATGCCTATATGATTAAAAACCTTAATTGTATCCCTAACCCAATCTCCAACTTTAACGCTAACTTTAACCAGCAACACTGACAATAATGCTAAAATCAATCTGTCATCACAGATTCACTCTAGCTACATTAATGTTATTTCAATTTATTGTCAACATATTACCTTGGGGGAAGGCACAAATAAGGCATTTAATGCTAATCACCCATCATGCTTAGCTGATTTCTAATACATGAACTGTTGAAAATTCTAAATTTCACTTTACCTGCAGAATTTGTTACAGTAACAATATCTTCTCAGGTATCGAGTATATAAGGTATCATAGTAATAAATAAAATATTTAATAGATTTAGGATTGTTTTAAGGTCCCCAATACTTATCTCTGTGATTATAGCTATGTGTATGGCTAAATGAGATATTTCGGAGAGAGTTGGGATGTGTATGTGCTATGTGACAGTGTGGTCGTGTGGTCGTGCTAAAGGGTGGGGGTCAGAGAAGGATTAACATCCCATGATGCCCTAGGCGGTTTGCCCCCCTTTTTTCATTCTTAATGGCTAATGCGGCCAAGCAAATTCATGGTTCCGGGGCTCCAGTCTAGTCTCTGGGCCCTTAGAGACCACCTAGGTTCGTCTTATGGCTAATCCTGGTCAGGTGGGGCTTCTTTGTGCACAAATAAATTATAGTGCGATTTGAGGTTTTCTAAGGGAAGCAGCAAACATATTTCTCCAAATTGGTAGACGAGGGTCCTGATTTGCTACCCTGCCTGAGGCCCAGTAAAGGTTTAATCAGTATGTGGGGTGTCTGTTTACATACCTCTCATGCAAATTGTTTCTTTCTAATAACGTTCTGCTAGTAATACCACGTAACCAATCTGGGAAGACTGTATCCATGGCTTCAAAAGGACCTTCATATTTGAGATAATATTATTTTTTTGCAAGTCTTATTCAACATGTAAGTTAAGACATATCTTGAGTTAGTTATTTTGGGTTGTATCCTGTGCTTCTATACTTTGTTATTTCACTTCAATGTCAAAATACTACCTTGAGGGAAGGCACAAATTTGGCGTTTCATGCTAATTATCTTGTATGTCCCACGATGCTTAGCTAACTTCTAATAAATAGACTGTTAAAACCATTGAAATTCGTCTGGAACTTACATGGGAAAAGTACAGAAAACAGGAAAATTCTATTGTTTATTTCAGGCAGTGGCCCTTAAGCAGATCAGTTGCCGCAGGTGAGTTTATTTTATAGAAACATTTGCTTGCTATTAGAAAACTACATACTGATGAATAGAGGTTCTGGGAAGATTTGACTGTAAAACATTTAAAAATATATATTCTCCTTTAACATAAGCAAATGGGACAGACAGAGGCTATATAGTTAATTTATTAAAGGAATGAAAAAAGGATGGCGTGAAATTGTACATCTCGTATTAACGATTCTGCATTACTGAAAAGACTGTGAACGCCCTACCTTCATCAGCAGAGTGTGTCTGGACATACAGCAGTGCCAGTCTATCAGACACAGCTAATATTTCTGTAATTCAGAGGAATTTTGCTGAACTGGGCTCAGAGACTTACTTAAAACTCAGTAATCTCAATTCTTTGCATGCGGCGTGCCTATAAAAGCTGTCCTTTGTGTATAATTTATTTTCTTTACTTCTAAGATTCCATATGAAGGTTATATCGTGTGAATAAAATGATGTCACCAAAATTACTAATTTATTTTGTACTTCTTTTAACACTGTGCCTGAAGGCGTGTTGCTGAGCTAATGGCGTTTTTTTCTCATGCATGTATTGATTGATTGATTGATCGTTTTAGTTATTGAGAAGTTCAATTTGCAGATCACATCACTGCTCAGATAGGGCAGAGGACAAAGTGAGCATATGCAAAATGTGGGCAATTCTGATAATCTAGAGTGTTCTTTCTGGGCTCTTGTTGTGAATAAACTAAACCTTTATTAGTGATCTTCAATCATTCATTCTCAAGTCCAGTTTGACTTTTAACCCTTTAATTGTATCCCCACTGGACTTAATCTAGGTTCAATTCAACAATTATTTTAACACCAGGAACTACAAGTGCAGAAACACGGTAAGGTTCACATAAAATCAATATGACATCACAGGAACTGCCTTCTAAAATGGCACAGTAAGGGCCATGAGAGGGGAAAAGGTTTAAAAATCATATCAAGCAGTATTACTTTACTGAGAGGGTAGTGGATGCATGGAATAGACTTCCAGCTGAAGTGGTAGAGGTTAACACAGTAAAGGAGTTTATGTATGCGTGGGATAGGCATTAGGCTATCATAACTATAAGATAAGACTAGGGACTAATGAAAGTATTTAGAAAATTGGGCAGACTAGATGGGCCGAATGGTTCTTATCTGCCATCACATTCTATGTTTCTTTTTACTCCAAATCATCTTACATTTCCCATAATTCAATTTTATTTCTGGCAAATGAACTGAGCTCAGTAGCAAAAATAATAATAAAAAAAAAACACTTATAGGATTTATTCAATATATAAATAGGGTCCCACAAAACCTGAATCTGATTTTGGAAACTATATCAATATCTATACCATACCAATCGGCTTGATATGAGAGTGTGTGGGTTTAGTGTACATTCAGTTTAGAGCACGAGATTTATCCAAATGTCGTCAATGAAGCTAACAGAATGGGGCAGACATATGAAAATAAGGTGAAACAAAATAATAATACTTATGAAAAGTCTTGAGTCTCCTCCATCACAATGAATTCTTCAAATACAAAATTTAATTCACCGGAATTAAGTATTGCGTGTCCAAACCGAACGTAGCTTGCATTTTGTGCCATTCTCATTATGATTGTGGCTGTTTTGGCATTAGGTCTTAGTAATAGAATTTACTTTGGATTTTGCGGGATCTATGGCTTTGAGAAAACTACATTTTAATTTTATTTCCAGATTTTAGCATTAATACTTAAAATGTTCTTAATATAGCCAGATTGGCCTCCAGACAAACAATTTGAATTGTGTGACTAATGGATCTCCTCTTGTGTTCCCACCATCACTGTAACGTAGGGTAACTTGAGTTGGTTTGTTAAACTGAAATTAGCAACTGAGCTCTAAAATATTTTGTCAGCTGCCAGTTTGTTTATTGACGTACAGATAGAGTGACAGCGAAATAATTTGGAAACTCACAAGTAAAATATCTGTAAACTAATACGTCTGTGTGTACCAAACCGAACGGAAGCCCCTTCAGACCGCGTGGCTGTGCCTGAAAGACAACTTATAACTGAATGCAGGCAGTGAGAAATTCAATGGTTTTTATTTCTCTGTAATAGAAAGATCCTAGACAGCTGCCTTTGATACATTTTATTGTGAAACTGTGTTTTTAGTTTAGAGGGAAAAGTCCCTCTCCATTTCCTTATTAGTAATTCCAGCACGACGTGACTACATATCACCTTTAGCAATGCAAATGTGTATACAATGTAGTGTTTAGACTGCAGTGCATGTTTCTAACTAGCTTTCTATAGCCAGGTAGATAAAACATGGCTTTATGCCACACACAATGTTTGTCCACACGGAGTTCTGCAGGGAAGGGCTTAATTGGGAGTGTATCATTAAAAGTAAACCTTTCTATGTCTACAATCAGTGGGTGTTTTGGAGAGATGTAAATGATCTTGGCTATGGACAGTATACTTTCCACTTAATTGGGTATTCTCTCTCGGCCGCAGAATTCCAAGTGTGATCATTTATCAAGACCTGTACTATGGCTGTGCAACTTGTTATCGGTTTATGTAAAGGTATCGTAGTACTGTGTTAGCTGTACAAATACAGGTGATCATTGGGATAAAGAGGAGCTAATGTATTAACTTATCAAATTACTGAAACTTAAACTGAAATGTGTCCGAATCATGAACCAACTGAAAAATGCAATGGTCGAGATGACAGCTCCCCATTTAGCTACTAAATGTTGATTTGATTCACAGACCAAGTAAGAAAATGTAACCAACAGAGCATTAAAACTCTCTCTCTCTTTCTCCCTCTCTATATATTTGTGTGTGTGTATATGTAATATTTTCTGTGAAAAATTACAGTAAATATGTAGTTAGTATATTTTCTGATAATTGACAAAAAATTTCAGAAAAATGGAAATGTTTAATAATCACAGATATTGAGAAATGATGGCCAAACTCCATAAATTATTTCCGCTACTATGTCAACTTCCAAGTTCAACCCCTGAATTTACTGATGGCTTAAACGTATGAAAGTCTAGGGTATCTCACAAAGGTTCTGCTTAGCAAGTATTATCATTATTAGCATTTATTTAGGGCCAACATGTTTATAATTATATAAAGGAGATATTTGACAACAGGTAATTGACAAACAGAATATTAAAAGAGACAAGAGGTGAAGGTCGTGCTCTAAGGAGCTTTCAGTCTAAGGTTGCAATCAAAATGATTCCTACCGTCATTGAAATTCAGGTTTATTGTCACAATTTACACACTCTCAGCTGTTTGCAATGAACAAATCAAACCCAGGCAATTAAAATAGCTCGACACAATAAATGCTTCAAGTGGTTTCTTCAAATGAGGATTTGAGGTGGGTGGATATATATCATTGTCTTGCTGACAGACACTTAATGGTGAGGTGGTCTGACCAGGACTCAACCATGGGTTCCAAAACCATATATAATTATTATTTACATCCAGCTCAGGAGCACCCACCACGTTGGAATTTGAGTAGCCAAACTTCAGAGTTCAAGTTATTGGCACATAAGTAGTGCTGGATAGAAGAAAGCCTTACAAAATAAATCGTAGTGTGAGTTCAGGCAGTAACTAATTCAGGATGGAATAAAAGGTCAGGTAGTGTCCGATGTCAAGAAACAACAGCACAGATTCGTGGCCATGAAGAAACCAGGCCACAATCATGCAGTACCAGAGATGCAAAATACACAATGCCATAGGATCATGTGGGATTTGTATCAGATTAAAAGGGACACTATAGGCACCCAGACTACATCATGTCATTGAAGTGGTCTGCGTGTAGTGTCCCTGTCCTCATTAGTCCTGCAATGTAAGGCACTGTTTTAATGTTTAAACATGTTCACATTGCAGGGTGAAGACTGTATCTAGTGGCTGTCTACCATGCGTATTAGGTTCCCCTACCGCCGTGTGATCACCGGAGGAGGAGACCAAGCCTGTGTCTGCACTGGAAACAAGTAAGTAAAACAAGGGTTTTTAATCCTTTCAGGACTGGGGGAGAGGGGAGCAAGGGGGGACAGCAGAGGCAATAGGACACTATAGTGTTAGGAATACAGTTTTGTATTTCTGACACTATAATGTTCCTTTAAACATACCAATGTTATGAATACACAACAAAGGGAGAGTGGGGGGTAGGTCAGAGAATCCATAACCTTTAGATACCAAAGAGACGGGAAACACATTGCTGTACTATGAAATTAGTTAGTGGAGGCATACAACTCCTGCTAAAACTCAGATAATTCATAGTTATATTAAAAGGACACTTTAGCTTACTGAAGTACTTAATGTGTGAATAGTGTGTCCTCTGGTTTCATTGTACACAGTGTGTAAATTTCAGTAGAAATGGACACATTTATAAATTAACCTTGTCACACCCCCATGGCTGTCAATCACATAACTGGTCCTGTTACTTCCTGGTTTGGTTAGCTCAGTGGAACTAAACTCAAGAGGCAGCAATTGCACAGAGCACATGCCTTGCAAAGACTTCTCATTGAGCTGCATTAGGAGAATGGGATTGGACAGCTACAGAAAGTCTGGTTGGGTTTATAAGGGGAGGGCTTGCAAAGTCTGCAAGTTTTGTAAGCTGTTTTTAGGTATACCACTAATGGAAAATGTATAATTAAATGCATGCATGTTCAACAGCAAAATACAAATGTAATAAAGGCTGAACTTGATGGACACAAGGCTCTTTTCAGCTATGTAACTATGTAACTATGTAGATTAGATTTTATTTTGTCTCCAAGCGAAATCCTGTATATTTTCTTTATCACGGTGAACATTTACTCATCAATGGTTTGGGGGGAATTAAATAAACATGGATACAAATACCAGCGAGGAGCTAGGCTCCTGTCCATTAGTACACACCAGCAGATCTCACTTTAGTAAATAACCCTTTATGAATATTGTAAATATACTCAGGAATCTGTAATTCAAAGGACATTGAATGCTGCTACTGCAGTCAACACATACGTCATAATAAGTACATAAACTCTCTTTACCACTCCTCAGAAACTGGACAAGGTGGCCAAGTACATAACCCTCAGCTCTAGATGTGCCAGATATCAAGAAATCAATTATAAAATACTCATGCAGTGGTATGACATACCACAGAAGATTCATTAATATCTCCCTGAGGTGTCGGAGGTCTGTTGGAGGTACTGGGGAGGGGTGGGAACTCTCCTCCACTTATTCCGGTCTTGTCCACACATAACGCCTTACTCGAAACAAATCTACAAGACGATGAGGTAGCTGATGAGGAGGTTGCTTTTGACCCGGTAGATGTCCTACTTAACAAATCAGCCCTGCCTATATCGACATATAAGAAGACAGTATCTCATCACCTACTCACGGCAGCTAAATCACTGATCCCATTTCTGTGCCGGCAAACAGAACTACCAACGTTTCAAGCCTGGCTCCAAAGAGTGGAGGAGATTGGGCAGGTGGAAGCAGAAATAGCAGCAGTGAGTGGAAGACTGGAGAAACATGAGGAGATATGAAGGACATTGACGTACACAAGAGAAGCTCCTGGTAACAGACCAACTGAGTGAGACAATGGCAACATCTCCTACTAAGAGGGACTGGCTCTGAGTACCCATGCGGCGTGGTGGGCGGGTGCAGCCTGCGGGACTTGGGATGCGTACCCTATCCCCTCCCATCCTTCATTTTTTTTTTCTCCACTTTTTCCCTACTTCTGAACTACCATACCATACTTGTCTAAAATTGTTCACCCGTCTTTCTCATCTCATCAGCTAAGGCTGACTCACCAATATCAAATGGCAATTAGCTGGATCCAGCATGGATCATTCTTCCCCTGTGCGCTTAGCTTAAGGGATTAGTGAGTGACTAACAATAGGGTCTACTGTCAGAATATTTATATCGGCAGACATTTTGTGCTAAGAAAGAAATTAAAAGTGTATATTGCCAGAGTCACTCAGAACAGAGCAGACTCCATTTTGCTATCTTCAGGATAACAAAGACACATAATTTCCTTGCTTTCACTAACCACTAAGGAATGTATTACATAAACACAGACACTAGTGACAGAGAAGACTAAGTAATTAATTTTACTTTCTACATTTTACAAGTTTTCATTGTAAGTAAGGGGTGAAATTGAGTTTAGAACTGTCAATTTTAGAAATTACGATCAAAGTAGTTGCCACAAAGACTGAGACAAACGCTTTGAACTGACAGCAAATCTAAGTTATGGTGGTCATTTTAGATAAGCCAAATGACATCAAAATCGTCATCAGGAAAAGTTAACTCTTTCCTGGATAGGAAGGTCTAGTTAGGCAAGACTGCCCTCTATGGATCAAATACCTAAATTGCGATCCATAGATTGAACACCCCTACGGTTTCCTATTGGCGTATCAACTAATAACGTACAGAGAGTCTGGCCCTTTAAAAGTTAGGACAAAGGGAAGAAAGAGGGTAGTTGGTAGAGAGACGAATTGGAGTTTGGGCAATCCGATTCGGACATGCAGAGAGAGAGACTCAAGAAACATTCTCTGGGACTAACACTCTACTCTTAAACTCTCTTGGACACTCAACTCTTAAACTCTTTGACACTTAGAATTTTACTCTGACTTTCTAACCAACACCACTTTTCGCTATCACTCACGCACCTCCATACAACCAATCAAGTTCCTGGGACTACCTACTCATCTGATGAGAATATCTACATAACTGGTAATTATGCTGGTTTTATTTAATTAAATTAATTAAAATTTACTAATAGCATGATATATGACTGGATAAATCACGGTCAGGTTTCAATATTTAGAAATCTTAGTTAACTAAAGAATATATAGTTATAAACATTCCATTCTGCAGGTGGAATTAAGAATAATTATATATTAATGTGATATTATCATGTGTTAGCATACCGCTGTTTTTATCCAGGTGTATTGATTTACTCTAAAATAAGATAAGATATCTTTTTAGGCAAATTAAAATTCAGCTTTTGTAAAAAATCTGGTAGATTATTCTTATTGGATGGTTCCAGGAAATGACTAATGAGCTGGTTCGAATGTTATTTTAATTGAAAATTACATGAGAATAGGATACTATATGCCTATGAGGAAAGGGTTACTCAGTTGATTTAACTGTTAGCCAAGGTTTTATGGCTTTTTTTCGCTGTGTGAAGCTTACCCTAATAAATCTTATTAAGTGACAGAAGATGCTGTTAGCCATTGGAACATTTATAGCCATTCTATTGCATACTTATGTTATACTAAATATTCACTGATTAATATCATGCATGCTGCCTAATATTATTGTTATGTTATATGTCACAATAAATTAAATCTATTTTTATAACACATTGTGATCTTAATTGTATGGAACACATTTCACTTATTTGATAAACAATCTATAAGATCTAAGAGAATTGAAATAGTGGGCAATTCTCGACTGCTTAATATTATCATCCCATAAATATCCCCACACTACCCTCTAGGACACTCAGGTCTGAAATGCCCCCATGGTACTTATATAGAACAGAAATACTCTCATCTCCCCTTCCAGGGGTTTAACCCATACGATCGACAGTGCAGGGGGACGACAGGGGAGACACTGTTAAGATGGACAAGACACTCTTCTAGCCCATGTAACAACGGGATTCCCAGAAGATAAAATGCTTTTTGAAACATTAAAAGACGCTTATCTGGGGAAGTACCACGGTATATCCTGAGCTATAGTGACCGGGCACTAAAATAAGATTTCAATTACACAATGCCTAAGCTAACTTTATTGTACAGAAGGCAAAAGCAGAATAATTCAAGATTATACGTAATGACCCCCTTATTTTTAATTCTCTTTCTTCTGTAAGAAACGCTAGCCTGAACCAAAAAACATTCTGTGAATATTGCATTGTGGAATTCCCATGAGGGAAATGTTTACTCGAAATGCTATAACAACTCAATATTTGTTTTACTGTCTTCTTATTTCTGTATTTCTAATTAATCTTGGGGAAAAAAACCTAATGAACAAAGATTGTCAAAAATAAAATAAAATAAATAAATTCGCTTTTCTGAAGCACTGTACACATAGTTCCATGAAGGCTCCTGTACAGTGCAATGGGGTAAAGGAGTTAAATTATTTCCAGTCTCACTGTGCGATGCATTGGAGCTAACCGGAGCTCTGGCTTAGGAATTAGTTTCTCAGTCAGGGGAGGACAAGCACTGGAGCAAATAGACTAAGTTGGGTTTATTGAAATATGTTTTTGTTTTTTTTCTTTTTTTTCCATTAAAAATACAATAGGTATACATTTAGCTGCCTTTGAAGGGGCTTACGCTTTCCCCCTATATATATATATATATATATATATATATATATATATATATATATATATATATATATATGTATATATATATGTTAAAAGGCCATTCGACAAAAAAGAAAAAGAAAAATACTCAAAACACTGGAAGTACTCCTGCAATTCGAGTTTAGTCTGGAATTAAATAGTAAAGATTCGATCTGTGGACAAATAATGTTTACAATAGTAATGTAGAAGGATTCCAACTTATCCCAGACCTTAAAGACATCAGGGGCCAGAGAAGGTGCATGCTTTAAGCACCGAAACGCACGTCACGTTCTCTGACTCTTTCTTTCTCACAATTTCACTTTGGGCACTTTTCACCATGTGCAGGTAACCAACATCCTAAGTATGGTGCTGCACATTAGCACTATTTGATTTTTCTACCTCTCTTTCATTTTCCATATCCTGTATCTATTAGTTACCTTGTAGGAGATACAATAGTATCAGAGACTGTCTCTCTCCTTTCATTATATACATGTTCTCCTACTAGTTACTGTGTATTCACAATATTTAGATACATTTTCTTATAGTTGACCCCACACTTGTTGGCATTATTATACAAGTATAGTCTATCATTGCGGATAGGGAGACCTTTTGGTTTAATTTAAACTGTCCCCTACTGACAAATCACTGTTATCATACAGTGGCCAGGCTATTTTTAATACTTAGGGTCGCTATATTAGGGATTTGGAATGGATTTGGAATGGTTCTCACGTTACTGCAGCATTAGTACACACCTCTCCATACATTTGGCCATCTTTACATACATCATGCATACCAGTGGCACACTCAGGGGTCACTAGCATCAACCTTATCCCTATGATGCCTTGGCTGTACCAGTTTATTCTTCAGGGGCAATTTGTATCCACAAACTGCTGTATCACGCAATAAGCAAAATGAGAAATAGGTTAGAATCTACATGTGTTTGGTCACATCGTTAGGAGACAAGCCCCAACAGGTTTAGAGAACTGGCATACAGGGATAGGTGCTGGCCTTAGCAACCCTAAGTAAGTGCACCAGTCCCGCAAGGCCTACTCCCCACCTCAACACGGAGGTTCAGCCCCACAGCCAAAATCATAGTTAGCCGCCTGGCTCGCCTTCTTTAGGGCTACAGCTAGGGCTTCCCAGGTCATGGCCACACGTATTTGAATCTTTTATGGTCATCAAGAGGCCAACATCCTGCCACCACGTTTCTTGGCCATGATTTCCCTTGGTCCAAATAATAGGTAGAGCCTCTCACCACCTCTTGGCATTAGCAGGGCCTCACCTGTCACTTGGCTTTGTTAAGTTCTTCGCCTCGGCACTAGTCAGCAAGTCAGTTCTCCGAAGCTCCCGTTCTTCCTTCCCACTCCCCTACCTAATTTAATTCATTATTCCTTTTTCAGAATGTCACAAGAATCCATTTCCATCGATGATCTACCATTGGATGAAGTACCCATCGTGCCAGCCAGGCCTGGGTCCCCAGAAGAATTCCTCACCACCTCTACCCCCAGGTCCCTAAGATCATGGACTATCTCAAAAATTGCAGAAGAACTAAGAATCAGGGATATCCCCTTTCCAGCCACTGCCAGAAAGGCAGAGCTGTACAGCCTTTTGACAGCTCAGGCCAGCGACCCTAGGCCTGGCACTAACTCACAAGGGCTGTCTTCCAGCACCTCCAATTCTACGCAGGAAACCCTGACCGCCATACTGGCCAACCTCCAAACTATGAATAGTAGACTGTCCAAAGTGGCATCAGCCAAAACCAACCAGCCAGGTGACCTACCAGGCCCTTCAGGTCCTCCTTTGGTAATCCCTATTCTGCCGAGTGGCGCAAGTGTGCAACAATTTAAATGGTGGTGCATGCAGCTTCAGCGCATGCAGGTTGTTCCACGTCTGCTCCATTTGTTTCAGAGTGCCTACCAAGACTATGTGCCCAGCCTGACTTTCACCTAAAAAATGACTGATGTCAACATAGATGTTGTGGCTTACTACCTACGCTCCCACCCAGCTAGGCATTTGGTAGAATTTTTGGTGACAGGATTTTCACAGGATTTTCACACAGGTCTCATTGCCATCCCCAGAGGCACTCCCGAATGCCCAAACCTGCTGTCAGCTCTCATGGTGCTCTCATGGTGGACCACCTACTGTCCACAGAATCTAAAGCAAGTTTCATGATTGGCCCTTTCACAGTATCCCCTTTTTCATCCTGGCGTACCAACCCCATCGGGGTAGCTGTGCACAAGTACTCTAATAAAAAAAGATTGATTATCGACCTCTCAGCACCTCATTCTTCTCCCGTCCCCAGCATAAACTCTCTCATACCCGCTGAGGAGTTTTCATTACACTACGCAAAAATCGACAACGCTATGCAAGCTATTATCACAGCAGGCAGCAAGGCATGGCTAAACAAGACCGACATTACCAATGCGTTCAAGCTCTTACCCATTCACCCCTAACTATGGCACTTACATGGTGTTAAATGGCGGGACAGGTATTATTTTTCTACCCGGCTCACTTTTGGGTCTAGGAGCAGCCCTGTTTGACATATTCGCAGAAACGCACTGCTGCCGGTCCCTAAACATAGTTAGGTGTCCATCCGTTATTCACAATTTGGACGTTTTTCAGTAGAACCAGGCTCCCAAGCAACCTGTAGCATTCACAGCACCACAGTCGTGTTCACTACACTAGGTGTGACCCTGTCACCAAGTAAAACAATTGGACCCTTCACTAAGCTAGTTTTCTTGGGCATCGTTTTGGACACAGAATCTTTTTAAGCCAGCCTACCACCAGAGAAATTGACCCGCAGTAGGGAGAAAATCAGTCTGCTCCTGCGGAGTGATATGTGCACCAGAAAAGGACTCCAGTCCTTGTTGGGGTCCCTTAACTTTGCGATGCAGATCATTCCACAGGGCAGATCATTCGTCTCTAGGCTACTGTGTCTACTCCATGGGGTGCCCAACTCCTGCTCAATTACATTGAATGATCCAGCCAGGGTAGATTTGCACATGTGGAGAAACTTCTTGTCCGAGTGGAATGGAGTCTCCCTATTTATTCCTCCACTATCCGATCTTTCACCTACTATTTACACAGACGCAGCAGCACACACTGGGTTTGCAGCCATATTTGGAATCCACTGGTTTAGGGATAACTGACCCACTGAGACGGATGCCTTGCCGGCCTTTAGAGAAACATCCTCATTGTTCGAGATTTACCCCATCATGGCGGCCGCTCATACATGAGGCCATCTTTGGACCGGCAAGGCAGTCAAATGCTGCTCAGACAATTCAGCAGCCTGCAAAATTATCAACAAGGGGCGGTCCTCCTCTCTAACCATTATGAGGCTGGTATGCAAGCTGACTTGGCTAGCAGCAACCACTCAGTTTCACCTAGTCTACGTACACATTCCTTGTATTCGTAACACAACTGCTGATGCTCTTTCCCGCTCTCATTTTCATGTATTCTTCCAGGCACTCCCTATGGCCCACCACCTACCATCCAGGATACAACCTTTTCACAACTACTCATGGACTAACTGAGCTACTAAGCCACGCTCAGGCACTCACGCACCACGCACTCTCACCCAACACCACTACCACTTACGCTAGGGCACTGACTATTTTCAATAAGTTCACTGTGGAGTTTCACTTGCAGGGAGATTTTTCTCTATTAAAACCATGGTGGCTTTTGCCTCCTTCTGTCACCTACACCTCAAATTATCTTACAACACCATTAATCTTTACTTCACACGGGTACAACACCGTCCTCACTAACGTTCCTAATCACGCACCTTTCTTAGCATCATACCTTATTAAGAACATCCTTAAAGGTATTCATAAGGTTACAGCTACCCCTACCACTACCAGATTGCCAATAGATGGACCTATTGTTAGACTACAACTGGACAAATCCCCTCTTGATTATCACACAAACTCTGTTATAAAGGTCGCCATCATTATCGCTTTCTATGGCTTTCTTAGACCTAGGGAGTTTACTGTTGTACGCCAGGTAGATACCAAATCAAGCCTAAAACTGTCTCACCTAAAGAAAGTCGATGACTCACTATGTCCTTTCATTACCTTCCACGAAAACTAACCACATCGATCATCCCACTACCATTCCTCTTTTCCCTACCAGGTATGCCTGGTGCCCTGTCAAAGTACTCAACATTTTTCTAGAATATCACCACGCACACTCACCTGACACCTCACTATTATTACTCCAAGGGCACCCACTCACCACAGCTAAGTTCACATCTCATGTCAGAACTCTGCTGTCAAGGTTAGGCTGCAACCCGGCTTCCTTCTCTGGTCACTCCTTCTGTATAGGCGCAGCATCATCAGCATCTAGCTCAAACACACCAGTCCACATTGTTAAGAGACTGGGCCGCTGGAAATCCTCAATTTACAATACTTACATACCACGACTGAAGAGGGAGCTACGACAAGCATTTAGAAGTTTAGCATTGTAACAAGCAATAAAGTGTGTTTTCTATGCATCCTCCTTTTTGCCCTCTTTTATTACAGGCCTACGCGTTCATTGGTTTCTGCACACCTCAACCAACTATGCATCTTATACATTCCATAACATATTAAATTCCGAGCACAAGTTAAAAGGCCATTAGACCTGAATTTGTGGGAGGAGTTATGGCCCCTACTTAAACTCCTAGCCCCTACTCACCTCTGCCGTTCAAGCTGATTGACCCCACCCACCAACACCCATCTAAATATTACATTTCACCTTTGTGGGCCCTCTTTCATTACAGGCCTGCTTGTTCGTTGGTTTCGGCACACCTCAACCAACTATGCATCTTATACATTCCATAACATATTAAATTCCAAGCACAAATATAGTAGTGCATTCATTGTCTGTCTTACTGTCTAAGGTAAGATGCTGGAATCATTGATATACTGTAGCCGAGCAGACAGTCTGGGCTAGTAATTATTATTATTATGCTATTATTTATAGGGTTTGCCCTGCATGCATATTCGGTAATTCTGTAATATTCTGTAATTCTGCAGGATTCATCATTACTTAATCTTATACTCCTTCTTCTGAATTCTACATACTACAGGGCAACCCTTTTCATGTGCTGCCCATCAATATGTATACGTGATATGTGTCCCTGGTGTATACGATAACCCTTGCTATATCCCTTCCAGGTGCTAAGTGCAAACTGCACTGCAATGTTCCAAATTTCCAATCAGTAACTGGAAAAAAGATGAGGCTGGTGCTTGCAATGACTCAGACCTCTGTTTTGGATCCCTAATAACTCAGTAAGTGCTCTGTCTAGGGCCTCAGAATCATGTGTCATGTCACAGCACCCTTTATGTAAGAACATGCATTCAGAGGGTGAGACTATATGGTTTGAGGTCTATTCTAGGACTGGTCCAGAGCTCACCAGGGATAAGTTCCCTCTTCCATTAGACGGTAGGAACACAAGAGATAATAATATTTTTTAGTTTATTTGAGGGGCAATGCCTAGGGGCCGCATTGTCAGAGCAACCGGCTCTGTACCTAGGTTTATAATTGCCGGTAGACAGCATTTACCTGCCTAGCCCTTAATTCTATATGTCAAGGATTCGAAGAATGTAACATGGAATATCACAAATTCCTTCACCTGCAAATGAGCAGAACAATGTGCAGAAACTGAGCAGAGAATTCTACAGAAAATGGCAATAAATGGGATATATATATATATATATATATATATATATATATATATATATATAGAAAAAAAGCACTGTACCTTGCACTCAGACTCCAATTCCCAAACCAGGTGCACTCCCAGGGCTCCAAGTATCCAACTGGTAATATCAAAGGTTGCACTCACGGATTCATTAAAAAATTTACTTTTATTGAATCTTCCTTAAAAAATCGACGTTTCAGTCCTACTTGAGGACTTTCATCAGCATTATGTAAACCATTATGTTTACATAATGCTTATGAAAGTCTTCAAGTAGGACTGAAACATCGATTTTTTTTTAAGGAAGATTCAGTAAAAGTTAATTTTTTAATGAATCTGTGAGTGCAACCTTTGATATTACCATATATATATATAATACTAAGCTGTGTTCACTATACAATAGCCACAGAGAATAAACAAAATCTCCCACACTGGTGAACATTACGTGTGTTTATATCAGCCATATCAAGCAGGAATGCCAATCAATCACCCTCCAACACACTCTGTATTGATTTAGAATATCGGATTAGGTCGAAAACGGTTATTATGTTTCTGAATAATGCTTTAAAAAATCCAATGTAATAATGGATCAAAAATCCTAAAATTACTAAAATATTTTTAAAACATTAAATGAAAGGTAATTATATTGAACAGACAGCCTACACAGTTCGGAAATGGTAACTGAAACGGCTGAGGTCACTCACAAATGTGAATTCTCAAACAAAATTCAAACAGAGTCATTTACTAGTTACTCGTTACTAACTTACTAAGTGAGAATTCAAAGTGAATTTCAAATTTAAGACCAGAGTAGTCAGAAACATAGATAGCTTAGCTTTAATTTGGAATTCCATTTAAATTCACTGTGAATTCTCACTTTCGTAAGTAACCCTGTGAAACAACAGAAAGTTAATTTAAAATTGGAATTCACTTTAAACTCCTGACAATTCACTCTCTAGTGCGTGTATACACAGTCTATTTACTCACAAAGCTATATTCAAGATAACTTACTTGTACACTCTTTGGGTTGAAGTTCTCTTTTTGACGTTTTTTTTCCTTTGTCTCTTGTGTTTTTCTTTATAAAATGGGCAGTTCCGTTCTTTGTGGAGTCATTGCTCTCCTGTCTTAATATTGGGAGAGCAAAGCCAGAATGATGGGAGTTGAGCTAACCTTTGCTCATAATTTTCGCAGCCTCTTCCTCATTCCGTGCTAAAGATAAGGGCCTGCCTTAGGAAAATATGCTGCGCTGTCAGTTTGCAGGGCAGGTATTTAACAACAATCACCATTCAGTCTCTACTGAGCTACAGGTGTGATAAATGCACATCATTACACAATAGTCACCCAAAGCACTAAACCTCACTTTGTGCAGTGCCCCTGTCCTTTTAACTCTTTAGAAACTGCAATGTTTATATTGCAGGGTTAAGTCTATCTCTAGGGCTGTCATACTGGCAGCCACTAGAGGCGCTTCCTCAGCACTGATGGAATAAAACTTGGTTACATGACGCAGAAGGAAAGCATTAAATTCCATCATTTCCTATGAGAAGTCTTTGAATGTCCACACGGCATTAGCCACGCATGCACATCAGATCCCCAATGCTCCTCTAAGGGCATGTGACTAGACCATCTTTTAGGAGGCCATGACTCCTCGGTGATATCGCAGGAGGGGGGGGGAGGTGGAGGACATATATAGATCTAGCGCCATGGACACTACAGCGTTGCAAGTGCAGGTTTCTATCCCTAACACTATAGTGCATCTTTAATGAGCAGAAAATGATAACTATATCTATGAACTTTTTTTTTTTTTCAAAAAGGAATAGAATAAAGGTAAAAACTGGCCATTTACTCAGGTGAAATTTTTTTTTTTTTTTTTTAACAATATCCTGCCACAGTTTCCATAAGTATCATTCAGCATGTGCAGTGGATCATTTGCTCGGGAGAAGAGCAGGACTGGCCCACCAGGAAATTTCCTAGTGGGCTGCCCTAGCATTCGGCTGGCTTGGTAAAATCATGGAAGAGTGGAGGGCAGGGCAAGGAGTCCAAAATCCACTCTGTGATTGGGGTATGACAGCGAGATCTATCCATTAAATTTCGATTTTTAATGGAATGCTGGATGTTCTGGTTCCACAGTGGTTCCCCTGGTCCTCATCTAATTTAGTTTTGTGTTGTGCAGAATTGTATAGAAGACTCATCTCAAGCAGAGCAAACATACCAGAGCAAGGCATTTTGCTCTGAAGAACGTGAGTCTTACTGTGATAGGGGGTGGTTATTTCTCATCAATATGAATAACTATTTATATACTAATTATAGTTTGTCTTTTTTCCCTATTTTCCTCTCATAACAAAATCTGATTTCCTAATATTTAACTATAGATCTCTTTCCACCTTTTTTTTTTTTTAAATTTTTACTCATTATGGAGTCACATTTTCTTCATGAATCTAAGACAGAGACAGAGAAACCACCTGTCTGTTATCTAAGCTGATTGTTTGAACTGCTTCGGAAACATCACAATGTGCTCCCTCTTGTGCAGGTTACAAAATACATTTTGCTTACCCTGACAGATGAAAATTCACATTGTTACAAAATGTACATATATGACTTTCCTCTAACCACCGATTATCTGTGTGTGTTGTAAAACCAGAGTACACCCCTACAGGATATGTTGGATCACTAAATAAATAAATACTGAATTAAAAAAGAATCTATTGAGCTTTAAGAAGAATTCCCAATATTTGAATAATTAAAGCTGACAAGAATTGCTAAGTTTGCAAAATTACATTTTCTGGTAGAACACGTGATGCTATCACTCCAGATCAAATAGTATTCTTTGCGTTAATGTCCCGTATTTTACTTAACCTTTACGTTGTATGCTCACGGGCAGGGCCCTGTTTAACTTTTTTATTGGTCTATTTGTGTTGGGCTGTCCTTTTCCTATATATGTACATCGTTGCGGATTTGTTGTCGTTTTATAAATGCCAGCAATAAGTAAACCACTGTTATCAAAACTCATGTTACAAACAAAAAATGTGATTTGGTGCTTAATATACAAAAAAGTGCTTATGGTGGAGAGTTTTCCTTCTCTGAAATTATTATTTTTTGCCGATAACACTGCTTTGTGACACCAGTCGATGAACTGCATTTTGGCAGAAAAGGCAGCACTGATAAAAAAAAAAAATTTGGTGGGGGGGGAATTAACCGAGTAAATTAAATCGGTTATCTGCAGCTTTTTTTCTTACATGTGTAAATTAAGCATATTAATGAATCTTTGAAGTAGTTACAGTTCCTTAATACTAAATAATAAAAAAAATATTTTCACCGCTCAGCCACTTTTTTTTCGTTTTATTTCCATCTGCCACCGTTTATCTTTCTGTTTTATTTTACATTGTGTAATTGCTGAATTGAATATTGGCCCGTGTTTCCTGTGTTTTTTATGTTTTATAATTGCCGTGTTAAGACTCATTAGTCTCTACGTTCTTCTTTATGTTGTACTTAAAGTGGCACTGTCGTATTTTGGTTTTATTTCATTCTTCCTTCCCTTATGCCCTTTGTATTGTAATTCGTATACTCCCTCCTCACCACTTGCGTTTATAGTAATTATATTTCCATGCTAAATGTCAATACTTTGACGCCTCCATTTTGTTCTCCTCTGTCCATGATGTCTGGAGTTTACCCTTATGTGAGATTCTTTACACCGATGGATTCTGGGTAAATTAGCTTTGCAATTTAAATAAAATATGCTTAAACTCGGCCCATTGCCAAAACATATAAAAAATCGTGCTCTTTTTAAGAAAAAATAGTTCCTACATTTTTTTTGATGTATAGATAAAAAACTAAGGTGAATTAAAAAAATAATAAAAACAATAAGAAATAGACAAACATAACCCGCTAAGTGACAGAGACACTTTAAGTAATATTATAGATATTTGAAGGAATGTAAAAACCAAAGCTTTGGGGTATTTCTTTGAAAAAAAAAATATGTTTTTCATTTCCTTAAAAAAAATCATTGAGATGTTTTTGAATCCATTTTTAAATTTTATTTTGCTATTCATATATATATTTCCAAAGTTTACTGGTTTTCTGTTTTTTTCATTTTCTATTTACAGTAATCTGACTGTTTTGTTTTTCAGGATTATACTTTTTCCTCTTTAGATCCCGGAAAAAATATTTATATCTTCTTTTTTGTTGCATTTGTTATATAACCACATGAAATATTATATGTGAAACTCTTTATTATAATTTTTTATTTTTACACAGTCTTAAAGTTTTGTTTGCCTTTGCAGGAAGAGGTACCTTCCTTAAACAACACTCTCCCGCAAAACCAAACGACTATTTCACACATTTAACTCTCTTCTTCGCCCTGCTGTTCCTCCTCCACCTACTAACTTGACCGCCTCAGATTTTGCAACTCACTTCACTGACAAGATCTCTACAATCAGAGAAGAGATCTCTCATCTTTCTTCTTCCCCTTACAATACTTCCCCTAACTTCACTCCCTCTGCTGTTCTATGTTCATTCGCACCCGCTACATTGGAAGAGGTTTCTGCTCTGCTCCAGTCCTCTCGGCCCACCACCTGCTCCCTAGATCCAATTCCCTCGCATCTCATCCGTACTCTGTCTTATTCTCTTTCTCCACCTCTCACTAAAATTCTCAATCTCTCTCTCCTCTGGTATACTTCCATCGCCCTTCAAACATGCAACTGTAACCCCAATTCTAAAGAAGCCCAATCTTTACCTTAACTTCCCATCCAACTATCTACTGCCTTTTGCATCCAAGATCCTTGATAGAATTGTGTATGCGAGATTGACAGACTTCCTCGAGTCCAACTCTCTGCTAGACCCGCTACAGTCTGGTTTCCGCACTAAGCACTCTGTGGAAATGGCACTGACCAAAGTATCCAATTATCTACTCACTGCAAAATCTCATGGTCACTACTCTATCCTAATTCTCCTTGACCTGTCTGCGGCTTTTGACACTGTTGATCATCAACAGCTTCTTCTCATCCTCCGCAATATCGGTCTACAAGATATTGCTCTCTCCTGGTGCTCCTCCTACCTCTCCCAGTGCTCTTTCAGTATTTCTTTCTCTGGCTCAGCTTCTTCTCCCCAACTCCTCTGTTGGTGTCCCCCAAGGTTCAGTCCTTGGTCCCCCTTGGTCCATCTATACTGCCTCCCTTGGTAAACTCATTAGCTCATTTGGCTTCCAATATCATTTCTATGTAGATGTCAAGCAAATCTACCTGTCCTTTCCTGATCTCTCCCTGTCCCTCTTGACTAATGTCTCTGACTGCCTCTCTGCTATTTCTAACTGGATGGCTGCCCACTTCCTTAAACTAAACTTGACCAGAACTGAAATTCTGGTCTTTCCTCCCTCAAGTGTTGTTACTCCTGTGTCTGTCTCCCTCCAAGTCAACGGTGCTACCATCAGCTCCACCATGCAGGCTCACTGCCTAGGTGTTCTCTTTGACTCCGACCTCTCCTTCAAGCCTCATGTTCAGTCTATAGCCAAATCCTGTCGTTTCCATCTCAAAAACATTACGTGCATCCGCCCCTGCTTAACGCCAGATGCGACTAAGGTGCTGGTCCATTCCATTGTCCTTTCTCGCCTTCACTACTGTAATCCGCTTCTCAGTGGTCTTACGTGCTCCCAACTTGCGCCGTTACAGTCCATAATGAATGCGACAGCGAGGCTCATCTTCCTGTCCACCTGCACCTCCCATGCCTCACCCTTCTGTCAGTCCCTACATTGGCTTCCTATAAAATATAGAGCTCAATTTAAAATTCTGGTTCTTGCTTTCAAATCGCAACATAATGCTGCTCCCACCTATCTATCCTCCCTTATACACAAGTATATCCCGTCTAGGCCCTTACAATCTGCTGAAGACTTACGTCTATCTTCTGTCTGTACTCCCACCTCTGATGTACTTCCCTCCTCCGTTAGATGCTCACCCAGTCTCCACTCCTTCAAAAAATTGTTAAAAACCCACTTCTTCATAAAAGCGTATCAATTAAACTCTTAATAGCTCCTGACTGATTCCTCTTCTGCAACTGTCACTAGTCTAATACTATCCTTACCTTTTTGTGTCATTTTACCCCACTCCCTCTAGCATGTAAGCTCATTGAGCAGGGCCCTCAACCCCTCTGTTCCTGTGTGTCCAACTTGTCTTGTTACAATTACATGTCTGTTCATCCACCCATTGTAAAGCACTGCAGAATTTGATGGCGCTATATAAATAACATAATAATAATAATA